TGACGGTCCTTCGATCGGGAAAAACGTCTGCCGAAGAGAAAAGGTATTAAGTGCCAGAACACACACACGCGCGCGCGCACACACACACGCACACACACACACAAGAGTGGGGGAGGAGAGAGGCACGTACGGCACAGAGGAGACACAATTCGCTTTTTGCGTTTTCATTAGTCCACGCCGACACACTTCAAAACGGCTCGCTTTGATCGGAGGAATTAAAAGCCCGACGGTTCGTTAACCTGTCCGCCGTATCAATTGCCTATCCCACTTCTCTCGCTCTTCGACGTACGTACGTACATGTGTGTGTGTGTGTGTGTGTGTGTGTGTGTGTGTGTGTGTGTGTGCGAGGACTCGGTCAGAGACTCGAAATAATAATTCAGAGAGCACTGCCTACGCTGCGTATTACAGTTAATTTCTTATCGATCGACCGACGTCGAGGGGGTGGTAGAGGAGAAAAATCGCAAGAAAAAACGAATGCTGAGAGAGAGAGTGCCCTCTCTAAAGCTTATAATAAATGCCGGACCGCTCTCTCCCTCTCTCTCTTTCTCTCTTCGATTCTCTGTCGAAATATGACGGCGCCCAGGCGGAATATTGGAAAATGCCGAGAGAGCTAGCGATATATGCATATAAACACAAAGCACAGTGTAAAAAAACGCTCCGTGGATTTTATACATATAGATATGCAGGAGGAGGCTGAAAGAGAGAGAGAGAGAGAGAGAGAGAGAGAGGCTAATCCATAGAGTTGCAGTGTAATTGTAATCCGGCGGAGCTGACCTTTTCTTTTCGTTTTGCCGCTGGAGAAACAGCTTCGCCATTAAGCAACGTCTATCATTTATAATTCACCGATGGCGATTGATAGGCGGGATAATTATCTCTAGCCGAAAAAATCAAGATTGTCTCCTTCTTTTTCGTTTCTCACCTTGTGCACGTGTGTGCCGGTGCGCGTGTGCGCGTGCGCGTGCACGTGCGTGCGTGCGTGCGTGCGTGCGTGCGTGCGTGCGTGCGTGCGTCTGTGCCGTGTGTGGAGCAACTCAATCCTTTCTCTTGCTGCGGGTCTTCGCGCCCTGCAAATGACGACCCTCCTATCGAAAGCCCCGCTTGGGTTTCAATTCTCCACTCGGCTTTTGCCTGCCGAAGTGACAACGAAAACAAATATAATATCGAAATCGACTCGGTGACAAGTTCTTGTCGGCGCTCGCGCGAAACTATTCAATTTGCAATTGACGACGAGAGAGTTGGAAAATGCAACGGCAGCGCTGCCTGCACGTCAATCCCTTTTTAGCGTTTCCGGTTTTAGCCGCACACGGTTTTCGCGCGACGCCGCGCGTTGTATGCTTTGTTCAAAACTCTTCAGCTGGGCAACTCATCAAGCTTGCATAAGGTTGAATAAAAGAGAGAGAGAGAGAGGGAGTCAGAGAATAACCGACTTGATCTAATAAATGCAGATAACTGTATGTCAACCGAGTTTTATTTTTCTGGTCTCGCTCGAGTTATGAGCTTCCCGTTTTGCATACCTTATCGCGATCTCCATTGACGAGACGTTGGACCGAACGACATATTTCGCCGGCGATTCGGATAATTAATGAAAAAGGGAAGCGCGCTATCGACCTCGCGCGACAATAAAGCCGTAGAACAGGCGGGAGCGGGGAGGGCAACAAGCCCCGCGCTGCCACGGAGGAAAAAAAAAACAAATAAAATAAAGAGAAAGGCGCGATAAGGAACTCGCGAGTGAAATTAAAAGCTCTAGCCCCCAACATTCGATACATGAAAAATGTGTAAATTTTTATTAATTGAGCCGCTTTTATTAATTTCCGAGCAGCGTCGCGGCGCAGCTGCGCCCCTGTGGCCAACCGCTGCCTCTCTCTTTCTCTCTTTCTCTCTTTTTCTCTCTCTCTCTCTTTTGTCCGCTAAGCAAAAAAATTCCAGCGATTCGTTTATTTAAGGACACCGCTGCACGTGGAATATTTTTCCTCGTATTAAAAATTCCGAATTGAGCCTCTCTTTGGATCCTCGCTGGTCGTTCGAGGGGCGGGTGGGGTGGGGGACAGGGAAAAATTTAATTACACAAAAGTTTTGGCATTCCGTCAGTGCATCGCGGTTTTCGCTCTCTCGTTTCGTGCCTAGGGATATTTTATTAATAACGAATACACGCGTGCATCGCGCGCGATTTCCTTTTTTTTTTTTTCAGCGTTCGTCCACCGTCGGGCCGAGTTTGTTATTAGTTATCGCGCTTACGGTTCCGAAACTTTCATCCCGCGCGCGCGGTTGTTCGCCAGCGCGCGAAATTCTCTCCTCGCCCGCACGTAAGACTGCACGCGCCGCGATCGATAAAAAAATATGCACGCTGCAAAAAATAATAATAATACAAAAAAGAGAGAGAGAAAGAGTTGCAGCAGCGGCATATATCTGTCCAAAAATTTCGCAAAGCCGCTGCAAGCGATGGGGGGGGGGGGGGGGGGGTTATTATCTATCGCGAGCTTCTCTGGCGCGCACTCGCTCCCTTCGATGGGTAGTGGGTGGAAATCAATAGCGGCCTTTAATCCGCGCTCTCGGTGCTACTGCCGCTTGCTACTCGCAGGTGTCTTACGGCGCCATTGAAAACGCAGCTGCGCAGCCGCCCCGCGAACGTGTATAGATTATTGATTGGCTGCCAAGGCGACGCCGCCGCCGTGCACCTCGCTCTCTCTCGCTCTCTCTCTCTCTCTCTCTCTCACTCTCTCTCTCGCGCGCGCGCGCGCGCACTCCTCGCGGGCTGCGCGAGGCCTAGAGTAGCCTCAACGCACGCTAATTAAGGTTCCAATAGTGGATCGCCGATTGCTCCCGCTCCGCCTTTTCTGACCCACAGAATAAGGCGCGCGAATGGCTTTTAGCGCGAGACCCTCCTCGATCTGCTTCTTGCCACTTGCATCTCACTTTTCGCTCGAGAATAGCTTATTTCGGCCTCTGTCTGTCTGCCTGTTTCTCTCTCTCTCTCTCTCTCTCTCTCTCTCTCTCTCTCTTTTCCGCGAAAAGAGTGCGCTGATCGCCCGCGGTGGTTTCGCCAGGCGGCCGGCGCCAACGTAAATGCCAAAGGCCAAGCGAGCATTGCTGCACCCGTGAATCGCGCGAAAATTACGTGGCGACGCACAGCAGCCGCCGAGCGCTCGGCTACCCCGACAACGATAACAGCAGCGATATGGCAATGGGAGCCCGATCGAATCGATAGCTGTGGCTGAATCGCGGCGGAAAAATTATCTCGTCTCTTGGACGCGAAGCCTCGGCAGCAGCAACAACGAGGAATAATTCAATGACCGCGGTGACGTTCGTATTTATATGAATCAATGAAGGATTGGTTTAATATTCTCGACTGGTAAATGATGAACGCCAGGGTGGCGTTTGAATATTAAGAAGAGCCCCTATCCCCGATAGTCTTGAATGAAAAGCGATTAAATATTAACGCGACGTACTGTAGCGGGGGAGGGGCAGGGGAGTTGACTGAAATCGCGTAACACAGATATCTCGGGACGGTAGGCATTATCAGCAGCTGGCATGGCTTTCCTTCTCGAGGAGCCATAACGTTTGTATGACCCAATTCATGGCTAATGAGCCGCCCTGCGTCTACATACACAGACGCGGGGCGAAAGCGTGCCAGGAAGCTTGAATAACTCACGAGCGGCGTTACACGTCAGCCAACGTTGTCTTCGTCTTCAATTTTTCAGCGCTAGCACCCGAAGGCTGTTCACCCCGCGATATAAACAAAGACTCGGCGTCGCGGCTTAATGTAGCAGACACGAGGAGGGTGTGCATCGGTGATCGATGAGGCCTGAGAATTTAAAACCGGACGAGCACTCTCTCTCTCTCTCTCTCTCTTATCTTCCCGAAAAAAGGAAAGAGAAAAAAAAGAGCCGACCGCATTTTATCGGATCCTATTAGCCGTGGCTGCGAAACTTTTCCAGACGACGAAAAGGAGAGAAGTTTTCACCGCGGCTAATTAATAAGCCGTGTCCAGTGGAAAACAGATGCTACACGAGAGAGAAAGAGTCGTTTTACTTATCGACGACTAATGCGGTGGAACTCGATTAAGCGACTTTTTTTTTCTTTTTTTTTTTCTTTTTTTTTTTTTTCGTCGCCATTGCGGTTGCATCGGGTATGGATAACGAGATTATCGCGCTTTTCTCTGCGTGGGATTGAGCTCGCTCGTAAATACATCTGCCGGCTAGTTTTCTAAAACACGCCCGTATTTTTATCCGCGTCAATTTGCGCGCGTATATCATTAGTCGAGCCGTCGCGTTATATATTTTATTTTTCGCGGGCAATCGGCGAGGCTCGCGCCGCTCTCGGAAGGGGATTGGATTGGTCGCGCGCTAATTTGCGTCGTCCAAAAGCGCGTGCACGAATTGTCGTGATCGGATGCAAGGATCGAACTGCTCGCTCGTGCTCGCTCGTGCTCTCTCTCTCTCTCTCTCGCAAAATAGCTAGGCGCGCGGCGAATCGCGCCGACGTACAATGGCCATTCAGGTATTTTTCCGATTCATCCGTGATGAAAATCCAAGATAGCGAGCGACGGTTTACCTCGTCGTCCACGAGAGAAAGAGAGAGAGAGAGAGAGAAAAACATTAATAAAGGCAGGCGAGGCAGCGGCACACGCGACTTTAATTAGATGCGTCGTCGTGTCCTCCCATTCACATATCGATGCACATCGTGCTCGCTCGTTCCGGGGGGTGCACTCAGTGTCCCATAGAAAACAGTCCGGGCAGAGGGGGGAGGGGATTGAAATCTCGGGCAGATTGGGACGTCGCGCTCCTTCGAGTCGCGATTGTTGGGCGGCTGATTAAAGTTTATAGTTGCCTCGTCGTCGAAACGAGAAATGAGAAAAGTACGTAACAACAAGAAGAAGAGAGAAAGAAGCAGAAGTAGGAGAAAAAAAAGTTATCCGGATAGAATAGAATGCAGCGACTTCTCTTTTTGAAAGTTTGTTTTGTTTGTTTGTTTTTTTTTTTTTTTTTTTTTTTTGACATTACCATATGAGTTGTGATACTGCTGCTCCTGGTGGAGATCCAAGCTCTCCTGTCCGTCCACGGCTACGCCACCGCTCGTCTCCGAGCAGTTGCTGCTCAGCGCTAAAACCAAACCGATAGACACAACCATCTCAACATTTACAATTGTCTTTGCTTTTGAATTTTGCTTATTAATTATCTGCTTGGCTCTCGCTCCGTTCTCGGTTTTTTTTTTTGAGTTGCACCTGGGTGATCGATATTCGCACGTTGGCCATGTGAAAACAGGTGTGCGTGAAACATTGCGAGCTTTTCATCGCGCCGTTTCGGCAAACTGTTTCTTTTTTTTTGCCTTTTTTCACTTTGAGAAGCAACGTTTGATTTATATAAAGGAAAAAAGTTGTGGCAAATCAAAGAATAATGGTTAACCAATAAAAACCAAGACGTAACGCGGCAAGCATTGTAAATACACTTATAACAAAACTTACAAAACTATAGTTAAAATTAAATTATAACAGCCGTATTCTGGTAATCAGTATGCGGTTTCGGATTTCGCTTCATCTACAACGAAACCATTTCAGTCATGTACAATTTATTTTTAAGTCTTTTAAGGAGATTATTTTATAATGGCATACTTAAATACTCCGTGCTAAGAGAAATTCGTCTGATTTAATTAATAGCTGTTGCGGATCAAAAGTATAAATAAATTTGACACAAGCAGTAGATAATAATTCAGAGTGACTTTAAAGTAATGAGTACAACCAATGCATTGCTTGTATTTACTAGATCGTTCTTCAACGGACAGCTTGTAGGAGGCTCATTGTTATAAATATATTACTTCAAGTAGCTTCGTCAAAATTTTCCCGCCATAAAATCGTTTCTTATAAATAAATATACGGCAAATTTTCATCGGTAGAACTGAACATATTTATTCGAAATTATAATTATTTTCCCGTCAAGTTGATCGCAATTAAAAAAAACTGAGCAAGAACTCCAGCAACGATCAGCTTAAAAAGAAAAACGAAGAAACTAATGGCTGAAACGGAATCTTTCTATGAAAAACGCAAGGTGATCACCAGAAAACGACAGAGCGGCATAGGCAAACAAAGCAGATGCACAATGGGACATCGATAGGGATGTATTTTAATGAAGGTGACGTCGTCTGGGGGTGGGTTGGGTAAATGAAAAAAGAAAAAAAAAAGACAAGGAGAGAAGACAGAAGACAGCAGCAGCGGCGGCAGCAGCGGCAGCAGCAGCAGCAGTAGCAGCAGCGGCAGCGGCGGCGGCGGCGACAGCGGCGGCAGGAGTGCAATACACCGAGAGTGAGAGCGCATAATAATTGTCTGTCTATCCGTTTGGCTTTTGTCACTTGGAAAACAACAAAAACATACACAATCAATCCATGGCAGCCTCGGCTTCGCTCGACGCAGGCGTATCCACAGTCGGTTACGCGTGCGCACGGCGCGGCGATCTTCGCCGGCAGACGTACAGAACTTTCAGGGCTCATTTGCGTGGGACATGAAATCCGCGGCCGAGCGCGCGTATACAGCCGAGTGGCGTGCGACAGCGAGTTTCGAACGCGATATCGCTCGCATGCCACGGTGTCCGCTGTCGTCGCCCGTTTTCATTCGATACCGCGATGGGAAAGCGCGAGCGCGTCTCTCTTTTCGGTAACGAGCGCCGCGCGCCTAGCCGTCGCAGATGGCCGCCGCCGCCGCCGCCGATTTATATGCGGGCGCGCGGCGGCCACCTGCTTCGGCGGCTTTGGGCTGCGCGATAGCGCGGCCTTGCCGATGATTAACGCCCCGGCCGAGCCGGTATTAGCCGAGCGCTCCGCCGTGATTTAGCGCGCTCCCGATACGCGCGACGCCTCCGCGAAGCGCCGACCGCGGAAGGCCGCCTCGGGGCGCGCGACACGGACGGCCGCGAGCGAGTCGTCGCGCGGGACGATCCGAGCCTTCGCTCGTCGGCCGTCGGCGCGGTCCCACCGTTCTTCCGTTCCGAGGGTGGTCGCGCGGAAATTAGGTTTCTCGAGCGTGCGAGTGTGGGGCTTTGCCGACAGGATACGTATCCTCCAGGTGAGAGGAAGGACCCCATGCGGCCGGGCAGCCGGGCAGCCGTGCAGCGCTTGCGTAGGTAGCATAAGGCCTCTCGCCGGCGTAGGCGTGTCGAGTTTCGGCGCGTGCCCACGCCTGAAAGCCACACCGGCTGCTGCTGCCCCCGGGTGCATCCTTTCCGACCCCCTCCCCACGCCGCCCTCCTCCCTCCCCGCTCCCGCGCAGCCGATGTCGCGTGCGCTCCTGCGGTTTTGCGCCTCGCGCGCTGCCAGCCAGTGGAGAAGCTAACTTTCCGTTTTGCGGCTGTATCATCGTTCGCGCGACTTCGCCTTTCCCCCACGCTTTTTTCTGCTTTCTTTCCTCTTTTTTTTCCCCTGTTCTCCTTTCTACTTTTACGATTTGCGATTAGGATCTTGTCGAGGGGATTATCGAATCGAGCGCTTACTCGTATGCTTCGAGTTGTTAGAAATCGAGGAGCGATCATCCAAAGCACGACGCGACTGTTGTTCAATTTTTTCTTTTCGATGTGAAATGGCTCTAGAAAGTCTTTGACGACAATCTCAGCCTCAGCGCTTCGCGCCAATGAAGACTGTCGTTGATCGAATTGCAACTTATTCAAAACAAATGTTAACAATTAAGAAAGAGCATCATGAAAGCGCTACATCAACCATGTCAAACCTTCGTTACATCGCGAATGAACGTGGCTAACGGCGAGCCATTAAAAGACCGCTCGTAATCGTAAAGCCACGTAGCATCGAGCAATAAAACGACAACGTAAAGTCAAAGGACATATATATATATATATGTATATATACGTATATATCGCGCGTCGCGAGCCAGCGAACGAAAGAAAGAGAGAAAAAAAAAAGAATCGTGGAAAGCATAGGCGCGCGATTAAAGTAAGTCGTCGTTCCCGTACGCGCGACTCGCACGAGGGTCGCGACAACTAGTTCAGCGGCATATAACAACTTGGCGTCAATGTGGGTTCTCGCATTTGCATGGACACAACAAGCGAAAAAAGTGAGAGGGGGAGGGAGAGAGACAGAGAGAGAGAGAGAGAGAGAGAGAGGCGGAAAGTGAAAAGGAAGTCGCGTCGTCGGTAGCTCGCGCGTAACCAAGACTACGCTGTCGATTGTTTATTTCATATTGGAAAAGACTAATGAAATGTCAGTAGCGGAACTTTCGGGCCGTGCTCGCACTCCGCGAGACAATACTCTCTAATCTGAAGGGCTGCGGATTGAACTCTCTCTCTCTCTCTCTCGCGTATTGTTTCTCGCCTGTATAGCTTCGTCGGCCTCCTTCGGCTTATCTTCGTCTCACTCTCTCTCTCTTTCTCTCTCTCTCTCTCTCTCTTTCTCTCTCTCTCTCTGCACGAATAACAAACGACTCGTCGTCGTCATCTTTTTGCCTTTTCCCGGCTCCTCTCTCTCTCACTCGATATATATATGTATACATATATATGTATATATATATACGGTGCGCTCCTGTCGTAACTTTGAAATTTTCAGTTGAATGCCGCCGCCGCAGAGCGCATCCAACAGTGGCTCGACGACGAGTCGAGAGATAGCGCGTACCTTTCATCCCCGCCTGTCCGACGAGCATTTTCGAACGACTATCCCGAAATAGTGCATAAAAACGCGCCAAAGGCGAGCGCTGGTTGCATCGCCGCGTGCGCCAGCGTTTCGATTGGGACGGTGCGTTCGCGCAATTTTTCGAGCGCGCGCGATGAAAATAAGAGATAGAGAGAGAGAGAGAGAGAGAGAGAGAGAGAGAGAGAGAGAGAGAGAGAGAGAGAGAGAGAGAGGATGCGCGGATTGCGCGCAGCAATCGTCAGCAGCGCGCGTGCGTGCGTGCGCGTGTAATGTGGGGCGAATGGGAGGCTGCGTCGTGACAACTGGACGGGGCAAAGAAGGCTGCAACACGCGAGGGTCGGCGGAGACGGACTACGATCAACCCAACTGGCCCTTATCGAGGACAGGTCACACTGCGAAAGTCAAGGGGGATGCGGAGAATAGAACCGAAGCACAGAAGGCCGAGATCTGGCGCGCGCGCTAGAGGGAAAGACACAGAAAGTACAGGCTGCAGCATGGTAGATCGCGGGCAACAATAAACGTCGAACGATAATAATAACGCTCTCGTTTTTTTCTCTCTCTCTCTCCCTCTCTCTGTGGCGCGCGCGCGGGGTAGTTTAGGTAGGTAAGGTAAACGCATCCAGCTCGCACGGCGAGCCTGACGTCTGCGCAGTGAAAACGATCAATACCCACGTTTCAGCAGAGAGGTTGTTGGTGTGGGTTCGCGTGTGTCGGAGGTGTGTGTATATGCGCGAGAGTGAGAGAGAGAGAGAGAGAGAGAGAGGCGCGCGAGCGAGCGAGCGAGCGAGCGAGCGAGAGAGAGAGAGAGCGCTTGGCGGGACGTGGAATCGGTCGCGCAAAAGTGGCGTTCCACGGAGCTGCACGCGTGGGCGCGCGCTCTCTCGCTCGCTCCCCGGCGAACGACGTGGAAGGGCTCGGTGGCGCTCGGTCGGTCGGTCGGTCGCTCGCTCGCACGCAGGCCGCGGCGGCACGTGGTGAGCACGTGACTAACCTGCCAGCCTGAGGGCGGACATCCGCTGGAACTCGGGCTCCTGCAGCCACTTCCACATCCTGCGGAAGGTCTCGCGGCCGCTCTTGAGCTTGGACCAGGGCTTGGGGTTGCGCAGCAGGTCGCTGAGCGTGCCCTGGCTGCGGCAGAGCACGCGCTGCGCGAAGATGGCCTGCGGTATGCTGTACCTCTTGAGCTCGGCGCTGATGCGCTGCGCCAGCTCCTTGGTGTTGATCTCCTCGAGCTCGGCCTGGCCGGCGGCCTGGGCCTGGCCGGCCGCCACCGCGCTCTTCATCACCACCGAGGTGTGCTGCACGTGCTGCTGCTGCTGCTGCTGCTGCTGCTGCTGCTGCTGCTGCTGCTGCTGCTGCTGCTGCGACTGCAACTGCGGCGGCGGCGAGGCGGGCGAGTGGTGGGCAGCGCCGAACTGCGCGGCCTGTGGCGGCGAGGGCGGCGAGAGCGCCTGCGGCGAGGCCTGCATGCGCGGCAGGAAGGCCGGCTCGTAGTGCGGCGAGGCGGACTTGTGCGGCGAGTTGAGCGCCGACTGGCTGTAGGCGCTCTGCGGCGAGAGCGGCGACGGCTGCAGGCCCTGCGTGGGCGACGGGTAGTTGTGCGGCGGCGACATGCCCATCGAGGGCAACTTGTCGTAGCTGTAGGGCGAGCCGGCCATCGCGCCCAGGCCGATATTCGCCAGGCCGTTGTTCTGCATGACGGCGAAGCTGCCGGTCACGCCGCCCTGGCCGGCCTGGCCGCCCGACTGGTGCGCGCTGTACACGAACTTGTCGCTCATCGTCGAGATGGGCGGCAGCGGCTGCAGCGGCGTCAGCGTGGCGTAGCTGGAGCTGGGCGAGAAGCCCGGCGGCGACATGCGCTCGGCCACCGAGGTGAGCGTCTGGTAGGTGGGCTCGGGCTGCATCGCCCGGAAGTCCGTGGCGTCGATCATGCTGGGCGACAGCTCCTCGTCGGCCGGCTGCTGCTGCTGCTGCTGCTGCGGGCCGCTGGCCTCGTCGCCGCGCGCCTCCACGATCACACTGCGGTGCTGCGAGTGCGGCTGCGGCGCGCCACCGCCGCCGCTGCTGGCGTTGTTGTGCGTGGCGGCGTCGCAGTCGGGCTGCTCCTCCTTCACGCCGAGCAGCTCGAGCGGCAGGCTCGCGCACGCGATGTCGGGGCTCTGCGAGGCCGACGAGTTGCCCGCGGACATAACCTCGGACGCGGCCCCCTCCTGCTGCTCGGCCAGTCGCTGCTGCTGCTGCTGCTGCTGCGCGCTGCCCGTCTGAAGCTCTAGTCGCTGCTGCTGCTGCTGCTGCTGCTGCTGCTGCTGCTGTTGCACGGCCGCGGCCACGGCGGCGACGCCGTTGCTGCCGCCGCTGTTCCCTCCACCACTCGCGCCTCGCGCGCCGAGCTGTTGGTGTCGCTGCTGCTGGTGGTGCTGTTGCTGCTGCTGCTGTGCGAGCTGCTGCTGCTGCTGCTGCTGCTGATGCTGATGCTGGTGGTGGTGGTGGTGGTGGTGGTGGTGGTGGTGGTGGTGGTGAAGCTGGTGGTGGGGAGGGGATGCGCCGGCGCGAAGGCTCCGCATCCGCGCCACCGACGAGGTGCCATCGAGCCCCGTCTCTAGGAGCTGCTGCTGACGATCCTCGCCTAAACTATCCATCGACGAGGCATCGGTCCTCGCGCGGTCCCTCGCTCGCACTGCACTCGCTCGCGCTCGCGCGCACTCCTTCGGCCTCCTCACTGGCGATCGCAGCCGCGCTCCCGATATCGATTGCCCGCTTCGAGCGCACACTCTCAGTCGCTGAAGTTCGTCACGAGCACTGCACTGGCGACGACGACTCGGAGGATCGATGCGCCATTCCTGAAGGCCGCGAAAGCTCTGCTCTGCCCCGGCGGGAGAGAGACAGACAGACAGAGACAGAGCGCTCGCGAGGACGCGACAGGGGGGAGTCGAGTCGAGACAGCGCGCACACGGACTCTCTCGCTCGCTCGCTCGCCCGCTGTCCGTCTTCGACGCGTGCGCCCCGACGTCGATATCAGCGATCAATACGCGGCCCCCTCCACTCTGGCTATCGGCTCCGCGCGCGCCAAACCAAGTGAGCGCCCGACGCTTGCAGCCAATATTGACGCGCTTCGATTATTACTCGACTCGAGCCCGCGACTGACTATTTCCACCCCTCGCTCGCGCGCGCCGCGGTACAACCACCGTGTGCGCGCGCGCTAGCGTGTGTGTGTGTGTGCGAGCGAGAAGGACGGAGAAGTACGCGACCAGCGCGACTCCGCCAGGGATGGATGGTGACGAGATGGAGCCACCCCAAAATACGCGAGCGCCTGCTGGTCGAGCCAGCCAACCAACGGACCGAGGGATCCAAAGCTGCTTACTTGCACTCCGCTCCCCACCACCCCTTCTGCCTCTTGTCGTTCTTCCTTTTTTTCTGCCTTCCTCTTGCTCTTTGCGCTGAAGTTGCAAGTTGCCGGGGCGCCGTCGGCTAGCGCAGGCGGATGGGGGGGGGGGGGGGCGTGAAGTTTTCCGTGCGAAGTGCGACGCGAGAGGAGTTTTAGCGCGGCCGCGATTTTCCCGAAGCAAGTCGACGATTCGTGCGCGGGGCACGCGGGGATCGTCGCGCGCGAGCCGGCGACGCCGATGCGCGAACCGCGCGTGAGCCGAAACAATGACGCAACGCTCGCGAACAAAAGCCGCAATTCATCGATCGACGCATCGATCGGTCGCTGGCACGCTAGCCGCCAGCACTGAGGCCACCACCATCGATCGTCGCGCTCCGCCTTTAAACGTACGTTTACGGCAGCGCGCGCGTGCCACCGGGCCCCCACTCCGATTCACATCCAACGGGCCCCCCTCTCGCGCTCACCAGCTGAGAGAGCTGAATAGGGCCTGCTGCGAGCAGACACGGCGGTTCTCGTTGAAACGGCCGGCCAACTTTTCTACACAATGCACGGCTCGTGCCTCTCGGCCAGATCTCTCCATCGATTATCGGCAAAATAAATCGTCGCCTCGCGGCATAATGTCCGCTCGGGGCCGTCGCGATCTCGTTCGTCGCCGGGGAGTGGATCGCGCGAAAAAGGCCGCAATTTTTTTACGCTCCTGCCCCCCCAAGACGCGCGCGTACCATAACGACAACGGCGCGCAAGACCAATGAAAGCGAAGGACGTTCGTCCAGCCCTGAAGCTCGCCTCGGCTTGGTGGGGTTGGTCTCGCGCGAAGGGTGGCTTGATGCAACGCTCGATACGCCGCTCTATGTTCGAGCCGGCGCTCCCTCCGACGTCGCGCGCGTGCGCCTGGAGGGGAGAAAGGCCGCCGAGGCGGTAGCTTAGCTCACGCGAAGTCAAATAATCGATAGCGCCGACCGATATACCCCTGTGTGCGTGTGTATACGTGCACGTCTCGGGCGAAACCGACCTGCGCACACCACGCGCGACCGAAGGGTGGCATTTTCTTCGTTTCGATTTTTACAATCGAGTCGCGACGCGCCGCTCCCCGGCTTTTGTGCGTACACCGAGCGCCGCGGTCAACGCGAAGGGGAGAGGACGGATTTCGATTCGGGAATCGAATAAGGGAATTGTAAATCTCGCACACGAAGACGGCGATGACGACGCGCGCACCCACGCAGCCTGGCGTGTATTTTCGAAAAGTCGAGCGCGTGAAAATTGCATTCGCCGACGTATCTGGCTCTCGCCGGAGACGCGGTTCTATCCTGTTCCCATTTCGCTCGGATGAATGTCGATTGGCCGAAAAGAAGAGAAAGGGATCCCCGGGGCATTCATGGGTTAGGAAAAATAGGCAGCCCTTGCGCGTGTAAGCTCCTTATTGCCATACGGGCCTCTCGATCGATTAGCATTGAAACTCCGCTTCCGTCGCACATGCGAAATTCATGAATTCTTCGATTAGGCGAATCGAATCGTATCCACGTTGAATCCCCGACCGACATTTCAGATTCGCGCGATCCTACGACAGCGCGCGTATGGACTAATATGCACCGCCTCCGCGCGCTTTTCTCTTCTCGCGCACGCGAATTGGCATCCATCGAATTAAAAAAAAAATACCAGGGTACGTACATCCTTATTGTACGCTCTCGAAGTATTGATTCGGCTTTTAGCAAAATAATTTCGAAATATCCGGAAAACGAGAAATAAAAAAGCTGCTCGACGCGTATTCGCCGAGAGAGTAAAACAAAAAATATGAAAAAAAAAAAAAAGGAAGAAGTATCGACGGGGGTGCTCTCTCTCTCTCTCTCGCAGTAGATTTTTTTCCAGAAATATAGGGAATTCAAAGGCAAGCCTTCGATTGGCAATGCACTAAAAATTACGTACATCCGAGTGCGAGAGTGAGAGGGAGAGAGAGAGAGAGAGAGAGAACTGCGCTGCAGGCGAACGGTTATAGAAAATGAAAAGCGAGCCGAAGCGAAGCAGCAGCAGCGGCGGCGGTAGCGGTGATGCACACACACTCACCTAGAGGGGAGGGGGGGAGGCCAGAAGCATAGTAAGGTTGCCGGACAGACAGGAAGAGGAGCATTGAAAATTCGCGAGTAGCAGCGGCAGCTACTTGTTTTTTCGATGGGGATTATATGCGCGCAGCTACGAATTTTCGGCCGATCGTTTTTCCTTGCTTGTTTTTCTTTTTTTTGTTTTTTTTTTGTCAGCGGCAGCCGCGGCTCTCTGAAATTGTATTTCCCAGCGACGAACGACCGAGGATTTTTATTTATTTCAGCACGGATGGCAGTGAGATTTTTCCTGTTTTTTCTTTTTTTTTTTTTGCAGTCAAGCAAATTGCGCAAAACTATTAATCCGCAAATGGTCAATGTTGCTCTAGGACAGTACAACAATATCAGCAAAGATTGACTGTTTTATTGCCAATTCGGTACGAGCCTTCTTTTCATTTTTCATCCAACGTAGCGTGGTGGTTTAAACGACTTAGAACTATATTATAGTCTGGAATGCAAAGTGGCATCGAGGAATGCTCCAATTTTGAGAATATGAACGTTGGCCAAGCGATCATGCGCGAACTGTAATTACCGTGGAGATGCGAATTCCATAATAGAGGTAAAGCTCGTTGTGGTTGCACGTTGGGATGTACCCGTGGCAATTGTCGTGATTGCTTAAAACATCAATGAAGACGCGTCTACAACGCCCGCTTTCACTGTTGATAAGATGTACTTGTTTTTCCGCGATTTTTCGAGTCGACGATACAATGGTGACGCGTGGGATCGGCATGAAGACAAAGTTCCAAAATAAGCGCACCCGGTAGTTCGATTCCACCCTCCACCCTCCCCACTTTAAAATTACTTCAAAATTACTTCCGCGTCCTCAAAAACAAATGAATACGTCATTATAATTCAAACCCACTCGAAAACTCGCGCGATCGAAAAAAAACCCCCTGTGCTCGCGCAAGTACACCACCCGCAAAGTAGGTAGTAGGTAGTTACCTTCCGACCCAAATATCGCGCGCGCGCAAATGAAAGTTAAAAAAAAATAAAAAAAAAAAGAGCGAAGCGCCAACCTGTCGAGATCGATATTTCGCGCTCGCGATTTTTCGTCAGCGCGCGTTTCTAGGGAAGGGGGGGGGGCGACAAGAAATAAATAAAGCGAAATGAAACAGTTATCCGTTCGCGGGGGGACCGTGCGTGCAGTACATGCGTACTCGTCACCTGCCGCCAGGTGCTCTATGTCTTGTGCCATCTGCTACGAGCTACGATCTACGTAGGGGCGAGCAATAACCCCTCGCACCTTTAGCACCGCCGCCCCCCCCCCTTCTCGTGCCCGCCTCGCTTCAAGCGCATACGCGCGCGTGCCTCGCACACGGGAACTTAATTATGCCGCCTTTCTCGGGGCTTTTTTGTTTTCCTTCCGAGGCGCTGCTGCGCAGCCGTCGCGTATCGAATGACCCGCGGCCGTGCCGGTTAATGAGATTCTACGACTGCGTTTTTGTAAGATGCTGCCTGCTGTTGCGTACTTTTGGGGGGTGTACCTGATTCTTCGGAAGTCTTATTTTTTTGCGATCGCGGGAGGGGAGGGTGGAAGGTTGCGCCACGTGTAACATACTTTTTTTTTATCGATCGCCGCCTTTTTTTCATCGGACAACACTTACGTTTCTTTCAGTATTTTCGATTGTGATAAGTTCATCGCGATGAGTACAACGTATTTTGTTCTACCTCTTCAATAAATATAATAAGTTGTTCGATGTATAAATCACGTCATAATCGGTTATGTTTTCGGGTTTATGTTTTAATAATAAGTTGATATTCTATTTGAAATCATCATTAAATAATATCACAGTTGCCGAGTGATAAACAAAGTTCCTTTATACGACCATAAAATGTTTTAATTCAATTGTCGAGTTGCTATAAATAGTTCCTTTATTTTTTTCCCACAGCTTTGGTCGAACTTTCAGCTGTTTAGAGTTCACAACTTTGTCGAGCATAAAAAAAATTTTTTTGTTAGCGGTTTACCTTGTTTTGCCGGCTAGGTATATTAAATTCATGAAAAATTCAACGCCATCAGTTTCCCCGACAACTCGCCAACTTTATTAAACTGCCAAAGCAATAGCAACGTTCCCTACGAAACACCTGATAGCCAATTCGAAAATAAAACAAAAAAAGAGAAGAAAAACGTGGCCTGGAGAACAAAGTTGAAATTAACCGGATTGTCAAGCTCGTCTGATCAAACGTTGAACGATTTCCATATTTGAAAATCCGGATCGATCGGTCGGCCGCAAGCTCGCGCGACTAGTCCGATGGCGACATCTGCATCGGGAATTCGACACTCGGATCGACACGAGCTTTGACCCACAACGCGACGCGTAAAACACACGGCCGATCCGTTGTATGCACGAGGGTGCATACGCTTTTAGTCGAACGTGGCAGTTAATTGTATTTCGCTCGAGTGGCGATGTCATCGAAGACGGTTATGTTGCGGTGGTGCCCACTTTGCTTCCAACCCAAAACGATGGTAATCAAAAACCCATTAGTCGGACTTTAATGTCGTATCGGTGAGAGAAGCCAGGCCGACCGGTACTGCAATTTTTTTCCGGGACAATTGTGAATTTGGCATCGACGTCGCGGCTTTTAAACTTTACTTCGTAGCCGGATAAAAATCTTAGCGCGGCAGGCGGCTCCGGATAAGTGAAATACGAACGACCGCTAGTACAGCTGAAATTGCTCTGGCGTGCGTTGATACCCGTACTTCACCGAATTCAACGTCGCTTCGCTTGGAAACAATGTCGCAACTGTCATGATGGAAGTCCATTCAAAGAGTACATTTGAGCAATTTTTCACGGACGTAGTTAAAAGTTATTCGAACGAGCCTCTGGATATGCACCGAGAGCAGAATTTCGTGAGGCATTTGTAATTCACGCGTGACACTGTACGCGCACATCCCTCTCCTTACCTGGGAATCACTTCTACGCGGCTATTTTCTTTTTTTCTTTACTTACCGTTTTGTGCACGTGCTGTCCGCGCGTGCTTCCCAATATGCTTTCAACGAATGGTTTTATTTACTAGCTAGTCGAAGTTATTGCGCCAAGCTGACAATGCCCGGTCACGTTTTCAATGCGAGAATATTTTCATACACCATCGATCCGTTTTTATTAAAGTTTCAAAGTAATCTACAATATTCGTTTCACCCTTATTAAGCAAATAAACAGTCACAGCTACTTGAAATTAAAAAGAAATTGGAGTATCTTCCATAGTGATGAAGCTCTTTTTTTGGCAACAGCGGCGACATCTTCGATAGTCGACGTCAAGATCGAACATCTATTTCACGTAGAATCCACAGAGCGCTAAACTTTGAAAGTTGCCCAACGATTAGCAGACCAATGGAGACAGGTGCTTCGGCGTAAGCGGAAGGGGTCAAATCAATCGTACTCCGCCCCGATGGTTATGCTGATGTCCTCGGAGACGATCGTCGTCTGGTGGTACCACTTGTTCGTATCCAACACGACTGCCAATGAAAAATCGATTTAGCTTGCGCGGGGGATCGCGAGCGAACGAATCGAGACTCACGGATTTCTCCAGGATCGACGGTCACCTCGAGTCGTCTGCAGACGTAGTGGCACTCGCGCGGCGGCTCGAGGATCCATCTCTTGCGGCCGCGAATCTGCGCCTGCCACGACGGATACTCCACGTCGTCGACCTAAATTCGAGAGCCGTGTTTGTCGGTTTCTTTTCGAGATGTGACCGTCGCTTAGGGCAGAGTGTCGCTTACGTGCATGGGCGCGCCGTAGCCGGGACTGCCCATGAACAGCCAGTCGGTTTTCTCGCTCTCGGCGGTGTCCGGCAGGAAATAGGGCCGTCGATAGTGCTGCCGGAGAATCGCCCCTATCGTCTCGTCGCAGTTGCTCCTTCGGCAATGTCGTCGAAAGGGCGTTAGCTCGAGCTCGCGCGAGTCAAAGCAATCGTCGCGTTTTCCTCGGAAGCGCGCAAGGAGGTCAAATAATAGCCGGCCTCGTCGAGTCGTCGAGCAGCGTCGCGCGCGCGCAACGACGCCGACGACGCCGACGACGCCGACGACGACGACGACGACATATAGCCAGCGAAAGCGCGCAGGCAAGCAACACGAAAGGCAGTTTGCGAATGTGTGTCGCGGCTGAGGCAGAAGCGAAGAAGCAGATAATGTGCACCCACCATCCGACGTACCAAGGCCTGGTGCCAGCCCGTAACAGCGCACGACCGGCGCTCATGTTGAAGACGTCCCGCAAGCTGCGGAACTCGGTCTCGTAGGGGAAGAACTGGCAGTCGGCCTCGCGACCCTCGTACAGCTGCTTCAAGAACGCGAACGAGAACTGCTCCATGGCCGTCCAGTCGGCTGCTGCGTCGGTTATCACCACCGGCCGGCCCGAGTACGCGTAGCTGCCGATGCACATCCAAGCGCTCCCTTTATTCTTGCAGCGATGCCTCGCGCGGCTTTCAGTGCTAATGTAGATTAGGCGCCGGGGGATTATCGCAAAGTCGGCGAAGGAAAAGGCTCCACGGCGGACGGAAACGCGAGCGCGTAGCGCGCAAATGGATTGATGTGCTTGGGAATTATTAGAACGTGAAAAATCAGGGGAGAAAGGATGCGGCGGCTAAACGGGAAAAGCTCCGAAGGGGAAGGGGATCCCGTAACGGATTTCCAATGCGCAAAGGAATTATTTGGCAGCGTTACGGCGAGAAGTGGAAAACGAAAAAATCGAAGGAGGACGCGAGGTCGTTCGCGTGCCGCTTGAATAATAAACACGCGAGGCGGCGGCGGCGGCGGCGGCGGCGAAGGCGACGCGAACTCGTTTGCCGCGTCGGCGATGGATCATCGCGCGCTGGGACAGCCCAATTTCATTTTTCAGCTGGGGAAAGCGAGCGCCCACTGAAATTACCGTTCCTCGAACAATTCCGCATCGATCCTGGCAATCTTCTCGACCTGTTGAACGTCCTGGCAAATCGAGCAGTCCTCGGCCGGGCGGAAGACCTGCCTGGCAAACGACGGCACATCCAGCAGGCACTGCACACGAACGCGCCGCCCGTAATTTCGTGGACAAGCCCGCATTTGACAAGACTCACTCTGTCGAATCTGACGTTCTCGTAATAGGTCCTCGCCCAGCGCAGCGCGCACGCCAGAGCCAAAACCGCCAGGCCGAGCGACGCCTTCCTCTTGAGCCTGACCGCGAGCGGACTGCGCTTCAGCTTCAAGTACAGGCAGGACAGCTTCGCGGCTCTGGAGGCGAGCTTCAGATCGCCGACCTTGCCGAGGACGATCGCGAGCTCGTCGCGCAGCAGCTCCGGCGACTTGGCGCCTTGCCGGATCTCCGTCATGGTGGCTCGCGACAGACTGAGGACTTCACATGGCGCGCCGACCGAGGAGCGGGGGACTTTCAATCGGCTGTGAAACTCGATTTTCCCGCGCCACTTTAATCTCTTTCTCGCCCTCTCCAGCCGCGAATCCGCTGCGATCGATCGCGGGGCATGTATCGCGTAGCCCGGAGCTTCTGCCTTTCTTATCTCGGGCACCAGGCGGCGAAGGCGCGCGCTCACGCGAGCGCTAATGCTCGCGTGCTCCGCTAGCGACTGATCTCAGCTGAGGTCCCTTCACGTAGAGAGTTGTGGCCTTGGCGATCGACTTGAGAAATGTATCGGAAGAGGAAACGATTCGTCGGAGTCGTAAAGAAAGCCCGATGCTTCTCGATAATCTCCGCGCGGAAAATTCAATAAATAGCGCGAGCTGTCGAATTGCAATGTTATTCCAGCTGAACGACAAATCGCGTGTCGCATCGATTGCGCGTGTAAAACAAAGAATCAGGCGCGATCGGACGGAAAGGAGTAGGGGCGAGGAAAAAGGAAGAAAAAAAAAAGAAAACTTTGTAATTCCAGCGAGGAATCTTATAATTTTTATTTCGCGCGCGCGCCATGCAATTTCCGCGAGATTGGAAAAGGGCGCTGCCGCTGATTGATTTCAACGATACCAGACGAAGTTACGGCAGTCGTCTCTTACAATTGCAAATTGACAATTCGACTTTTCAATTGGACTCGCTTTGAAGCGGTTTCGAGATGTGCTGAAATTTTAATGGGCTCCCGTGAGCGCCACTGGATAGCGTCGAGCTACTCGCCAATTTGCGAAAATAAGGGGGCATAATGTCCGTCGATGATTTTGCCTGGCGAGTCGTTGAGGTGCGAGCGAAAGCCCTTGACGCAGCTTGCGTTCGTTAGCTCGCACACTTGTATGATTGTGTAATTTTAAAGTCAACTTTGCGAGGAAAAAAAAGTGACAAGAAACGGTGTTACACGAGCATTGGAGGGTTATGAATAATTGAAGAGCAGTTGTGAGGGATGATGTAAATAAGAAAGCCGAGTTTATTTAAATGAGCGCATTTAAATTCTTTAATCGTTTTTCAGTCGAGTTCGAATTACACTATTTTTTTAATCTGCATTACTTAGTTACAGTTATTTGTATATATATAATATTTATATATATGGTACTCTTCTTCTCTTCGATATAAATATAATGTACGATGAAAATAAAAGATAATGCGTATATATAAATTTATATATATTTATATTTATATAATATATACTTTCCCTCGAAAAATTAGAAGCTAGGCGCTCGAGCTCTCGTCACACGAATTCGCCACATTTTCCCACTATCAACGAATCATAGAGAAGAGAGAATTCATCGATAAATCCTCGGAAGAAAATACCTAATTGAGACTCGAAAGATGCAGATTCTGTTGCTCGCCCTCAACATGCGTTTGACTCTTTATTCCACTTGTTTTCGCTCTCCCTTTTTCCTTTCGAGTAGTTTAATTTATTATCTCGATTATGAATTAGCGTTCGATCGAGAGACGCCTAGATTCGTATAATACAGCTTCGTAAAACTCATCGACTCGAATGTTGAGAAAGTTAACGTTGCAATTTGGAATCCGCTCATTTTTTTTTGTCGAGTCGCGTTCGTGTGGGGCGCTCATGTATTAATTACTATAAACTTGTGAGTGCTTTCTCTCGGACAATCATTTTTTCATCGTTTATCATTTTCTTATTCTTCTTGTTCTAACACACCTATAATGCACACCCATGCTTATGTATAGACCTTTAATTGTAAATATGTTACGCGGTACAGTAGACTATTTCGTTATGCGTGTGAGTGTGTGTTACATTACACGTATGCCATAAATTCGGTCAGGTTGATCCGCGTTTTCCAACCATTACGATCCAAACGTCCCATTTTTTTCGTTTCAACTACCCAAAAAATTGATAATCTTTCAGTTTCTTTGTATGCGACTTGCGATATTATAAAATTTTTAAAAAGTAAAACAATATATATATATACACATAATTTTTTTAAATCATGTAAGTCATCTCGAATAATAAAATAAAGTTTGTCGTTTTCATTTTGCTTTTGACATTACTCAATAATAAAAATATAAAATATATAATTTTTTTTATAAAAGAATCATCATTTTTGTAATTTCTTAATTCAGATTACAATCTAATAATATCAATAAACCTTAATATCAATCACTATTGCTTTTTAAGATCGCACATTGATTTATAGAATGATTAAACAAATTTCTTCTTCCGAAAATTGCACTGATACAACTGCGTTGGTTGATCGTGACAGCAAAGAGTTCATAAAAACGTGTATAGTCGAAAAGTTCATAAAATCTGTTGTACAAAAGATACACGCAATTGTATCGGAGTAAAGTTTGAAAAAATTTTAAAATCAATGGACAATTGAAAATATGAACAACCATGACAATCAATCTGAGCGGAATGTTTGAGTGGTTAATCTCTATGAGATTCGGCATAATCACAGTTCTGTACTCAGAATTGATGGAAACGCAAAAGTCATTCCGTTGCTGTTGTCGAGTAAGTAATAAAACGAAGAGAAACAAAAGCAGTGTCTAAAATGCATATAAGTACATCGTAGAAGCTCTAAAAAAGGTGTATAATCGTTTTCTAGCGAATTTCGAGACTCTTTACACGTTAATGACTGTTAACGAATCATGTAACGGCCAAAAATATCGCTAGGGAATTTGCTGTGTGATCAAAATTATGGATTGTATAAAGTGTTTCGTAGAATCTATGAATCGTAAATAACTGTTGCAAGTCAAACATATTAGTACGTAATCGAAAGAAGTGAACTATAATTAATCAACATTCTTTCATACAGAATCACACGACTTTTTTTGTTATTTTATGTGCAAAAAACTGTTCTCTCTTTTACTTTTTTTAGCGTGTATCTGCCATCATTCATAACTCAGCTTTCATTCGGTCTACTGTACACGATTAAGCAGTCTTTTCGTAGAAAATTATAAACGCAGTTTACAAAATACAAAATGAGAAGTACATTTATAAAAATCTCGATCAGTCAAAAGATGGTGTGTAATACTATTGGATTTCTCATTGATTAACTTGCTTAATATAATTCTTTTATGGTGTATACTTCATCATATAATTAGTTTGAAAAACCTTTAACTACCTTTCTTTGACGCTACATTCGTCCTGTTTGTTTGTTTTACTTTGTTACCTTCGAACAATGATTAAAGATAGCGAGAAAATTGTAAAAAGATCGTCGGATTATATCACATGAAGCAAAGAAATTCCATCGAAAAATTAGGTCGTGAATCATCGTCGAACTTGAATTTCAAAAAGTCGATGCGTTGTACAGATTACAATCATTCTCGACGCTAAATCTATACAACACACTTGTATCTCCTTACATAATTATTAATTCATTTATATTATAATATTTTGGTGCAATTATAAATCTTTCGTCATTGAAATCTCCGTCAGATTAATCATATTTATCACCGTGTTCGTATGACATGAAAAAATTTGTTCAAAAGAAATAAAGTCCTAGTATACGATTGAGAGCAAGGAAACATTTTTTTTGTTAAATCTACAAATTTAAGAAAATCCGTCAACAGTCAACGGATTTCCTTAACTTGGTAAACTTGCGTAAACTCTTTATAAAACATCGGCGTCTGACGCTTTGATTCGATAAACTTGAACATATTAAATTTACCTCTACTAACAATTCAACTTAAGAGTTAATGCTCGATAAAATCTATAATATTGTTAATATCCATTTAACAAAAATCCATCTACGCCTCGCGTCTCCTTCGTGTATGTTTATTATGTCAATTGCAAGACTGCTGCCATTTTTGAATTGACGGGTATCGGGTAGAAAAAACGCCAGCAAACCGTCGTGTATATCAGAGAAATAAAAAATTATAAAGAACACGCGCGGCTGTGGCAATGGCGGCGGCGGCGGCGGCCGCTACTGACATAGGCTCTCTACAACTACGTACGTTAAGAGTATGAGAATGATCGTTTAGAATTGTGCAATGAAGTGTGAGATGAAAGTGAACGAACGATTTCATTTTTAGCGGTGCTTGTGACTAAAGTGATGAACGTCGCAATTGTATTTGTTTGTTGTTGATTGTTTTTAGACCCAGGAGTCGCCAGCAGATACTTGGGCGTTGGTATTAGGCGGTGGTGCTTCTTGACCATCGGCAGCCATCCATTGTCCAGGTTGGGCGACTGTTCCGGCAACGGTAGAGTTGCCACCCACCCCCAGCTCGTACTGGCGCTTCTTTTTCTTCTCCAGGTTAACTTGCGCGTAAAGTGGCTCGCCGGGCTTCGGCTGCTGCAACACACACACAAGCCAGCGGTTTGTTACGTCACATCATTCATCTCGACAAACACTTACTTGCGCACTTTACTTTTATTTTTTATCTTTGATCAGGTCTGTTTGTTTGTTTTTATTTTTCGTTTTTTTCAGACTGGGGGTGGGGCCTTGACATCACGTTTCGGTAGCTCAAATTTTGTCGACTGCTGAGTAATTTATGTATTTTTGATAAGGGCATGCACAAAATAAAAAGAGGTTTAATCAAAACAAAGACAAAATGCAAAAGTAAAGGCGTTAATAAATAAAAAAGAAAACTAAATAATACTTTGATAAATAACGACATTTTCATTTATTTTAGGTGACAATTTATCTTTATTTCACTAAATTTGCCTGATGCTTCCAATGTACATTTACATGTCGCGCAAATAATGCGCGTAGCGCCGGAACAAACTTTGTTGTCTTTTATTTTGTTATTATTTATTTTTGCTGGTAAAAGCCTACGCTCGTCTGTGAGAATATGTAACGAATATACAATTAATTCCTGTAATCGTTAACGACTCTTTTATAAAAGTGCTCGTATCTCGTTTACTTGTATTTTTTTATAAAAATTGTCATTGTAATCTAAAATTTATAGCCATTCAAGATCAAGACAGAACGGAAGCCCTTTAATAATATAAGCCAAATTTTCGGTAAGGAAGTTTCGTGTCTGACTTGAACTAATATATATTGCTTGGTCCAACCTACTGATTGCTTTTGTGTGTCTATAGTACGTATATATAATTTCTTAATGCAAAATTAATTAAAAATAATGTCAAAAGTATAAAAAAAAGATTCCATACAAAATGCATAATAATACTTGTGAAGTTTTTCTGCTTAGCTACATACGCTGTGTCCAAAATCTTTATAAAAATCTAAATGTTTCATTTTTAATTCCTTGAGAAACATACCACTGTTTTTATTTGCACTAATTTCCTCAATCATTTCCCAAATAAATTCCGTTTTCAGGTAAGTGCAACGTTACAGGTCCAATACTGTAATTGACTTAGTTTATACATTTTTCTGCTCATAATGCATTATATAATTATGATACACAATCGATACTTGTGATTTGCTTTGCAAGCAGCTAATTACACTACGTTGTCCAGTACATCGTGCAATAGATGTCTTTGTAAGTGCGATTAAATTTTATATATAACTTCTTAAATCGATAAGTCCTACTTCCCATGTGGCATAAATTATGATAAAAAAAAAAGAGTATAATGTTTCAGAAAAGATACTTTAATGTACTCTCAATTGTGTATGTGTGTGTGTGTGTTTTGAAAAACACGCTTGATTAGATCCCCTGTTTTGTCGACTACGCGCCTCGACAGTCCATGTTTTCGGTGTGTGAAAGAGCGCTTTTTCGCGTTTAACGGTCTAGCGACTTACTGTATTGTTCGGGTACACGCATACGCCCCCAGCGGGTGGCTGCCTTGCGACCTCCTGGTTTTGCTGTCGAAAGACACAAGCGTCAGAACAAAAAAACCAAACAAAACGCACGCGTCCCGGTTGTCAGTTCAGAGTATCGGGTTAATTATTTGTTTTTCTTTTGTTTATTAAATTCGTTTTTAAGTCTCTACTTACCGATTGATAGATATTTGTACGACCGATGTTATTTGAGTTGAGTGTACCACCACGTTGGATCGTTCGGTCTTCGTATCTTGTGCTGCCTTGCGATGCCATCGGCCGGTTTAACGTGCTGCAATCATAACTACATTGAACATAGTATTATATCGTTGTTTAGTAAGCTGGGACTCAACGTTATATGTCGTTCATAAAATATAAGAAAAATATAAAAGTACTTTGAGTCCCATAAATACAAAATAATGAAACTAAAAATTAGTACCAAAATCAAAGGTAGAGGTGGCGTGTAGTAAGCTTTATTTACCTGTTTGCATTGTTTGGAGAATTTGGGCCAGAATTTCTAGCAGCTACCGTTTTTGTTACAAAATCCTGTTCCTTCCAGCCGTGTTTCTTATACACGTCTCTTAGCTCTTGGTGTTGCCACATTGTAAATAATACTTGACCTTATAAAAGATAAAATATCCCTTTAACCTCGAAAAATAGAAACGTAACATTACAACGTTGACTAGAATAAATAGTAATTACCAGCAAATTTGAGAACTCTTGGGGTGTATTTCTGCCTCTGCCGCGTAATATTCATGAGCCTCTCGACGCCACCAGCATCGAGAAGCGACCTCGAGAATTCGGCGTTCTTCTTAATGACTTCGTTCAAGGTCGCGAGAACTGCGGCAATGGTGTCGTCACTGGTACCCTGATCATGTTGATTGTTACCCGAAGGTAATTTTTGAATGAGATCTCTCATTGCGTACTTTCCTATAAGTTCCTTATTACGCTGGTCTATGGCGAGATTTCGCAGGGCTGTGGCCACTGCGCAGACGACTCTGTCGACCTATGAAATAGTTAAAAAAATGACTAGATGTTCATATTGATCGAAGCAGTACAATAAACCATTTGACGTGAAGATAGAAGAAAAATTCAATCGAATGACAAGAAAAAAGATCAGATCAATTACGATGATTTTTTTAACGAAAATAACGATCGAGATAAATGCGTTAAATCTAATGAAACGGCCGACCTCGACAGACAAAGTGAAAATCCGTGAAGGAGAGCTCTCAAGTGAAAAGTCGATGAAAAAAATTGTACTCGATAGAAGGGCAAGTACTTAGCCCAGTTTTGCAAATCGAATGAGCCAAAGGGAAGAAAAGAATCGCTCACCTCCATCCTGAGCAGCTCGACGAGAATAGGTAAACCCTTCTCTTTCCTAACGGCAGCTCTAATTTCGATGCTCGGCTGCCAATAACACGCAGCCAAATTCTGCAAAGCCCCGGCCGCCGCCTCAAGTGTCTCGGGATTTGAACAGTTGTGCAACAAACTCAAGTACAACTGTACGACCTCGGGCTGCCAGAGTAACTCCATGCCTTTGACTGGCTCAGTACGTGGACTAGTTGTTCTCGTAGTGGTGGTGTCCTTTTGCATTGGCTGGCCGTCCTTCTTCTTCTTGCTGCCGCCGAAGCAGCCCAGGTTCTCGCCTATAGCAAAACCGTCCAGGACTGTTATTTGTAAACGTGTTTCTTTGACTAGCTGGTCATACAGTTATTGATAAGCATATGGTGAGACGATTTATCGTTTTTAACGTTACAGTTATGATGAGCTTATGATAATATGCTTCTACTTATGAAGGAAGTAAACGATAGAATGCAACGCTTCTTTAGATGAATTAACTAATATGAATCGTTTCAAGGACAATAATTATATATGTTACGGCATATCTATAAAACTAGTATACTAATTGAATAGCGTCTAGATAACTATTGTAGAGCTAACTGCATTATCAGTGCGATAAAGTTACATGTAAAAGCTATTGACTATTGAGATAATTAATATCTCCTTATTGTGATTTGAAATTCCATTATTTTTCACTCCGAGGTTAAGTCTAAGGATTAAATGGATTAAGATAAAATGAGCAAAATGAACAATGTTGGCGACAAATAAACTTTGATTGTTATATTAGAAAACTGACAAATAACAATTTAATTATCTACAAATAGAAAAAATATTCATGAAACAATCATGCTTTCTTAAAAAACAAATCAATCTTCCACGACGTCTTACCTTGACACAGACTGAACGCTAAAAAGATCGAAACAAGAATTTAATCTATACTAAGTTCTCATTAACAAGTCGCAATACATCTACCCGCTCATCTAAATAGCATCGACAAAGAAAAAAAAACATATTCCGCGTAGAGTCACTAACAACCTCTAAAGATCATCACCCACATCAGAGAGCATGTTCTTAAAAAACTTGTCAACACACCTTTGGCTGGAGCAGCTACCCTGTTTTGCACGTTGACTTGAATGGGATGTTTGTCGTAATTCGGATCCTCGACTTCCTGGCAACGGTAGCTAAGATTCCTCAAGATACACACACAATTCTCCACGATTTTATTGCCGATGTTACTCTTTTCGATGGCTGAGCGAACGACGTAGAGAAGAGCATCAACGAGGCCGTCGCATTCGCGGAGCTTTTTGCGAGCGTATTCGCCAGCACTCGACACATTGCGCAGCACACCCGAAGCGTTGCGAAAGACCGTCGACCAACATGTTTCGCCGCTCGCCGAACTTGGATCCCAGCCGCTGTGCGGGATTATTATGTTGTTCACCACCATCGTCACTCCGTCGTCGATTATGGATTTTTTCAGATCCTGCAATAAATACGAAACGTGAAAGTGACTTCTTTGTTTTTTTTTCCGTTTGAAAAAAGTCACGTAGAACGAGAGGAAATTTAATTAATGCCCCGGTGAAAGCTGGTTATAGCGGAATGAGAGAGCAAAGACAAATTACCTCGCAAGACGACAAGTTCCACAAAACGCCGGTAACAAGTTCCTTAACGTCAGCATCGGATGTCCGTCTGAGGAGATTAATCAGCGCGGGAACACCGCCGGCGTTCTTGATCGCTCTCTTGTTTTCGTCGTTCTGTCGGCCGTAAGACAGATTTCTCAGCGCTCCGCAAGCGTTTCTGTAGACTTCCGGACAGTCCGAATCCAGCAGCTGTACCAGCGGCGGGATACCACCCAGACTGCGCGTCTTCTGCTTGTTCGGGTCGTCCATGTAGCAGAGATGTTGGAGATACGCGGCTGCGTTGGCCTTGATAACGTTATTGGGATTGCTGAGGAAGCCGATCACCTCCGACAAGTTGGGATCTCGCCAGCGCATAGACTTGTGCTCGTCGTCCAGTGGGCTAACCATACCGGGTACCAAGTGACGACCTTTGAGTCGTTGCAGTTGTACCTCGTCCTCGTACATCGCTAGACCGGCTCCTGGGATTCCAGCTACCGGTACGTGAACACCTTCTTCGTAAGGTACCTCGGTAGGCACTACGCCAACCGCTGGTCCGTAAGACACTGGGCCGTAGGGCGATGGGGATACGAAACCGTATGCCACTTTGCCCTCGTCTGTAATGATGCATACCCATATGTCCCGGTCAGTGCTTCGCCCGCACAACATTGTGCGACTAAGTTCCAACTTACCAATCGGGTGCTGTGAAGGCTCGCCCGAGTCGTCCATGTTCCACGAGTTGCTAATCTGATCTGTAATGAGCGAACAAGAGCGATCATTCAGCGGCGAGGTGATAATTGCAACGGCCGGCGACAAGGGCACGCTGTATAGATATTTGTAGATATTTGCTCGCAGAGAAGTATTGCCTTCCTCTTTCGTTAACGAATTACGACAGATTGCAATGTAAGTGGTAAAGAGGGCGCTTCTCTTCTTAGGGCGAATTATAAGGATAAGGTGGCGAGGAATGACGATCAGCAACAAAAAAACAATAAAACGTTAAAAGCCACTGTCAAATCAAAATGAGAGCAAATAATACATGAAATGGATTGGCAAGTTTTCGGATGACACGATGCATTGCAAAGTAATCATAATGTTAAATAAATCAAGTTGTACGGGAGAAGCTTTTCACTGCAAATATTTGCACTTGAAAAATCACCTGCCGTATCTCTGAATAATTGCAGCGGTTTGATAGAAACGGAGTAGTAGTAGTCGTCGCCGGTTGGCTCAATGATTGTACATTAAAAAAATACATTGAAAAAAGAAAGATAACGAAACGCTTATTTACGTTGGCTTACGAAGTAAATGCTACCTCGATCTTTCCAGTAATTGAAACGGAAGCCGGCATCTGCCTGCTATTGAGTTCCGATAAAGTACACATTTCTTTCTTTTTCTTTCTGCACAATCGACTGCGCGGAGCGACGTTAACTAGCCATTCGAGGCGGCATTCGATAAAGCTTCCGCCGAGAATGAGTCACCGATTAATTTTCACTCTCAGTCCGTTCTCTGAGAATGAAAAGCCGGTTGCCACTCCGAGGCGATCAAACCACTTGCAATCGCGTCGCGGACCTTCGTCTCTGAAAAGAAAAGCGAGAACAAAACGAAGCATTACCATGGGGCGGAGAAGCGCGACTGTGCTCAGAGGGACTGTGGGGACTACGTGGGGGTGAGTGCGATCGTGCGGGCATGTAGATACCGTGTGGTCCACCGGGCATGAAACCAGGCTGCGGCGGGTAGCCCATGTACGGGTCGAATTGGTCGAAATTGACCATGTAAGGGTCGACTGCCGGCACATATCGCGGATCGGCCTGATAGTCCTGCGACATCAGCGGCACCGACACGTAGCTCACTGCTCCCGGCTCCGGCTCCATGTGCGACACCTCTCGCACCACCTTGGTCACCGTCGTCACCTGCGATTCCCAAGAAAGTTTATCGGCGAGAGCCCTCGACCTCGGGCGAGTGCATCGTTGAGGCCCGGCGATGTCGCTACCTGTTGAGAGGTTTGCTGCTTGTGCGTGCGGATGAGCAGCGGATCGTCCTGCACCGACAGATGCGAGGAATGCAGAGAATGCGTATCCGCCAGCCCGTTGCTCCCGTGGTAGTCCGTGTCGCCTTGTCCTCTGCAATTGCGTTCCGCACATGAGCACGCGTGTATATTGGATTTCTCATGAAGTTCGCGCTCGCTGACGTTCGCCTGGCCGAGCCGCGAGTGCGAGTGCAGGCGATCGGTCGAGGCGCGACGAAAGCTCCGGGCAAGCCGAGCGGAAGCAGCGTAGCTCCGCAGCGTACCGACGGCGAAAGATCGCGCGCGTGATCGGCGGCTATAATAATACAAGGATAAAGGTACTCACGTGTATTGCGGCATGTCGGGGCCCTTTTCCTGGAGTACGCGTCTGCGGAAGAGAGAATCGTAGCTCTGTTAGATGTTTTGCTGTTAGCACGCGAGCGCTATCGGCGCTGGCGTATTTGCGCGAAGCTTTTACGAATCGCCGCGCTGCGCTCATTGTTTGCAAACTGAATAAGCGCTCTCTTGACACGCTGTGTACGTGCGCGCGCCTCATACTATATTTATTGCGCGCGAGCGCAGCCCGTAATCATTGTGTCAATAAGTACAAACAAGCTACGTGTGATGCTGCAGAGAGAGAAAGAGAGAGAGAAAGAGAGAGAGAAAAGGACACACACACGCGCACAAGCGATTACGTATTCCATGCAACTACAGAGGGAACGAAGGAAAAATGCCCGCCCGTTAGCCATCGACAATACAGTCTTTTAACGAGCGCCACTGGACCCTCGCGAGAGTTTACGTAATGAAATTCAATGATTCGATAAATTTTACATGCATCCGTTCGAGACGCTTTTCTGCCGCTTCTGCTGTTGCTACTGCTGCAACGCTTAAAGGCGAGGAGCGAGAGAAGGCGCATTCCTTTTTCTAACTGTTTTGAATTTTTATTATCTTTTCCGAGTTGCAAAGCGCAGCGTATTCTAACAGATGAAAATTTCCACCCGAGAGAGAGAGAGAGAGAGAGAGAGGAAATCGATGCTGCGTGTATATTCTTGAAATGGAGCTCTGCTGTTGCGCGTAAAATTACGCTTTGCAGTGGCGCAAAACAAAACAAATGAATGAACAGCGACGTTGCTCTCGACAGCAGAGCCGACGCGTCTGCGAAAAGCAAGGCAGAAAAAGAGAGAAAGAGATAGAGAGAGAGAGAAGAAAAAAATGAGGGTGGCATTGTCGCGGAAGGCCAATGCTGCGCGAACAGACACACACACGCGCGCGCAGATGCAGGGAGAGTCGCACGCGGCGACAGGCAGGAGGGAGAGAGGAACAAGGTGATTACGGTTGTCCGATTGCGAGCGATTGTTCGCCAAGGCATGCAAAGCCAAATGAAAAGAGGAAGAGAATGAGAGGGTTAGTCACCTCTGCGTGATTTCAGTGCGGGTTATGTTGTGCTCCTGGCGCTGCTCGATCCGCCGGTTCACCAGCCTGCGCAAACCATCCCGAGGCGCGAACGAGCCGCCGTTAATTTCGCTACTTGTTTTCATGCGCTGGCATTCGTTGGTTAGAGCACGGGGTCGACGAGGGAAATGGGGGAGGTGGCGGAGGGTACACGAATAACAATGTGCTGTTTGGAAGGTGAACAAGAGACGGAGCGCGAGTGCTCCCGAAGGGGGTTTATTGTTAGTTTTCGGCTGGAGTGCCGTAATTGGCTTTCGACGCGATTGGCGAACTTTTCAAAAGCAGACGTTCGACGCAAGCTCATTGATTCGGTCGGCGCCGAAGCTCGCGCGCGCGACATCGATTATCAATCAATGGCCAATGGAGGAAACGCCGCATACGACGCTCCAGCGATCAATCCACGCACCGATAACAGACCCTCGGTAGGCATCAAAGAATAATAATAAAATGAAGGAGCATACTCACAGGCAAGAATCAACCAGCTGATTGTTTGACATGCCAGCAACGTCGATCGCCACTTCCTCCTCACCTACATTTACGCGCGATCAGCTTCGCCTGCAAAGCAAAAAGGCCATCGGTGAAAAAAAAAAAAAAAAAAAAAAAAAAAATGCCCACGGATTTTGCGTGTGCACTCGGACGTCGCGCTCGTTCGACGAGGGCGGCGGCGGCGGCGGCCGGCGGCGTCTTCGAATCGATAGTTATAGTCGCGCGAGGTACGCGAGACGCGCGTAAAGCGACACCCGCGCGTGCGTCCACGCGAAAGCGATATGTGGGACATTGCCGGCGGCACGCTGCCACGTTTTTGTCATTGCATTGACTTCTCCCTGTGACGGCCCGCGACTGCATAAACGTCACTCGATTGACAAAACCCGACCGACGCTCCTCTCTATACGCCGGCGAGAGACAAGTCGTCGCGGCTCGCCACGTTTTTCACTGCCATCGACGATTTGTTGGGTTGGTTTTAACAATGTGCCGTCGACGTCGTGTCGTAATGAAAAAAAAAAGGAAAAAGCCGAGTTTTTTTTTCTCTACCCGGCAACTCCCGCTCTGCCTAATATTCTGCGCGAACAATTACGAATGGATCTTGAGACTTGCGAAAATGCGTCTACTTAGTCACGTTTTGTATAGGTTCCCTTAAAATAAACAAAAATAAAAAAAGAAAAAGCAAAGAAAAGAAAGGTGACGCGAGGTTGCTCTCTTCGTTGCGTTTTCGCGGCTATTATATCCTCCAAGGATAAGAAAATACAACATGTCCCGTTTGCGCACGTTCGTCGAAAATTTTAACGGCGATAATGCGAATTATCTAGCTGCTCGTTGCTCGCGCTTAGTCAATTGCTTTTGGATGACTTCATGCGAGTAACGCGCCTGATTCTGGTGGGCGATTTTTCGATTATTTCTCAGACGCCGACGAAACGTAACTAGACGCTTAGCGCAGCTGTCGTTACTATTCCGCGAATCGACAATTGACGCACAACCCAGATATCTTTGTCGTAAAAGATAACTACCACACCGCAGAGCGTCATAAAGTAATCCAAAGCTTATCTATTCTCCCGAAAAATTTCCTCTCCCATAGAACAATCCACTCCCACGCTCTCTTCTTCCTTTCGGCCGACAGAGAGGTGGCAAGAAGCTATCTCTAATCCGACAGCCGCGGCGAAAGAAAACAAATATCACGCGCAGTTAGCAGTCGGAATAGGGTATAGAAAGAGAGTAGGTCAGCGGAAGAGAGTTCTAAAAGCCAAAGGTAGCACGCAGGTGTCGCAGACTACACGCTGCCGACTAATTATCCTCCGCTATTTAATGAAGCGGCGCGCGCGAGCGCTCGTTAGTCGGTTTTCGCGCGAGAAAGTCGGCTTCGATTCAATGTTGATCTCGCGTGCCGAGCTCTCCCCGTGAAAAAAGCCGTGCTAGAGTGTTTTCGTGGCGACGGCTACACCCCCTTGTCGATGATGCGCGGACGTGCGTATCTGTGACCTTCGGATATTTTTTTTTTTTCGGCGGTGGCGGGAGGAGGGGGCAGGTGTGCGCCGAGTAAACAATCCCACGCTCCTGCCGGCATAAATTGCATCAATTCAACGCGCAAGCGGGAAGCCCGTGAGTGTTTTGAGGCAGCAAGGCGCAATTCGCTTTTTATTCCTTGTCGGCTTTTAGATGGAGAATATATAGGAAGTCTATAGCGTTATCAGTCCGACATTTCGGAGTCTCGAAAAACACACTCTCCGCTCTCTCTCTCGCTCTCTCTCTCTCTCTCGCTCGTTCGCTCTGAACTCCGAGAGCGAACAGCGCCCTCTACCTTTCCCGCACGCTTTTCCGGAGCTCTCTCTCTCTCTCTTAGGCGGCTTTCCAGACCGCACATGGGAGAGGCGGCGGCTCTCTATCCCTTGAAAGATGATTGACTAGCTGCACTTGGGCACAATTCACGAAATCTCGAGGCGAACGCTAGTCAATGCGACCCTGCTGAATTGTAAATGTATACCTTACGGGAGAGGCGTCTTCAGTTTAGACCCGGTCATGTCACACGCCAGACTACGTGGACTGTTGCTGCGAGAGAGACTCTCTCGCTCTCCTCGGGACTGGCGTCGGCAACGCCTTTGCCAACCGCTCTCTCGTCGTCGCTCGTCGTCGTCTCTCTCACGACTTTCTTAGAGCATTTAGCGCGCGCGCCCTTCACTTTTCACTCAAATCTCATCACACACACAGCATCTTGCGCCTACTGCGCGGGGCGGCCTGGCAATTGATCCTTGTGGACAGCAGTGCAACGACGACGCCACGGCGGGCTTTTAATTTGAGCCTGATACTGCTACAACTGACCGTATCTCGTATATACTCGCTGCGATGCCTCGTCGTAGTACTACTACGCGCACCGAGACTGGCTGGTCACCGCTACTATACTCCCCAACTTACAACTCGCGGATCACCGATCTGCTAGCAGCAGCAGCTCGAAAATGGCTGCCCCTCCCCTCTCGCACACTATACACCGACGACGCACCTTTCAAGAGAGCGAACGAGCGAGAGAGACAGAGACGATCCTTAGGCAACTTCAGGTGGCATTGCGTCGATGGAATTTCATTGTTATTCAGATTTTCGTCTCATTCATTATTCTCACTAGATTGGCTTTTTTATCGTTTATTTATTCATGAATACGATGTTGAAATTTATCATGAACATATTTCAATTTTATCTCATAAAAATTCAAAACCTGCGAGCACTGCTTATTCCACGTGCAAATCGGTCATTTTGCAATAGCGTCATTTTGTTATTGAAATTCTGCAGCAATGGTTTTGAATTGAGATCAATCAAAAACAGGTGAATTTTTACGATTGGGTTTTCTGAATGATAAGTGGATCGCGGAGGGACAAATACAGCAGAAGCAGCCAATCGTGTGAAGTTAGAGATAGAACAGTCACTCACACATTGGAACATGGCTGCTGTGGTGTCGAGAATATTTAAAAATAAACGTATTTATTCTTAATAAATAAATAAGAATTATTAAATTTCATCTGACTCGCGTGTTTAATCATTATTTTTTGCAGTGTCCAGAGATAAAAGGTTTCTGAAATGCATCAGTGCAGACTTCATGCAAATTTCATGTTTGTCAATACAAACACAACCTATCGTTAAAGATGATGGTAAGATAAGTTAATTTAAGCATTAATTTATTGTGTGACCGAATTGTTTTATTGCAGGGCCAGTAGAAGTGAAATTACATCCATTGAAGCATCCAGATTATTTTGAAGTGTCCAAATTATTCACTGTCAAAGATTTATTTGATGCTAGAGTGCATTTTGGCCATACAGAAGGTACTTTAGATGATCGAATGAGACCTTTTTTGTATGGATCTCGATTAGGACATTTGATATTTGATCTTAATCAGACGGCTGAACATCTTAGACAAGCTTTAAACTTCACAGCACATGTTGCATATAATTCAGGATTAATAATGTTCATCTGTAGATCACCACAAAATGCACATTTAGTAGAAAAGACAGCAATTGAGTGTGGGGAGTTTTCACACACTAGAAAATGGAGAAGAGGAATATTCACCAACTCAACTAAAGAATTTGGAGCAGTTACCAGGTTACCAGATCTTTGTATTTTTTTAACACTGTTGGACACTGTTATGTCCGAACATATTGCTGTGAATCATGCAGCTAAAATGTGTATACCTACAGTTGGGATAGTTGATACAAACTGCAATCCCAATCTGATAACATATCCAGTGCCTGGTAATGATGACACTCCCAGTGCAATTGAACTTTATTGTAAATTATTTAAGAAAGCCATTTTATTAGGTAAGGAAGCTAAAGATAGAGATAATAACCAAACATAATATTTAATTGTAGAAAAACAAAACAGAATCGTTATAAATATAAATTAGTTTGTACAAAATGCTTTTTTCTTTGTTTCCTGTCATTAAAAATATCACAATACAATGTATGGCAAAAATGATTGAAAGAAATGAGTGACAATGAATATTTAGTTCTCTAATTAAGTAGAATTTGATTATTGTTGCACAGTAACTGTAACTTTAGAATCTCTCATTCGTTGAATCATAGCTGTTCCAACGTATGGCATGAACCTGTTAAAAAACAATTATTTTTTTTTATAAGCATGTATATTTTTTTATAATTTTTTATCAATTATACTTGAAATGATACTCACAAAGCGCTTAAGTTTGGCCAATATTTGACTGCATAAGTTAGTTGTAAAGCACCGGCTTTAGCTATCCATACCTCGTCTAATTTATTAGCTAGAGCAACTCCAAACAATCTTCCACAGCGAGCAGCAGACATTTTATTTGATGCAACATCAGTTGGAATTCCATATTTCTATATGAAATTGATATTATATTAGTTGCATATAAAATTTACATTCAACACATTGTTATGTTACCTCTCCAGCTTGCTCAGTAAAACTTTCAGCCAAAAAATCAGTTTGTACTGGTCCAGGGCATATAAGAGAAATGGTAATATTTTGATTCATTTTCTCTAGTCTTAAACAATCAAAGTATCCCTAAAATCACAAATTTAATGAGTATTTTACAATAATTATTCCCAATTTAATCATAACTGTTGATATTTACGTGGATGGCATGTTTTGAGCCTGTGTATGAACCAGAAAATGGAGCTCCTATAATCCCAGCTAAGCTTGAAGTAACTGCAATGTGACCACTACCTTGACGCTTGAACTGTTTAATTGCCAATCTGCTTAGTGACACAACTGAAAATGTGTTCAAATCAAAGACTTCCCTGTCAACTGCAATGTTTATCTCTTCCCAAACAGCTCTTTGGCTTCTACCAGCATTGTTGACTAAAATATCTAGCTAGAATTTTGAAGATATTTAAATTTTTAATATTTGTACAGCTTGTTATATGTGGATGTCTGACTTACTCTTCCAAAAATTGACACAACATTATCAAATATTCTTTGGTGAGAATCAATCAGTCTTACATCAAAAACCACCACTTGAATATCATGATCTTGCAGTGATGGATTAGCTGTAAAGACACAGTAGTTATATGAATGCTCCAAAAAAAAATAGACTTATATAAAAATCGCATGGTTTACCTGCTAAACAATTAGTTTTGACTTTATGTAATTCAATCTCCCTTCTAGCTGATAAGATGAGTTTGCAACCTCCTTTGGCAAGAGTGTAAGCTAAATGTTCACCAATTCCACTGGAAGCTCCCGTTATCCATACTACCTTACCACTTAATGTATCTGCATTGAGAAGAAAAGATAATAAAATTATTCCACCATACATTAAACTCTTCGTACGTGCACACTCATCTCATACAAATTCAAACTAACTGGCACACTCGTCATTTCGTTTTTGAAATGAGCTTACGCAACTAAGCAGCAGCGCGGTGCAATGGAAAAAATAAAAATTACGATGTACACTTACTGACGGATTTGCCGAATTTGTCGCAGAAGAAGAGCTTGATATCGCAGTCGAAGAAGCGTACGAGGACGGCATAGACGAAGTAGTACCCGAGCACGCCGAGCACGATGATCGCAGTAATAACCATCGCGCGCTGATATGTGTATTATATTGTTTTTATTCACTCCGTTTTTTTCTTTTTTTGTAAGATCGCGTCTGGATCTAGCGCAATAGCGGGACGTGTCTGGCTACATACGGCGTGTCGCTTGTTGCTCTTCGGCCCCGCAGCGCACCACACGAATGCCTCTGAAAATCAAGAGCGCGAGACGAGTGGGAGAGGGACAGGCGTAGAAAAACGGGCCCCGCGCCTGCGCCACGGCTATTGAACCAGAACATTTCGCACGCACGCACGTCTTTTTTCCCATTCACGTGTATCGCGCTGCCGCCAGGCTCATCGAAGGCCCGGGAATCGCGACCTCCTGCGTGCGTGCAGACTCGCTGCTTATCGATTTCATTGCATATCGCCTATTGCATTCTCGCGTTGTACGCCCATCGGATCGATCTCGAGCTTACGGGCTTCGTTCCACCTGTTACGCTCCGTACGCACATTACAGCCTCGTTAATAGTGCCATTTTCATTCAACCGTCTCCAAAGTGTAATCTTATCAATTATTAATTAACACCATTTGCTCTTCTTTGCTTGTACATCAAACGATAAGAGAATTGCTTTTCAAGTACTGCACTCACTCCTGATTACGCTACGCAGCCTTTGCGGAGGGTTTTCTTTTGTATATGAAAGATAAAAGCGAAAGAGTCAAGTTGACTTTCAACGCGAACGTCGGTTTTGTAAAATTTACTATTTCCGAAATAAAGATCCAATGCATGACATCATTGCTGACTCGACGATGATTCATCAACTCTGAGGCGAAATATCACGACTGATTTCTATCGCGATCGTGCGACGATCCGTTCCAGCGCATTGCGAACTTTTGCGAAATTTCAAATAAGTTCTGTAACAACTTTCTTTATTGCAGTATATTACGCTTGTACAAAATGCCGGTTGAAACAAATAACGATGCAGCTTTAATTCGACAGGTCAAATATGTTTGCTTTTTGTTCGAGCGGCGTTCGACGAACAAAGTATGAAAAAGATATATTATTAAATAAACAAAAGACTTCAAAGCCTACGGCGACATAACAAGATAATTATGTAGGTATATCTTATCTTCTCTGTTGTTCAAAAAATAAAAATTCCTGCAAGCAAAACAAAGAATAGAGAGGTGTTAGCTTAATTTCTAGGCGCGGTTAAAAAGAAGAGAGAGAGAGAGAGGGAAAAGATAGCGTCGTATATTACCAGAAGGAACGCCGCCCCGAGTAGTAGTCCTTTGAGCTTGACGCCCATTTCCGGGATGAAGGTCAGCAGCACCGAATAGTCCACCAGCACGTTATCCCAGTGCCGTATGAGTGATGCTATCTGTCGGCTTCTGTCCATCGAGACTATCTGCGGGCGAAAAAAAATCTCAACGTCCTTCTGACGAATTCGAATTAATTCCACGTGGCGACAAAGAGTATCGAGTTGATTAATCAAACTTGACTTGTATATCACCGAAAGCGCCCTCGTGAAAAATGTAGTCGCTACCCTCGGTGAATAATTCATCGATATGTACCACTTACAATAAAAGCTTCTTCCGGAGGAAAAAAGAACACGAGAAACTTCTTAAATTTCACTCCTACGATACGTCAAACTTAGCGACTCGATAGATATTAGTCTTAAGAGTGTGCGGATTCCATGATTAGTGACGTATACGCGACGCAAAATAACCATACCATTATACCTGAAATTGCGTTTCGGTGGACATACAGCAAGAGTAGACGTTAGGTCCCTCGATGTAGCAAAGTGAGTCTCTGTTCTCGTCGTAAACGGTGAAACTTATTCCGAAAACGGTGAGATTTTGCTCGACGCTGCCCAGATACTCGGCAGCTTGGATCGTCACGCTCTGAAGGCGAGGAAGAAGTAAAAGCGAGATTAACGGTCATTGGCAGCTACATCGGCGGAATATGTATATTATTGCGTACGTGGAGGAAGCCAGGCAAGCATCCCCAGCTGAGGCCCTTGTTGATCACGTAAGCAGTTTCGCCCGATGGATCCATGATATTGAGAGTGAGGCGGCGAGAGGAACGTAATAGCTGACGCTCACATTCTGCTGATTCCTCGACGGCCAAGAAGACCGTCTCGGCCCGAGGTACTCGAACTCGGTACTGCGCGCCGTTCTTCGAGCGACCCAGCACTGCGAGAACGGATAAAGACTTTCTTCGTCTCTCTAGTCGACAATGGAAACGCGTTGCCGTAGAAATCGCTTTATTTGCGCGATCGAGGAAACCATCAATCGAGAACGGGCGCGGAAGACGAGTTTTCTTTTTTCACGCTTCGAAAAATACAAATGACCTCGAGTGACTCTCGACGATAATCGCCTCCTGTCATAGATACTCGTCTATATTCATAAAGCTCGGCGTCGAATATTTACGCCTTGCACCTCTCCCTCGTTTGCCAGTTGTTTGCCGAGACAACGAAACAGCGCCCTGCGAACCACTTGTTTCCAAAACTCCGGCTTTCCCCATTTGGAAACGAAAAAAAAGAAGAAAGAGGCGAGGTATACGTACGCGAGCTGAGCTCGACAACTTGTTGAATCTCGAGCTGGTCGATGCTCGACAAGAAGTAAGTGCCGGAGAAGAGGCTGAGCTGCGATCGCGGCGTCGAGACCCAGTCTACAGTGCTGATTGGACGACTTATCCGAACCTCCTCTGCAATGTCGTCAGCCATGTAGCTTAATCTCGTAAAATCTCGCAAGCTTTCCACGGACATACCTGTCGACCTGAAAGGTTGAATTGTGACGACGCTCGGCTCGGTGTGTATTGGCGGCAACGTGAGGCCATCGTCCGTCACCACTTGGTGATTCTCCACTGTGAACACTGCACGATGCGCGAACGTTACTTCGGCACTGCGGTGACGATCGCCAAACGAAAAATACCTGTTCCACTCTGCTCGGCAGCGAGAAACCGCTGAGAATCGGGCACCTCCTCGTTCCGCATCTTTCCGTCATCCTCGTCCAACACCTGGTCGTCGGCCCGCGTAATCTTGCCTCGGACGAGTTCCTTCTTCTTTTTTTTTTTTCGTGCGCTTATCTTCGGCTCGATAAGCGCTATCTTCGCGTGCGCGATCGATAAAAGCACTGGCAATCGCGTTGCGTCTGGCCGTTCTAAAATTCCATTGTCCGAGGCGCGGCGACAATTTCACCGTCGCGAATCGACGTCGACATTTTGTTTTCTTCTTTTTCCCATTAGCAAATGCCGAGAGATTCCTTCGGCGCGCGCGAGATTGCTTTCGTCTCGATATAGTGCGTTAGCGCGCTCGCGAGCGGAACGTGGGGGCGTCCGCGCTGGAAATCGACGTTTCAGCGGCGGGGAAAGGCCGATAAAATAGGCCGGGATTTGCATGTGACGCCGCGAGAAACGATATTTACAACAGCCCGCCGGCCTCGCGCGCCTCATTCATTGGGCGACGATATAGGCAGCGTCATCCCTTGGATTACTCGGCATCGAGCGAGCCCGAGAGGAGATGCTAGCTTCTCGCTCCGCGATTGTGCAAGAAACAAACATTCGATGTGCAATGGCCGCGCGAAAAAAACTACAAAAAAAAAAGAAAAACAAAGAAAAAAAATAACAAGAATGTATCTCGAAGTGTGAGCGCGAGAGGAAGCAGAGCGGTGGCACACCCCGTCAGCCGCGTATACGTGCGCGACTTGTTGCTGCGCCGAGAGGCGGTGTCCGTGCGCCGTTCTATCGATCGCGCGCCACCCCCCGCGAGTAGGATGCCGAGATGAGGGCGCACGCCTCCCTCCCGCTATATAAACTCGGAGGATCGGCACCGCCAGCACGACAGTCGCCACGTAGTCGCCCTCGTGGACTGAACATCGCGCTCGACGGCCGACGAGACAAGCCGACGTCGATGCTCCATTAACGAGTGACCGGACTGTCCAATTTGCAGGTGAGTCGCTCTCGAGCAAACGACGGCGGAGTACCGCGCGCCGCCGCCGACTTATTCGCGATCGCACGGCCGCGGCACGCGGGGCATTCGGTCGCGCAGCCGCCATTCGGGGGTGCGCGCGTCTGACGCAAATCGAGGGCAGTATAAGCGCTTCGCGGTCAGTCGCGCGCGCGGAGAAGTCAAAGCTCTGCGTCAGCAAAGCTCGCCCGGGTAGAATCGATATACACATCAACGTCGCCCACGCAGCTTCTCCCCGTCGAATAAACGGTTCGTAATCCGCGCAGACGAGATGACGGCCAGTTCGCGTTCGCCGCCGCTGCTGCTGCTGCTGCTGCTGAGCCTGGGCCTCGTCGGCCTGCTGCGGGCGTCCAATCCCGTGCCGCACCAGACCATCGAGGAGTCGCTGCGCGACGCTCTGGACGCGCTCGCGCGGAAGCAGCGCTCGCTCAACGCCAATCCGCAGGCCTACTATCAGTACAGGATGGACGACGGCCAGCTGCAGAGGCAACAGGTCGCCGGGGACGACGAGCAAGACGAGAACGAGGACAATCTCGCCTTCATACCGGCTGGTGAGATTTCGCTTCTCTCTCTCTCTCTCTCTCTCTCTCTCTCTCTCTCTCTCTCTCTCTCTCTCTCTCTCTATCTCTCTGACTTGATCCTTTAATTACTGAACGCTGCCGCAGAGGGAGTAGGTCAGCTGGAGACCATCGGCAACGGCTACCAACATCTAAACAACAGGCAGCTGGAAAAAGCTCTGATGAATTATTTGCAGTCCCCAACGGATCAGGTACACGCGGCTATCAATTCTTTCTCTTGAATCGATCGAACGGTCGAGTCACAAAAGAGCTCTCGATTTCGAACGGTCACCGCTAAATTGCTAACACGGAAGTCTGAGCAGATCGATAATTCGGTATGCTTCCGCAGAAAGCGCCAGCGAAGTCGATGTTTCGCGAGCGCGAGCGCATGAGCGGTAGCAAGAAGCGCAACGCTGGCAACGGAGTGACGTCTCGTTTGAGCGGCGAAGGCTTGGTGAAGCTGTTGCTCGAGCAGTTGGACAGCAGCGCGCCCGACGGTCTGGGCCCTAGCGACGAAGACGAAGGCGAGTATCAGCGTACGACTTACAAGTACCAAGCGCGCCCTAGCAATCCTTACGTGTGAGTGTTGACGATTGTTCTCTCTCTCTCTCTCTCTCTCTCTCTCTCTCTCGCTTTGATCGTCAAAGTCGATTTTTCTTCCCGCAGCAACGATCAACAGCTGCTACGCGAGATTCTCGACGCGCAGGATCGCGACGAGGACGAAGATCCGCGACAAACGACTTATCCTCGATTCCCCACCGCCGAGAGGAGGAACGTGAACGCACTGAGGTATCCGCTGTTCAATCGAGACTACAAGAATTTCATGTACAAGAGGTTCCCCGTGGCCAAGCGCAGCGCCAAAGCTGCTAGCAGGAAGCGACAGGCTACCGATCCTAAGGTATGTCGAGTCAATTAGTAAATTCGTCGTTCCTAGTTAACTCGACATTGATGTCGCAGGTGGCACAAGACTTGGGTGCGCTGTTCGGCACTCAATCGGGCGAGCCGGTGAATCACACCCACAACCACGACCACAACCACCACGACCATGACCATGACCACGACCATGACCACGACGAGCACGAGCACACTTCCGAGTCGTCGTTGGCCAAGGCCTCCAAGAGCGCAAAAGAGACGAACGGCAAAGAGAACGGGACAAAAGAGCGCGCGATCGAGGTGAAGAAGAAGAGCGTCGACTGGTCGCAGTACTTCGGTATCGACAGGAGGAAGAAGAAGGCCGCGTACGTCGGAAGACCTGGCAGCCAGCAGCACGACAACGAGTACTTGCTGCAAAAATACTACGAGGTCTCGCGCGTTCCGCACTGTTGCTCGGCGCGATGCCGACCGTTCCTCGACGACCACTCATCGTGCTTTTGCCCCGCGCGCAGATAATGGCGGAAAACCTGAACGTCAACAAGGACGCCAGCGAGAAGCGCGACAAGCTGCAGCGGGTGGATGCCAAGCTACGTAACATGAAGAACCAGCTGATCGAGGAGGCGACGCAGATAAGCGCCAGCGGAAACATGGACGACCAGGACGTGAAGGACGACATCCTGTCCAAGCTCGCGACGGCCTACTCCCTCGAGAAGCTACGCCGCGCGCTGCGCGAGCTCAGCGACAGCGCGGCGGCCGAGCGAGCGGCGCAGAGCCAGAACAACCTGACGGCTCACCAGCCGGGGGGCGAGGCCAAGAGCGAGGACAAGCGCTTCAGGAGCGGCATGGACGAGCTGCAAGGTGAGCCGCGCGACGATTCGCCGCGAAGAGCGGCGCCGGTCCGGCCGGTCTGAGCTCATGACCGTTTGTGCGCTAGCCATCGAGGAGCAGGCCAACTGTCCGCAGGTCGACATCGTCGAGAGGCATTGCAAAGCCACGGAAGCCCTCGTGGGCGATTACTGGCAGGCGCTGCTCGGCCCGTGCGTCATGTACCACATCTGCAACGCTTGCGTAAGTGAAGCCCGCGCGCCTGCTCGCGCTCGACAGCTGCACTGACCGCCCGGGCGCGATCCGATTTGCAGGAGGAGCAGGACGACTGCCTGGAGAGGTTTGCCTTGGAGGTCGAGAGGATTTGCCGGGAGGATGATCTCGAGTCTACGCCGTGGTCTCGCAAGCACTGCGTGCAGGCGGCCATGCAGCTACCGCGTCATCCGCCCCCGGTATTCGCGGAGGCGATATGTCGCCTCGAGGGCGACGAGCCGTGCCTCGCGCCCTTCCAAACCCAACGTCATCGCTCGCGTCAACTCTACGCGGCTCAGCGATAAGACGGCTTAGATCATCCATGCCTCGAGTAAGAGTTTATTTTTCCACACCTGGAATAAGGGAGTATATTTTTGTGACGAGTCCTTCACACACTAGTCCTTTCATTTCGCTTAATTGGAGAGACAGACTTTGATAAAGCCATCGTTGTACCCTCATTGCCTGCTGAGCTCATTGTGTTTCGGGGTTTTTAGGACAATAATATATTATCGTCTGATCGACGTGGATGCAACAAGTTTGCACTGTTCTCCATTTTTTCGTTTCGAGCACACAATGAGTGAAGCCAATGGTGATTGGGCAGCACAAATATATAGGTGTAATACTTAATGTCCTATAGAGATGTTAACTACTCTTAACTATCTGTAATCGTCCATATAGTGAAACAAATCAGAGTGATAAACGAATCATTTCCAAGGCGATAAAGATATTTGCTCAGCTCGATTGATATGTTTTATGTGATGTGTTTTTGGTGGTATGTAAAGGTGTTTTCATATATACATATTTCTTAACGATTGGAAGTGTAATAGAGAGGTTTCCTACCTGGAAGTGCAGCTTTGTATCCTTGATCAACTCGAGTATAATGACATATGTTATGATACTAGTCGTACAAAAAGAATTTAATGCTAAGGGCATGAGAATAAAAAAATTATTGATAAAATGAAAAATTGAATAGATTACTGATATTTATAAATCTATATTATTATTATGCAATTCTACAATAAAGACTTCCAAGATATTCTCAAAAGTATTTGTTGCAGGGAACTTTTGAGGCACACATACACAAATATTATTATATGCTGTGCTTTGGCTCTATGGTTGTACAGCTAAAGTTACTGTTTATTCATTCTAAAAAGATGCTATATATATTATATTATTAAAGATTGTCATGTCTATATATATATATTTATGTTGGAGATTATTATATGTATATCAATCTCATTCTGTGCGAATGTCCACAAATAAATCTATTTGAACAAAAAAGGGAAATTGGTTTATGTTAATTTTATTTCAAAATTAATTCAAAGTACAAAATTTTATGGATTGAGTTAAATGGATTTGTTCAAGTTTAACCTCTGTACAAAATCAAATAATTTTAAAATATTTGATTGATTACAAATCTCAAAAATAGTTCAATGACTTATTAACCCATCATCCGCTTATTATTTTCCAAATTTAAGTCTGTAGTTTCTAATTCTGGTTGAAAACGAACTTCATCAATTTTAGTGATATTCAACCGTTTAATTTTCATTCGTTTGTTTCTTTCAACTTGCTTTGTTGATCTCAAAGACATTTCATTTGAAATTTCCAAAATCTTAATGCACTTGGGATCAAATAATCTGAGCAATATCATTTGTGCTTCCATACATTGAACTGAATTATAATATATGTTCACTAATCTATGAATTTAATTTTTATAAGAAACAAGAAAATTGGAATACTTACTGCGCATATTCATAACTTTTTCAACAAGGATCTTCGTTTCTGTTATAAAAGCATCCAACTCCTGCAAAACTTTCTCGTGGTTATTTTCGGTTGGTTTCTCGGTCATCTCAAAGATACTTTTCGAAACGGTAACTTTGTTATTTTTTATCGAACATAGCAATGAAAACGTTCTCTTTACTTGTCTGGAAAATAGCGATGCTTAGTAATGAAAGTTCATTTAAGTATTTTGCCGCTTCTCTGCTCAGTGTTTCAAGTGAAGCCAACCTTGTAACACGAAATTCCATTGGTTGCTTGGCGCGAGTCAAAGAGCGCGCAAGAAAACGCAAGCGTTACGTGATCAAAAAGATGGCGCTCGTCGCAGAAGCTCCGAAATCAAGATACTCATAAAAAAATCTGATAAAAGCGCCGTGTCCCAATGTTGAGTCTGAAATTCCATTGAACCGCCATTAGCGTTGCGTTAAAATTGAAATTTCAATATAAAAGTAAACGAAAAACATCGTTTACTTGATTGAGTTCGATGAGTAACGAGTCAATGTTTTGATCGATTTCAATCTCTCGAGAAGGCAACGCCATGTTGCAGGTGCATTATTGTCGCATCAAGAAAGGCGCGATGCGCGGCCACCGATTGCGTTGATCCACAACGTCTCGGTTGCAGGGACGAATTGGCTGTGGAACCCCCTTCCTTTATCAAATTTTCATTGTTGCTACAAGATTTTATAAATCTGTAATTATTTGTCAAACCAAAATTGATTTTTTAAATGAAATAGTAAAAATTATTAAACAAACAAGTGTATAAATTGCTCTTTTATTTACAACGGTGATTAGAGGATAGTTAATAAAACAAAACGATTCAATCGTAAAATTATAGCAATTTAATATTCTTAATATCCGGAAATGGAAGAAAATTGGATCATCGAAGAGAAATGTCGAGGCGATCAGCGTCTGAATTCAGAATGCAAAATCGAAACAAAAAGCAGCAGACGAGAGCGACAAACCCGTGGCGCCTCATTGCAATAGACACGTTACTGCTTGAAAATCTGGAAGAAGGGAGGTGAGGCTCGAGCTCAGTGGCCCGCCATGTTTTTTACCGAGTGGGGTGTGTAGAGAAGGCCGGGGTGAAAATCATCTCTCGGGGCATGCAGGTAAACTTGTTTACTTCACTATTATCACCATTTGAGGTGATTTTCCATGCTCTATTCAATGAGCCGTCTTGAGCGCCGATTACAAAGCCATGAGTTTCAAGACAACGTCACGCGTTTCGCGCGCGCTCTCCGCCGTGACTCACGTTATACGTAAACACACAGTTTTCTCTCCCTCTCGCGCGAAACTATTGGATTTTTCTTCGTCAAAATAGAATCGCTAAGAGAACTTTTGATCGACGACGATTGTTATATTGTCACGAGAAGTTTTTTGTCGTGAGTTCCATCGCTGTTTGTATGTTTACTAATATGACTGTTGCACTTTCGCTCGCGTGTAGCTTTCATAACATTGCTTTGTGATGTGCATGCTTCTCATTGTGTCCGAAGCGATTTTAGAGTGTGTTGTAATTTGAAACGTTTGTCAGTTCAATCAGTGTATGAATATTGATGCGTTTTAGCAGTGGGATGAGATTCTGAGAGAGAGAGAGAGAGAGAGAGAGAGAAAAAAATATCTCGTTGAGACAATTGCTAATACACAGACGATGAGGGCGTAAACGATAGCGTAAATGACAGCTTTGTTTATCGGATTTTCTCTCTGTCATTTTTTCACGGTAGTTGCGCGTTTAGTCACACATATACCGCACTCTCACAGATATACACGTCACAGGTTTTGTGCGCAAACGCACGCGTGAACTCTTTGAAATAGCACAATGCTCAATGCGTTGCCTCTGTTTCAGTGTCAAAATGGGAAGGAGACAATACTTCTCATTTCGCATTAGAGCCTGTCATCCTTGCGACGACGACGAAACATCCACCACACACTTACATGGAACTAGGGCCAGTACATATTAAGCAACAGTAACGACATTTCAAAGAAAAATAAAAAAACAAGAAGAAAATTTATCGAAACGACAAAAAGAATTAACGACTTAACGACGAGCTGTTGCAATCAAGCCTAAGCAAGAATTACATTAGCAATAGCAGAAACCTATACACTCATTACTCTTCAAGACGATACACATTTTCTTTGGTGGTGGACACTTAACGAAGTCACAAACGAAAGGACAGACAAAGTTACTTGTAACTAGGTATCTACATTTTTAATTAATTTAAAAAAAAAACAAATACAGTTGATTCAAGTTATGATAATCAGTAAATTTATGTAGATACATATACAATGAGCCAAATGTTTGCTCTATGTTAACATTTGTTTATTATATAATTGGTAGAATAAATCGATAAAATTGTCAAGTGGTAAAGAGTGATCATAGAACAATACATAATTGATATATATAATTTATCGACCAAAGACTCAACTAACTAATGCTGAAATAATTTTTCTATGAAAATTTAATCAAATTGTTATCTTATGGAAGGCATTTCAGAGGAAACTTATGCATCTACTTTCTTGTAGAGACACAATGGTTTTGGAATAAAAGAGAGAGGATGATCACCCCGGGAGCTAGTGAGCTCTGGAGAACTCGCGGCTCGAGGAGGCGTGCTTCCGGCAGCAGAGGCGGCGAAGAAAACGCAAGGCAGCCACATCAGCAAGCGCAGCAGAAGCATCATCGAGTAAAGGAATGAGAAACCCGGCGTTGCAGCTTGTGGGTATAGCGGCGTCACCAGCTGTGGGGGCGGGTGGCGTCAGGGCCGAGGAAGAACAACTGCGTAACTGGTTGGAGCAGCGTTTGGATGCGTTAGGCATCGATCCAGTTGCCTACTCGCGCTTCGTCCTCAGTTTATTGCGACAACCAGACGACTCGGCCCTATCACCACCACCATCACATACGCCATCCACGCATACACAGCGCCAACGAGCCGCCACCGCCACAGCCGCCTTCAAACCTATCAGCAGGCTGCCACGCTGTTCCAAACTGCCACTGCAGGGTGATAGGGAGCAACGCCGTGCCGTCGTTCAATGCCTTACTAATGCCGCTGATCAGGTATATCTCGATATTCACTATTTCACTAATATATTTTTAAGTGGGTTAATTCCACTAATAAATATCTAAGTGGGTTGGTCCCACTAATACATACTTAATAAGTGGGTTAGTCCCACTAATGAGTTTCTTACTTGTATACGCCCAGAAATGCGGGGTCGAGTCATTAGTGGACGAATTGTGCGCTAAACTACGAGATCTTGAGGGTAGCGACACCAAGGATGACCAAAAGGAACTAAAAACTGCCACTGAAGCTGAAGCTCAAGTTCCTTACGAGACTCTAACTCCTCAAGATCGTGCTCTACGTTACTACGCGGCATTCCCGGCCCTGCAACCTACCACCCCGAAGAAGTCTCTGCACCGGAAAGAACGCATCACAAGCAACAACAACAATAACAATAATAATTTTAATAATAATAATAATAAAAAGAACAACGGTTTAAGCAACAATAACAATAAGAACAACAATAACAAGGCCCGCCAGAAGAAAAATAAGGTTACTATAGTAAGTCTCTCTTGTTCACCATACAGTTAGAATCGAATTAAATTTATTAACGAATAATTTTTCGATACAGGCCACTGAAATAAAGAAAAAAGACACAAACGACTCCGGATTTGCTGAACCGATGGAGCGTGAGAGAGATAATGAGCAAGAGCGCGCATTAGATCAGTTAAAGTTGGCGCAGCTACAGGCGAAATTCGACGAAAGTCTCGAGGCATTATGGGGCACTGGTCCAGGAATATCTCAAGGTACCAATTCAATCTGGGCAGCTCCATCTCTCTCCATTCCATCTGGACCGCTATGGCCAACCGACCATGGCGATATCACTTTCCCAATGATTACCTATGATAAAAGCACCGTAGATACAGAAACCCATATCGATGACTCACCGCTTATACCGTGGGACGTCGATCTGTTTAGTATTGAGGACTGTCCTAACGAATCCGGAAATAAAAACAAAACTCGTACGTTTTTTTTTATCTGCATACAAAATTTTTATTATTTCATTTTTATTTACAGTATTATTTTTTGTTATCTTTCAGAAGACATAGCGTGGAAAGATTCAGTTGGTGATGGTCCTTGGCATTGGGGTGATCTAAAAAGTATCACAACGCTAGGTCGAAGCCCTTGCACAGGCAGTTGCTACTATCCTGCGGTACCTGTTGCCACTGATAAAGAATCCTCTACTCAGCAGAAAGCAAATAATTTACCAGAGTCCGACGAAGACCTGCTTACCTCTACGCGCACTCACTTTCGCCCAATCAAAGAAGACGGCCACTATACTGACGGGACTACTTTCCCCGTCAATAACAGCCTTGAACGAGTAGCATATCGCAGGTACGTCTTTCTTGAATTACTAAATGTTATTTGTTAACATAATAGGGTTATTGATTGATCACAATTGGCTCTGTATAGATCTGAGTCGGGAAATTTATTCTATCTTCCTGGCGGTGAGAGCCCATACATGGAATATCGAGAAAATCTTGTTGCGCCAATGGCAGTATCAGCAAATCTTACGCTGAAGTTTCGAGTTCGTCAATGCGACAAAAGCATTCAAACCGAGCCAATAAGATCGCCCGTGAAGCGCAGGATTCTCTCGGAAAAAGATCGCATGTATTATCTGTCGAACGCCGCAGAGGAATTAAACATGAATGAAAACGAAGAGAATGAGAAGGATTCTTTTAATTTGGAACAGGTGGGCTGGGATCAGCCGACAGTGCTCTCACGTAGTGAAAGAAAAAGGTACACTTTACTTTCCTTGATCGAGAGAGGCGATGCACTGGTTTGTTAAAGAGGTAACATAGATAATGAAAAGTTAAATCGTTAATATTCAGAAGGCATAGCAGCAACTTCAAGTCCCGATCATTGATAGTCTTGCGCCCACTGACACTGTGAGGCCGCTAAGGTCACTGACATCAGGACTTGTGCCGTGAGGACGCGATTCAACCTAGCAGGCAGTTGTGTTTTAGTCTAGAATAAAGAATGAAAATAAAAAAAGCGTTACACGATGGGTAATTAAACAAGTAAACAAAAAAAATACGGTAGGCAACGGGGTCCTCTTGGCATGTGGAATTTGTTATGCATGAAACCAAGACGGCACGGTCAGCCCCTTGCCCTACACGCGACAATGTAAAGAATACTATATGTGTGACGCGACGTGCGATAAATATCAATTTATTTAGAGAATTCAATTATCGTTAACTTGAATCCCTCACGTGATAAAAAAAATGTATTATACATACGAAAAAAATGAATGAAAAAAAAAAAAATTAACGGACACGTGAACACCTCATACGAAAAACTCGTTATTACGAAAAGCTAAAGGGGATTTTTTTTTTTCAAAGATAAACGTAGTTAAAGAGTGTCAATTTTTGTTTCTCTTCGTTGAGTTTTATTTTAGTGGAAAGAGTTGCCTTTTCTTTTTATGAGGATTTCGTTCTTCACCCTCGATGATTAAATGAAAATAATCAATAGTGAAATCCCAGTCAAACGCGCCACAATTTTTGTGGACAGATTAAATTAATAACATATTTTATTTTCCGTAATCTGCATTAATTTTTTTTTGTTTTTATCTCCTAGTGCGTTAATTCTATGCAATAAAACCACATATGCAAAGAATGAATATATATTGTGCTACTTGATAAAAAAAAAAATTTAAAAAGGAAATGAAAAAAAAATTTAATAAATGAGGGTAAAGAAAGACACAAAAAAAAGAAAGTGGTAGGAGCTTAAAATGTAGAGAATACAATGACAAAAACTTAATATTTGAATGCTTACAAGAAAGACTATCAGAAAAAAAGTGAAGCGGCAGGTTAGGAAAAGGGAAGCAATGACAAGTGCTGATAAGTTTTCTTGTTGTTTTCCTTTATTATTAATGAATTTACCATAATCGTATTTCCTTATTATAATTTAACTCCTTAAAACACTAACATAATTCCAGGTCCTAGTACTATCAATATTTCCTAATCCTTGTCTCCTATCCCACACAAAAATCCTTATCCTCAACTCCCAGACCCATAACCTTTATCAAAAATTGAAAGAAAAGTAACACAGAGGAAACGTATGTGTATAAAAAAATGTAATTGTAAAAGTGATACCTCGTCTCAATTTAAAAGAGATTCACAAAATTAAAGAAGAATGAAAGATGTGTGAGACATGTCCTATAAGGGAAATCGATTGCCTTTTGCCGGATTGTATTTTGTGGTGAAATATATATTGAATGTGTCACGTGATTTTACTTTTCTTTTTAAAAAATGCAAAAGGCACCGCGATAAATTCATACATGTGAAATAAAAAATTAAGCGAGAAGTATCGTTTTATCGATAACATATAAGTGCGGGAAAAAAATTACGATCAAAGCACTTTTCTTTAACAGTTTTGAAATAATCGAAATTTGTTAAAGAAAAAACCAAATAGCAAATAAATAGATAAAGTAAATTTTATTTCATTTTCTTCTTGTTGAAGCTGCGATTATGATTGCGTATTTTTTAAATTTTGTTTTGTTATTTTTACTTATTGGACGTTATAATGATGAACCACGAAAAATGTTTTTAGAATGTTCTCATAATCAATTTACTTTATATATATATATATATATATATATATATATATATATATATATATATATATAACTTATATATATATATGTTATATATATAACTTTATATATATATAAACTTTATATATATATAAACATACATATATATTATACAATTATCGAAATAAAGTTTCTTTATACGATTGTTTTTTCAAAGTGATAATACCGAAACAAATTAATTATGATTATTATTTTATAGAAGAGATACGAATCGGTAAAATTAATTGTAAACAGTGTCACTATTGTAGACTCTGCCAGCGTAAATCAATTATAATATAAAAAACAATTTCTGCTTGAAACATTAATGTTTGAGTAATTTTTGATGAAACCAAAAGAAAAACATAAATCAATAACGGAAATCAATAGCAAAAAATAATATCTTTTTTTTTTTTTTTTTTTTTTTTTTTTTTTTTTTTTTTTTTTTTTTTTCAAAAAATGGCCCAAATTGTACATTTTCAAGTCTTCTCCTTTTTTACAAATAAAATTAATGTGAAGCCAAACAGAGAAATTGTGAATTAGAAATAAAAGTGGTGTAAATTTTCTTACGTGAAAATGTAAAATAATGAGAAAGGCAAGAGACATTGGGTTGTAATGTAAAAATGATGGAAACGACAAAAATAAAGTTAATGCAGACTATATCTTATGGATAAATTTTATTGAACTTTCTTCACTCTTCCTGCGACACGAATACATTATTGTAGCTGAATCAGAATTAAAGTCCTTTGGTCTTAGGTGCAATTAGAATTGGAAATCAAGTATGGAGAGAGCGAGAGAGAAAGATAGAAGTTTATTGTTAGTGATTCTGGACCTTCTGAGTAATGCCCTGAACTTTAGTTTTGAAGTACACTATCGCATCGAGTTTCTTAAAATTATCGTTGTAAAAGCGCTTCATTTTCTCGCGCCAGAAGTTAAAGTAGAAGAACTCGTAGATCAAGGTGGCTATCGCGATTACTATACCCGCTCCAATTACTACGAAAAGTCCACCGATATTCTCGATTGATAAGCCGGTATTGATGGTGTAATCATTGCACCATACGCGATTTGGATTTTCATCCCACCAGCGGTTGGTTGCCCAGAACAACCAGCTTTCTTTGACCAACTCGAGTATTCTGAAAAATCCATTGTTAAAAAGACCATTAGTTCGTACATTGTTTCCGACTTTTTTTTTAACATAAAATTCTAATTACGTTATAAAGTAATACTTAGTGTTCTGTATCTGAGATCAGTGCAAATGAAAATTCTAGAAAATCGATATAACGTATTGTAAGTCATTAAGAAAGGGTAACCTTTTGTTGTACAATGCCTTTTAAAGGACAGAAGCAGATATAATAAATTTGAAATATGAATGTCTCAAATTTAATAAATTTGAAATATGAATGTCTCAAATTTATTATAACTACTTTTGTCCTCTAACTCCTAAAAGGCATTGTAAAGCAAACGGTAATCCTTTCCTAATGACTCACTTTTATTTCTACCTGATTAGAGATTTCTGATATTTCTATGTCAATAGGAAAATGACACCTTTGTCATTCAAAACCAAAGTAATTTCCAACATCTATTGTATTGGGTTATTAACCTTTAGACGGCCGGAAAGCCACTAAGTGGCTCACCCCCTGATCAACACTTTGCCTATGATCAGTCAATGATATAACACACCTTTTATACCAGTTTTCTAAGGGCGATATGCCCTTTGAAATCCTGGCCATCTAAAGGTTAATAAATTTATAATAGGTGACAATTATTAACAAATTAAAAAAAAGATTGTTATTGTAAATTTATATGTCAAATACCTATGATTTTTATCCACGTTAATTATGGCTTAATTAACATATCAGATTAAAAAAAATGAATCAACATCTTATTTAAATTGGAAGAAAAGTAATGATATAGTCGCGCTATGTGTTTTGAAGGCACTTGGCGAATTTCGGAGCGACCCAAACTAGCGGCGGTTGATTTTCTCTACCACTCCGCGGCGCCATAAGATTGAAAAATTATCAATTCAGTTTACGTTCGATCATGAATTGAATGTACATATAATTGAAGCAAGAGTCGTTTAAAAAATTTTTCGATACCTACTATTCGTTATTTAACAACATGCCGAAAACTTTAATAACCTATAACTTTTTTTATTAATTAACGAATTTTGATATATTTTTTTAATTTGAAGCTCTTTGGATCATCTACCGAAACGCATTGTAAAACTTCACAAAAATCTTTTAATAGACGGTGAATGTTATTTTACAACTAAGCAATATATCAGAAACAATTCCCTGAGTCGCAAATTAAATTATTTGCTGGTTTAAATTGCAGTTTTCAATTTTAAATTGTAGCAAGTACCGATAAAAATATCGGCGTCACTTTGGATAATAATCCGGACCGTGGACAAAATAAAGTGGTATTAATTTGTTATTAACCGTATGAATAAATTACAATTAAGCTTACAGCTTGCGGCTTCAAAACTCATAATTTTTATGTGATAAGAAATACATTGAGGTATATGGAAAACCTCTATAGTTAAACATTTAACGATAATTATTAAATAAACAATTGGCATTTTTATGTTAATAATTTTTAACTAATCAACATGTATTAGCGTGCGACACATACTTTTGTAGGTCTTGCCGAGACGAACAAAAAACTATTTTTCATTTTTTAATTCAACTGCTAGCAAACAAGATATTATGCAAAAACATAAAAATAGATGGCATTTTTTTTCTAATCGGCTGGGTAACAATGTTCTGTACCGATTTTAGAATTTCGATGAAGATATGTTTATTGTCTATCCGTGTTAATAATTTCGTGCTGTCCCAAAAAAACTTAGGCGAAACGGTCTTTTTGGAGTTTTATTGCTTGGGTTAAAAGTGACTCGTCCGACGCCCATTAGTTTATTCATAATTAGGGCCTTTTCAATTCTCGGTAATGTGCATCCCCGAGACAGTTATTAACGAAATTACAAGTTTCGTCAAAGGCACACGAATCTGAAAGAGTCTTGACGAGCTTATCCAGCGCTCCTAATTAAAATTTTGAGCGACCGATTGGTTATTTAGGTCGCAGAAAAATCTCCAGAACCCCAGTGGGGAATCCTTGCGAATAGAGACAGGACAGGTCACTCACGCGTCATTGAATCTCTTAGTCCAAATGGAATTCTTGGGTAGAGCGATAGCCAATGGTTTCTTCGAGAATTCAGGTCCGATTTCACGGAATCGACAATCCATCAATACTTGGTACTGCACGTCGATTGTCTCGGTGATAAGGGAAAACCGAGAATTCTCCTCGGCAAACTTTGCCAGAGCCTGGGATAAATTAAGAACCATATTGTTATGCTGCACAGCCGAATAAATTTTAATAAACTTGTCGCTCAGGGGATACTCCCAGACCGCCAACTGTGCCCTTTCGTGTGCAGTCAAGCTGTTGTTCAACGTCATGTCTTTCCACTTTCTAACGGGAAGGCAAAAAGATACATCAGTATGTTTTATTTTTCAAGCGACCCTCTGATGCTGACGCTCAAAGAGACATGGTACGAGCGTCAAAGAGGTGGAAAAAAACACATTGAAAATCAACAGATATACGCAACTCGTAAAAGTCGTACTCGATGTCGTTCATGCGGCGGAAGTACGTGTGGGTCGTTGAGTTCTCGATGACGGTGTAAGTGTATCTGTACTGATTGATCAAGTCGTCGAAGCTCTCGATGGTCTTCTCGTACTTGCTGATGGTGAAAAAAGCCGCCAAGTTGGCGGTGTACGAAGCGGCGATGATGAAACCGAAGAGCCACCAGGTCGCGGCGACGATTCGACCCGACAGATTTATCGGGGCTTCCCCGCCGCCCTGCGGCGTCAGCGAGGTCAGGCTGAACCAAAGCGATTCCTTGAGCGTGAATACGCGTTTCTGCCTATCGTTCTTGCGCGAGTGCACGTTGTTCTGGTAGCTATAGGGCGACCAGGTGTCGAAAATCCACACCAAGACGCTGGTCAGCAGGTAAGCGCCGAGTATACACCACCAGACCTCCGCCTCGAGAATCGTTAGGAATCTGAAAGGACCTTATCTCCTTTGCGTTAAGCTCGGCGCGGCTCCCGAGGACAAACGTATGAAATTTTGGCGACGCGCCGGAGACGCGACCGTGGCATTTGAAAAATTCACGCGCAATAATGCCGATGCGTTTTCCAACTCGGCAACGACAAACTCGAATACGTTGAATTCGTAATGCGCGCGATGCGCGAGTCTGCTTTCAGGCATACGTTGCGCCTACGTGCAAATACGCGAATTGGCTCCGCGTTACGAACGCGAACGATCGATTATGCAACGGCCGGATACCGCGTGCGCGCTGTTTTTCCGCCGCGCCACGTGCTGTTGAAACGCCGTCGGGCTTCTGCCCTTTTTGAAGAGGCAACTCCCCGAGAACGAGGCCAATTTCATTAAGCTCTCGGATCGAATCGAAACGTTCCGGTAATCTTCGTTCGACTCATTCACTCAATGGCAACTGTGTCTCGCTCGCGCGAACTCGAGCGTCGATTTGCGCAAGAATCAAATGTGGCGATAAATTTCGGGCCGCTTATACGTACGTAATCCGTATGTATGAACGCGCATAACTCCGGATCAACTTTCGATTCTGATTTATATTATCCGGATTTAAATGGAAATTTTATTCTTCGCCACGGCTGCAGAATTAACGTTACATCCAAACTTACACGTAATTTCTACTTTGTAGGTCAGTTGCTCGTAATTATTCAACGTCGATCGAACGCAACAAATTTAATGCATAGACTGCGAGCGGCATACGCGTTTATGTGAAATATTTGCCAAATTGTCTTTTGCCTCGTCGCATTTGCGAATATATTATTTCGAATAGGACATACGGCCAAATGCCGAAGGTTGTTTCGTGTATTTCAGCTTTGCTGTCGATTGAACGTACACGTAAAGTTCCTTTCTTCTGCCTTGTCATCGAGTTATCGATCGTCAAAGTGAAGTTCGAGAGAATCGCGAAAAAAAAAATAAATAAATAAAATTTTAGCTGCGGAATGCGAGCCACGTTGCGTATTCGCCGCTGGAAGGCCCGCAGCAGTGTAGCGATCAATTGCATGGAAAAAAAACATCGAAATTGCCAATTAAGTTGATATGTCTCCGGCGCGTTGGGAATTTGCATTACATCTGGAAATTTGAACGCATTTCATCGAGAGGACAAGCGCTGTATTTCGTGTATTGGTAAACGATAAAAAAAAAGGAATAATTGGCACAACTATTATATCGATTTCTGTGCGAGCTTTCTGCTGGGGACAAATATATTAATGCGAATGTGGAAACTGGTACTGTGATGAATTTTAATTTATATTGAATTCTGATATGGAATATTTTTCATTGTAAAAACTTTCAGACGCTGCATGGACCCGTGTACTACCGCATTTTAAAGCTCAAGCTGAGTTACATAAGACCATCGATTTTTATTGGAATTCACCGAACAAAAAGATAAAGAAAAATTATAAGGTTTATTATTAATATCTTTACCGCATACTTTCCGGAGATTTCACAAGATTGAAAATACAGCGATGTACTTTTCAATAAGATAGTACTCGTCGATCCTAGTGAGGTAGACGAGAGTTGAATTCATTTAATTTCATTCCTAAAAAATCACGTGAAAATTATTCTTTTAAACTGGGCATCTATTCAAAACTACGATTTCTTTTATGTAGTCTTCTTTTTTAGACATGGGGTTCCGTAATTTTAAACACTTCTATTCCAATTCATTAACAAGTTTTACTAGTGCAGCGAAACCTATTTAAGTAGCCTTCGTTTTCTTTGGTAGAAAGTCGTAAAAAATTCACTATAAAATTTGTTTAGAAAAACTGTAATGAGTTGCAGCGAATTGTGATTTGTAGTGTTTTTCTTTTTCAGATTTTATGCAAATTTTAGAGTTCATAGGAGTTGAAGATGAACATCTAAAAAATCTTTACTGCAAGTTTCATAAGCTTCCTTGGACCAAGAAAATGAGCCGTTAGGATTAAAGATTCACTTAAATATCTCTTGCATTTTGTACCTTTTCTAAAAGACTATCAGCTTGTTAAATAAATTTGTAAAAAAATCGACATAGAATAACACGCATAAAGTGATAGACCTGAAGAACGAGGTAACAGATTTAGTCTTGAGCATGAGTACAGAGATACCAGTGGGTTTGTAAACGGCTTCAGTGAAATCGACAGCCCCCATCCTTTCGGTCATGACGCTGAACGCAGCGAGACCGACATCAGCGTTGCCCCGCGTCAATTCGCCAATCAATCCGTCCCAATTGCCATGATCGTCCATATGCCCGTATTTTCCATCCTCTTGAATGGTTAGATTGTAGCCGAATCCCAGTCGCAGCGACAGCTCGTGGAGTAGCTCGATGAGCATGCCATCGAAGTGATTCGCCTGCTCGTCGTAGATGACGAACGGCGGCTTCGGAATCGTCGAGACTCGCAGCACCGTCTTGTTCATCATGCCGACGTCGTCCCACTGGAATCTCGTTCGCGACGCGAGGCTTGTTTTGCAATCGATGCTGCTGAGAGTATTTTCATATCCGCGCCAATCGATATAGCCGCCACCGCCGCCTTCGCTTTCGTCCTCGGCTGCATTTTTCCTATATAATTTCTTACTTAATGGAACTCCAGGGGAATTTGCCGTAGGCGCGACTCGTTTTTTTTTATTATTATTTTTATTATTATTTCCCACTCCATTTTGTTTATTCACATAACTCGATTTATAATTACGTGTCTCCGTACAGCCAATGTCGACAACAAGCGTTTAACAACTGTTGTTTGTTAGATATCAAGAGAAAGGGATACTCACGCGAAATCCATATACAAGTGCAACTTGCAAGCCGCGAGTGATTTATATAACACACTGTCGGTTGCGTATTCATGCATACGCTGTTGCTTTGGTTTTTTTTGTTTTTTTTTTTTATGATTATCAAGTCCAGCGAATAACCAAACGATGTTTCGTTTTTTTTTTTTAATAAGTCGTGGAAAATTTCTTTACAAACAACTCGAAATCTTTTGCTCGTGTGCTTGACGCCGATAACTCGATTTTTCTGTCGATGCAGCTTTTCTTTTGCGTTTTATCATTTCGTTTTTCAATAAACTGTCTGTTACCATAGTTTAAATTGACTGACTATGCGAATCGCTCATTTATCGTGGCATACCTAGATTTTCAATTTGTTTTTTTATAGTGGAAATATCGACTATAATGGAAATAATGCCAACAATTTTAGAATTTGATAAACAATTATCAATGTTATATTCCGAAATGTTCAGTTCAAAGCTATTGCGGCGTCGAGAAAAGTTATTCAACGATACGTATATTATGTAGCATTAGAAAACTTTGAGTTTATTATCAAATATCTTCTGTCAAAGAGCTATGATTATTTCCAGACCGAGCCATCACTTTCTATTAAAATTTTGTTTTCTGCATCGCAAGCTCACAGATGAAAAACGAAACGCAGCACCGAACGCTTTTACATCTCACTGAAAACAAAACTACGACACATCTTTTGTATGCAACGTGACAGTTACTGATACTGATCTTAAGTTTAAAAAGGAATTTTTTTTTCGCTTAAATAAACAAAATCAAGCGCAAGAAACTTGATACAGACTTATTTTTAGAATAAGCCGGTCCGGGGAAACTTTTCGTTGAAACAAAAGGTTCTTTGCACTTGCCAGCATACCTCCGAAAAACAGAGAAGTGCAAGCGAGAAAAAAAAAAGTAACGGAGAATCAAATCTGTAATTCATCGAGTTGGAAGGAAAATTAATTAGCAGCACTCGGCGAGCGATCAAGCCCCATTATTGAATTATCGAGGTTTCTTTGTTCGCACGCGAGTAATGGGAGAAGGAACATTCTTGCTTTTCTCAAGGCACTCGGAACGTCTATATAAAGCAATCAATCATCGATCGATCAGCCGTATATTTATCAGCACTGGTAAACGAGAGAGGAAAGAATAAAGCAATCCGATCGAATGCGGCCGTTTCAGAACCGACGGTTATTCGGCTCTAGCTGTTGGGCAGGCGCGGGCCTGAAATTAAATTTCATCGACTTGAGGCTCGATATCGGGTTTTTGGAATTGCTCTTGTGCTGACTCTGCGACTGGCGCTTCTGGCGTGCCTGCGGTCTGTAGCGGTAGTAGTAGTACTCGAAGATGAGAGTGACGCAGGCGAGGCCGATACCCACGAAGATCACAATGAAGACGCCGCCGATGTTTTGGATGCTGATGCCGTCGCTCTGGTCGTCGTCGCGGCCGCAAGTCTTGCGCGCCGGATTCCTGTTCCACCAGGTGTCCTTCAATTTCTCCAATTCGCGACGATTCAGCATCAGCAGGATTCTGTAGGCAGCGCGGTACATTTTTTTTTTTTTTTTTTTTTTTTCGGAGAGGTCGCTTTGCTCTATGCTCTTTTTGTTCGCGTTAAATTTACCGGAACGATTGCTTTTTCTCGATCGATGCGCGATCGATCGAGTCGAGCAGAGAGCTCAAATTCAATTCACCGCGGCAATTCCTTCGCGGAGCATCACCGTTTTCTCCCGATCAATCGTCACGGTAATTTAATCGCACTAATTGTCAATTTACGGATATTATAGAGGCTAATTTCATTAGAGCGAAATTTTCACCTCCGCGGGGCATCAGCGTTGATTAATTTTATACGCGGCGACTCGCGGCTGTTGCCGCTACCGGCAAGAAAAAATACACTTTGTTCGTAAGCGACGCGAAATGGCTTTTCGACGGGACCTAGTTACAGTTTAACATCACAAAAGCCTTTGACGCTTCCTACTCGTTACAAAATTGTACTACTCAGGTTAATTAATTATACGAATTTGAAATATACGCTTCCCATTGGTCAAAAGTGCCTCGTGAGTTTGCGAGATACTTCGCGGCAAAGAGTCCCCGTTAATGATTACTGGGCGCGTATTTTGTTTTATTTTTTTCAATAAACAACTGCGATACGCGCATGTCAAATCACCGACAGATCGAATCGATTCATTCGATGACATACTACGCTAGAAAAGTAACTGCTATATTAAATCGTGCAAATTTTTCTCACAAATCGAAATGCAAGTTTCGTCATCGGCCGACGGACATTGTTAAAAGAAAAGTACGCCGGCAGAATATTCCCTCATTTTTTTTATCGACGTTGAGAACTTGTCGATGGCTCTTCTGTGCGCAGTCGATGCCGTAAAACAATAAAGTCGAACTCACGCGTTGTTGAATTGATCTTTGAGCGGCGATCCTTGCTGCACGGCAATGGCGTAGGGCTTTCTGGAAAACTCATCGCCGATCTGAGTGAACTCGCAGTCGGTCATGACGAGGTACTTGATATCGGTAGCGTCGCCGATGTACGCGAACTCGCTGGGCTCGGCTTTCCTCACTCTCTCCAGGGCTTCGTCGTGACTTTTCGGGAAGCCGGTGTCGTGCATCGTCTGGAATATCTTGGTGTACTTGTCGCTCACCGGATAGTCCCACACCGCCAGCTTCGAACGCTCGACGTCGCTCAGGCTGTCGTTCAAACTCATGTCCTTCCAAATCCTGCAGCGGAGAGAGAGAGAGAGAGAGAGAGAGAGAGAGACACGAGTTTCGACGGCGACGTGTTTAAGAAAACTCGCTTACTCGTAAAATCGCTTCTCGATGGCAGCCATCCTCTCGAAGTAGCGGTACTCGGACGAGTTGAGAACGGGGGCGAACTGGATCTTGTACTGCTTGCTGAGGTCCTCGAGCGACTCGATGGGAGCGTCGAGTCGCGAGACGGTGAGGAAGGCGGCCAGATTGGCGGTGTAGGAGGCGATGATGATGAAGCCGAAGAGCCACCAGGTGGCGGCGACCAGCCTGCCGGACAAGTTCTTGGGCGCCTCGCCGCCGCCCTGCGGCGTGAGCGAGGTCATGCAGAACCAGAGGCACTCCTTGAGCGTGAACTCTCGGCGCTCGTCGTCGTCCTTGTACTTCTCGCGATTGTTCTGGTAGCTGTAGGGCGAGAACTTGTCGAAGAGCCACATGAGCAGGCTGGTGAAGAAGTAGGCGCCGAGGATGCACAGCCAGACGTCCGTCTCGAGGACGGTGAGGAACTTGAAGAGCGAGGTCTGGATCTTGGGCTTGCGGCGCAGGATGGAGATGCCCACGAGGTCGTAGTAGGGCACCGTGTAGTCGATGACGTTCTCGCGCTCGGCCATCACCGCGAGGGCGCCCAGCGCGATGTCGGCCTTCTTGTCCTTCAGCACCTTCACCATGCCGTTCCAGTTGCCCTGCTCGTCCATGTTGCCGTACTGGCCGTCCGCCACCTCCTCGATCGTGTACTCGAACTTGACGTGCTCGCGGATCTTGTTGAGCAGGTCGATGCAGTAGCCCGACCACTCGCCCGTGCGGTTGTCGCGCATGACGAACGGCGGCTTGATCACCGTGACCACGCGGTAGCTCGTGACCGCCGTCTGGTTGGCTGCCAGGCCCGGGTTCGTCAGCTGCAAGCAGCACGCCCGGGGTGAGCAGTGGTCGAGCTCGGCGAGCGGCCGACTCGGTCGGACTCACGCTGAGGGACGCGTCGACGCCGGCCTGCCAGCTCTCGACTGGCTCCTCGCTGGTGACGCGGCCCTCCTTCACCTGGACGGCCACGCCGTTCACCTCGAACTTGGCCTGGTGCTCGCCGTTCTTGCCGCCCCAGCCGAAGCCCGCGTAGGTCGGCGCGAAGGCGCCGCCCCCGTCGGTCAGCTGGCCGAGCCGCTTGCGCAGGTCCAGCTTCCGCGGCGGCGTGGTGCTGTTGTCGCCGTAGTCGTCGCAGCTGACGAACGTGCGCCGGCCCGGCTTCCACTCGGCCGCGTCCACGGCCGCCTTCATGGCCAGCACGCCGATTCTGGCCAGGTCGTAGTAGAAGGCCGACTGGATCCAGGGCTTGGGCAGGGCGCCCTTGCTGGTCAGCTCGCTCAGCTGCTGCTGGTTGCCCGACGCCTCGGGCTTGAACACGAGGATGCGCGCGCGTCGGCAGTCCTCGCACCGGACGCTCGAGTCCTCGTTGAGGGTGACGCCGAACCAGCCGTAGCGGTGGTCGGTGAAGTCCAGGCTGTTGGCCGCCTGCAGGGCCGCGGAGATGGTTGCCTCGCTACCCAGCACGAAGAAGTTCACGATGTCCAGGTCGCGCAGGCGCGAGATCTGCTCGCGCAGCGCCGCGCCCGCAGGCCTCGCGGGCACGATCACGTGGCGCGTGGGCACGTTCAGCAGCAGGCTCTTGTACTTGTGGTCCATCACGAACGTCTCGTCGAACAAGATCGCCGCGTTGCTGATATTGAAGTGCGAGCACTGCTCGCGCACCACCTCCGGCATCAGGTCCGCCGGGTTCATCACTTGCACCAGGTACTCTGCAACGCGATTGTGGCCGACGGTCATCTATGGAGTCGATTTCTCCGTTCGAGCCACTTATTAGAATTTCGCACGAGGATTTCTTCTAATTCAATTCATTTACAGGTCGAATTATAATTTGCGATACAACTTTCTTTGCAAATTTTTCGTTGGCCGCACACGCTTACCGCTCGTATACCCCAAACCAAAACCAAATCGAATTTAAGTGTTGCCTCTGCGAATTATTTATGAGATATGTAATTAACGTTGAAACTTTCGTCGGTGCGTGGCAGCGCTAATTTATTCATGCGAATTTTCTCAGGCGCGAACGAAACCCCTGCATCCGAATAAATTGGAAATTTTCGATTTACGGTCAGAGATCCCTTTGCGCTTTTCGAAATCACAATGAAATTCCGCGCGTCTCGCGCGCTCTTATTACGCGCGCCGCTCTCTATCGATACGGCAGCAAGTTCCAATAAATAAAGAGCCGCTTTCGGATAAAAAATGCAATCGCACGAGCGCGCGGTTTATTGCGGGTGCGGCTTTCCCTCGAGGCTTCTTTCGCGTTTTCTCTCTCTCTCTCTCTCTCTCTCTCTCTCTCTCTCTCTCTCTCTCTCTCTCTCTCTCTCTCTCTCTCTCCATCCGACGGATGTCATACATCCTTAATAGACTGGCTGGCTATCACGCGTGTGCGCGTTACCTAACGATTTTACACGCTTGTCACTCTGTGCACGACTAACTATTAATAACTTCGTGATAACTAGCGCCGGCGAGCGTGTAGGACCGTTGCTCCTTTGATCGCAATTTTTCACCCGATCGTCAAATTGACGGGTGGCTAATTATTTGACCACCGAAAGTTTACGGAAAAGAGAAACTAATACTGCAGGAATGAAATGCGCCGCGTTCGTCGCGAGAAATATGCATCGTCGGTGTGAAAATCTTCATAACTCATGCTGTCCCGACGGGTTGCGAAATTTATAACGAGAATTTCCATTTTCCGTAAATAACTCAAATAGACTTTTTGCGTCGAAGGATCGGCAAGCAACCGATATCGGGGAGAAAAATCTTGTTATCGCCGTATTATTCGATGGAAAAACAAAACACATCGCTTGTTTAACCGTCGAACCATTAACTCGTATTATTTGAAATTTATCGACAACAGTCGCCGCGGTTTAATGAATCGATCGGCCCACCAATCCGCTGGCCCTTTAATTGTCTCCGCGCGCTTGATCCTCGCAATTGAATATCTGTTGGACTCACGTTTCTGATCCTCGGAAATGTCTCTCCATCCCAGCAAGTCGCCTTCCTGGCCGAACTGCGCCGACAGAGTTGGTATCCCGAGCAGAGCGGTGAATCTGTTGACGGTCTCAGCGCCGAGACCGTAGGTCGTGGTGTCCAGCACCAGGTCGGGCAGGTCAGCCTCGTTCCCGCTTATGGCGCCCTTCCAAACCTCGCAAATGGCGTTGAGGGTCTCCCTCGGATCGGTAACATTGACCCGAGCTATGTACACTCGGCCGAGTTTGTCGGGACTCTTGTCTTTGAGTGCTCGCAGCGAATTGGTCACGCTCTTGTTCGCCACGTCATTGCCCGCGTCGTTGATGACGACTGTTGAATGATCCCAGCGGCGACGTGTTCATTAGCGAGCTCTAGATGAACGCGCGGGCGTGCGTGATTCTCGCGCTTGTTTCTTGCATTTTAATAAAAAAAAACCTACCGGCGTGCGCAGCGAGATGACGATGACGAGCGAAACATGTAGTCATTTGTATTCGTAACGATCATGCTTGCAGCGGTGCACACGTATGAATTTTTAATGACGATTACGGGGGGGAGGGGGAGGCAAGACTATTATTTTCCCTTTCTTTTGTCGTCAAATGTCACTGACGCCCGAAGTACAATATTCAATCGACCGACTGGTGTAAAAAAAAACTGTCGTACGAAATATGCAATTGAGTCAGTGAGTGCTCTCTCTCTCTCTTCCTTTCGAGTTATGCTGGTGTGAATCTACTCATTGTATAGAATGAAAATTAAAGCAAAATATACGCATGCATGCCGAGATACCATTACCGTATAAAATTAATTCAACTCCGTGTGTTAGCTTTTGTTTTGTATAAATCCAACGGGATATAACTTAGGATAGGCGGAACTTCGATATAACTCACCAGTATTTTTCTTACCTACAATACTCGTAGTACGAAAGTGTTATCGAATTTCTGCCTTTCGATATATATCTGTTCCAAACGTCCATTTCTCTTTTTCAGATTCGAACGCTATTCCCGATAAATAGCAGTAATTTTCAGAGACCAGATGATTTTCAAAAAGAGAAAACAAAAAGTAGACACGCGCAGGATTTCATTTCGCTTTCGAGAGACAGAGGACAGAGAGAGAGAGAGAGAGAGAGAGAGAGAGAGAGAGAGAGAGAGAGAGAGAACAAAAAGTCGAGACAATCAGTCTGCAAGGCAATCGTCATCGACGATAATCCTCGCGGGGGAACTGCACGACGATTTTTTGCAGCGCGCTCGTGTAATATTTATACGCGGCTGCCCTGTGGAAAATTGACTTTCTACCTTTGTATGCTCTCTCTCACTCTCTTTCCAGCTGAATATTGCAGTTTTTTTTGTACTCCAAGAAGATTGTTTTCTGTTTCGTCGCCGTTCACGATAAGCGGATAAGCGTGTAGTGCAGTGTATCTGAACTTTTAAGGATGGAATTAGGCAACATAACGCCCCTCTATCTTTTTCGGCAACGAGTGTTTACTTTAATAAAAAAAAACGAGTCCACCGAGAAAGGACACTTTTGCAAATTAACGTTTGCATCCTTCACAGCCCGATATTAGATTAGTGTGTACGTGTGTGTGTTAGAGAGAGAAAGAGAATATAAAAATAATGCTGAAAAGATGAAAAATTGATGTATAGCAAAAACGGTCGAGGGCTTTTGAGGTAATACCGCCGCGGCTGCTGAAAAGACTTATCAAGCTAAAAGTACCGGGATTTCCAACATTGGCTATTTCATTTGCCGGATTCATTCATATAATATATATAGCGCCCACATTACGATATCATTCAGTGCCTCTAAATGGATATCCTTGCGAAATAGAACATGAATAATTATCCGATATATTGCGCCGCTGCGGCTGTAATCGCTGCCCCAACATCGTTGGATTATCCGTACGCTAAAAGATCTCCAGTGGCTATTAAATCCGCGCATCGAATTGATTTCGCGCAAGGGATGAAACCGAAAGAATATAAAATACAAGATACCGCTACAGTCCGAGGGTAGCGCCCGTCGTTAGCAGAAGACTCCGTAAAGCGAGTTCAGGTCGAAACTCGATGGTGGACGAGTGAATAGGGAAACTTGATTGGCCGCTGCAAAAAAAAAGCGACTAATTCGGGCGGCAACTCGGCGCAAACTAGCGACCGCGCACGGACTAAACGCTGTCGGTCGTGCTTTTCAATTAGCGACACTTTTATAATAAGCCTTCGCGAGCTGCTCTCGAGCCGAAGCGTGTGTGTGTGTGCGTGCGTGCTTCTCTGTCACACGGTCCGTTATGCGCGCGGAGCAAGGCTGACCTATCGACTTATCGATTTGTGCTCCAGCAGCCTTGCTCGATAATAAATATACCGAATACGTGAAATACGGAAGCGAGTCGACTTTCGTCTACTCGACCGTCGACGATCAAGAACGCGGGCCTATCTCCGAGCGAGTTTACGCCGCGCGGAATCGCCAGACACTTCCGCGGAAGAGTTACGCGAACAAGGCGTCGTCGCTGCGATTTCTTCGGAGATAGCCGCCTAAACTTTTCCCCGTGAATAAATTATGAAGAACGAGTCGCTTCGCTTTTCCGGCTTTTTCCGACGACCCCACCCGTTTGGCTTTCTGCTCGAGCGATAAATCGATCGAGCTAATGTGCTATAGCTTCGAAACGAGTGCGTTGCGCGTTTGCGGCTTTTTTTTTTCATTTTTTCGTTTTCCATTTTCATTTTTGCGGTATCGGCGCTATTATTTTCCGAAATGCCGCGCGAAAAGTTCATTTTTAACTTCAAGTGGGTCGCGAAGTTCTCTCTTTTATCGCTCTTTTGATAAGTCCGCAACAATGACAAACCGAATTAATTTTGGCGAGGACGGCGATGTTTTCGCACGAACAATGCGACGAGACGATATATATAGATGTGGGCAGAGCAGCAAATTCGAGGCAAATAATGCTTCAACAAGTAAGAAAAGAAACAATGGCAATTGTACTTGACGATAGAGTGAAAGCCCGTCCTTTTATCGTTTTGCATAATTTGCGCGAGCTGCGCTGAATAATGCAATTGCGATAATGGACGATTATTTTTTATAATTAATCGCGTCGAAATGATCGATAAGGCGCGTATAATTCTTCGGATGGGACGAGTTCGATTTCGTTTTTGCAGTTCGAACACCCGTAGCAAACTCGACTTTGTCTCTGCCGAAAGTTTGGCGAGCACAAAGTAAGCGAGACGTCAAGTTGACGCAGCATTTAAAAATGTGTCCGTCAAGCTTACAAACATTTGCCGAGAAACTTTCGGAAAGATTCTGTGCGCAGTCGTGTTTCTCTGTTCCGTTTTTATTTTCTTTGTTTTCTTTTCTTTTGATCGCAAACTTGCTGTGTACCTCCAAAGGATCAACGGAAGCAACGACAACTTGCAGGCGCAAAACTAGAGAACTAAGAGGAAAGTCCGAGAATGCAATAAAGAAGAGGAGGATACGTACAAAGGTTGACGGGCCTGTTGGGGACGCGGCTGTGCTGGGCCTCGACGGGTCCTTCTCCTGCCGCAGCGAGCGCGAGGAGCCAGAGTAGGACGGCGCACATGCTCACCAGCGGATGTTGCCTCGGCAAATACGGCCAGTGGGTGAGTGGAGCGGGCTAACCGAGCGCGTGCGGGCTCATCGCGATGTTTGGCCTGTGCGTTGCCGCGGGGACGGACTCTGTCTCCCGCGCGTCGTCGCCGTCGACACCGCCGCCGACGCCACTTTCGCCCGCTTCATCGATCATTTCCGGTTGTTCGTCCTGGCTGTCCCACGATCCCGACGACCATGATCAATTCCCGCAGTCAACGCGCGCCCTGCCTCGAAAGCTCGTCCCGGCCAGCTGCGCGAATTGTTGATTTTTCGAGGATAAGGGGTAAAGTCGACGTGCGGTCAGACGCTTTGCATAAGCCGCGGAGGATAGGGAAATTAGAAATAAGCACGGCACTTTTCGCGCGGGAGAAAGTCCTCCTGCAAGAGCGCTGTTATCTTTACATTTTGATGCGCGGTCAGCGGTCTAATTGAATGCGCCAACCGAAGCTTTGCAAACAAACTTTCGACATTGCAGCGGCCATTGAAAGTTTCAATTAGCCTTTTCAGAGGGCACGGCAAATATTACGGTATACGTTTTTTGTTTTGCGCTTTACGAATTGATGAAAAGTCGAGTGCAATATAAACGATCGTTCGTCACTTCGCGGTGTCGCAAGACGTAAGAAACGGCGCGTTCGTTAACACGCCAACAATGACTTTACTCGCGCGTTCACTAAACTACTCGTTTGTTCGCACTTCAGTGCATTCGCAAATTAATTTTCGTCGTTCAACAATGTCACGTGAAAGATAATTGGCTTATAACAGGATGAACAGCGCGTTAATTAGTGCCTCGAATGCGCGTGCGTAATTCGCAATAACATCGCTTACAACGCGCCGCGACAAGTTTCATCGGCAGATATGACGGTGTGAAAATTGAATTTAAACTTGTATCTATTCGAGCAACGTAATGTTCATTGCTACTGTATTTCAAGGAGGAAATATTACTTTTTTTCCTTTCCCGACGCGATGGCAATTATGCCGCACGCCTCGATAAAATTGCACGCGAATATTCATTCGAGGCTGTTGATTAAATTTCAGACAGGAATTATGCCAAGTTAATTAATTATTCCAAGTTCAAATGCGTCTGGCTTTGCTCCCGCGTAGCGGCTTTGATGATGTGGGCCATCACAAATTCTCCGTAATTGCTTTCATTATGCACCAGGGTGAAGTTAAGCTTACTACAAACGTCTGTACGTACGTGGAGCTCGAGCAGTGCTTGTGCGTTTAATTTTGCAGGAAAAATCCTTCTTTTTTTCTCAAGTGTTCACGAGCTTTTTTCCTTCTCCCCCGAGCGGCAAGTTTCTATTGAATTTATTCTGAAAATAATGTCGCGATCGTCGCTAAAACTTGGTCCAGAGCGCGAGTACTGGTATAAATTTTAATGCGCGATTAATGGCGTTTTACGGCCCTTGGTGAAGGGAAGAAACGGATGGGCAGAATTACGGCTTTGCGTTGGTCGAGTCTTCGCTAGCCTCGCGCTCGCGGTGCGCCATTTTTTGGCTTGGTCGTCGCCCTACTAAGCAACGAACAAGCCGTAAACCCAGGAGAACGCGCGACGACAATGCTTGCGGAACAAATAAAACACGACAATTCGAGCTTTCCTGTCAACCGTGCACAACATTCTTTGGTTTTTTTTTACGTTTCTAGCTGCTTTTCAGAACATTTTGTGAATTTTTCTACCGCTTGTTGACTACCATGCTTATTTACCGAAAGCATTGTACTCATTTATCTTGAAGCTCGCGGTCGTAACGCAACGAAAACGAAAAGTCTGATTTCCTTTTCAAAGAGGAATTAAAATATATTTGCCGAAAAATATGCTGCGACTTTTGTCTATCATTAATAATCATCGGGAGATTTGAAATGACTCTAGTTGACAGGAAATAAACAGTGCGTATGATGGGGAGGCTGTCGAGCGACAAAAATCTCATCAAGACCAGATATACAAATTGCGATTGAGTATTGGCACACATAGATATGCAACTGCAAACTTGACGTGGTTGATTCGACGAACTTGAATCTCATGAATGCGTTCGCTGCATAGGCATATTTTTTCTTTTTCCTTTCGCTATCGATAGATGGGGATGATGGTGTAGATAATGCGTCAATATCCTCGCGGGAATCAACGCTCTCTTAACGTTTCTGATATTTATATTGTACTCGGGGTCACTGTTTTCATCGTAACACTTTTTGATCTCGTTTTTGTCTTACGGTATGCATAAATACTCAAAATCTTGACTTATTTATCCATCAGCCTTCCTTGTCCGCACGTAGCTTGCTCGATCATGCACTCGAAGTGTTGTTGTTTGCAGATCTCCTCTTCGGTAGGTCGACGTAGGAAGCCGCAACCACTTGCCTGTCGTCTTGTCGTACATCGCTAACGGCACTTTGATGACTGCGAGCACGTGCGGCAACTCCTTGTCGCAGCTGTTTACACTTGTGTGTTTATTGTCGGACTGACTGATCGATTAAATACGAACCAATGCGATCGGGCAATTCACAAGTGTTTATTACCTCGATAATTTTCCGAAAAATTTGATGCGATCAGTCAAGCGCACACATCAATTATATTCTACAAGTAACGCCAAGAAAACGCATAGACAATGCTTATGTGTAAGAAAATTATTTTTAGAGGACAAGCTAAAACTCTTACGAAGTCGAGCGAGAGAAATTACTCCCCGCCAAATAAATGGCCACTGCAAATAAAACAAGATATTGAGAGAAGCTGACGGGCTGTTCAAATATTGACAAATGAATAGCGGTTAAAATTACAGCGAGCAAAACAGTAGAGTAGCATTAGTGATGCATGGTACGGACGGACGGATGTTACTTCGGCACACAGCACCGCGGTAAAATGCTAACTCCAGCGTTCGCCGCGGAAATATCATTCGCCTCGCGTGAAGAGCTGCGGCGCCAGTGCTACGCTGGAAATCGCGACTTCTTTTTGTTCCAAGCGCACGTCAGATCAAACACACCGACGAAGCCGCGTTCCCATTGTTCGTTTCCTCCCTCTCTCTCTCTCTCTCGTCTTCTTTGTTCGCAATGGCCGAGGGAATAAACACGTACGGCCTTTTTGAATTACTCGCATGCGCGCGGCCTCGCGCGATCTGATAAAGGTCGCGGCTGCGAAGAGAACGCCGCTGACTCTCAAGGATAAGTAGAAGACTCGCTATACGGTCGGACGCGAAGGCTGCTTTCATCGGGTGCCGCGAGTGCCATTAATTTTGACGCGTCGAGCGCGAGATAATCCGAAAAGTTGGCGAAATCGCGCGACGACGCTCGTTAAAGGCCGTTAAAGGAACTCCGCTCGGCAGCAAAGCCGCGCGGGGGGGGGGGGGCAACGAACGGGGAAACAGCTTTTCGCATCGAACGCAGTTGACTCGTCGCCGGGTAGGCTAGCAAGGCGGACGAGAATCCGGCACAAGAAAGCAGCAATCAAGTATGCGACGGCACGGCGAGAGGAGAGCCAGCCGGGATGTGCGCGTCGAACGCTTCGCCCTCCGCGGCGTCCACGGGGATGGCTGCGCTGATGAAGCGCGCGCGCTCCTCTCCCCCTAGCTTGCCCCTCGGGTCGAGCACGTGCAAACGGCTCTCCGCGCACTTGTCCTTCTTTCCTCGCGTACTTCGCGGAAATGTCTGTTATCGAAGCCGCGGAGAATGCGAGGCTTTTTTCTTCCTTTTCTCTCTCTCTCTCTCTCTCTCTCTCGCTCTCGCTCTCGAGTATCGATAAATTGCCGGATAAAGGCAAGAGTAAAGTGCACGCTCGAGCGTTTCTTCAATAACAATTTGCCTGATGCACGTGGTTTTATCAAGATGTACGTCTCGGGGATCGATTCTCATCCCCTCCCCGCCGTTTCTTATTCATTCGCAATGCTCTGGGCGATGAGGAAACCGAGCAATTTTAAGAGCAGTTTGCCCCGGCTCTCTTTTATCTATAGTGCGAAACTTTTGGAAATAATCTTCGAGTGAGGATCGATTTTCCATTAGGCGTGGCAGCTTCCTTCTTCCACTTTACTCTTTCACTGACGATTCTTATTTTATTTCCGCGACAGATTTTCCTTTCACATCGGAGAGCGCATCGATTGATTTTTATTAAAATATTATTCCTGCCGAGCGATCCTTTTTCTTCTTACTTTTCGCGGCGCAACATCGATATCCGGAGAATCGTTTGAATTGAAAAATTTCGTTACGCGGGGCTTCTCCCGTGTTTCGCGTGAAAGGACTGCGTAGCGCGAGTGCATTTGCTCGAGAGATCACGAAAATCGAAATTAATAAGATTACCAGTCGGTGCGCAGTTAACAATGGACCTTTGCGGCGATGGCAAATATTTATATTCAAGAGTAACGAAAAAAGGTCATTACGAGCGAGCAGCCAGTGCGACGAACAAAATAGCATGCAAAAATTCGCTTTCGATAAAGACTTCACGCTAGAATTTAAAAGGAGCTTCGAATCGTCGTTCTCTTGCAGCATCTTTTTTAAAGGGATTTTCTTAATTCTCAATTGCAGCTGGCTCTTCGACGCGCGGATAATTATGCTAATGTAACTCGCTCTCATTGAGCCTCGCTCGGCTTAATGGAACGGTCGCTAACGGGAAAATATAGCGCAATAAATTAGTAACAAAGGAGCGTTATTTAGAGAGTCGCACTCGACGCTCGAGCGGCGACAATCGAAAGAGGAAGCGCTCGTATTTGCCGCTCCGTGGCCTCGCGTATATCAGCAATGTGCGCGTTCCCCGGACACGCCTCGCAGACCCTTATCCACATCGAATTAGCCGCGTTCGTGCATCTCTAATCTCGATCATCCGAGTAATTTTCCGCGGCGCGCGGAATTCGCCGCGCGAACGTCGTGCCTCGACCGACGTCGGGGGAATTTTCCCTCCATTATATCTCTTCGAGACGCGCGCGACCACGGCTTAATCGAATTTCGCCGATGCGCCGGGCGAGGCAAAACTTCTCTATTGGCAGCCAAGATTTTTTACGAGACTTTATTTTATAGCGGACACTCGACTCCGCCAACTTCTTAAGCGACTCTCTAAATTGGATAGTTCGATCGCTTAAGCCCGCGTCGCGCATTTTACGAAGACGGTCTCGTTTTTACTTTTTTTTCCTTTATTTTTACGCTCGCTATCAGGCCACTTATGCATACACTATTCTCTCAAGCTGCAGTTTAAAGCTGGGTTTTTATTTTGTCGCCGTCAATCGTAATCATCAATCGTTGAGTGCAGTCCGAGAGCAAAGGTCCGCTATTTTTTTTTTACTCGAGCTGTCGGAGCATAGAGTGTTTGCTCTTTGAGCAATTCCTTTGCGCGCGTGCGCGTGTATATCATTAGAGCGAGAGACCGATATCCACGCTGAAAAAGAATGCGACTTACATATCGATTGGCGCGGCCTGTCGATCATTTAATCGACGGAAAATTCAGAGCCGAGTATTATTCGCCCGCGTGTCGAATTTCATAGTGCATTTCCATGTTTTGCCCGAAATGGTTATTTGAATTTGAAATCGTTTTGATTTGAAAATAAAAGTTTCGGATTTGTCCGTTCAACATTGAATATCTAATTCGTAATTTAACCAATATAAGGTCCGTATCCGCAATGTTTTTTACAGCGAGATTCCGTATAATACCAAGCAAAATTTCGTATAAAATCAAATAGTTTTCCATAAAATAAAAGATAACGATTTCGTAACGATCACGTAGCCGGGTAGCGATTCTATTGCCTCGCACGCATACACTTTGACTCAAGTGGTATAGGTGGCGGCACCTGCGCGCCGCCATAGTTATTAAAGGGGTAGCGCATATACCGGTTGGTGTACGGACATTGCAAAAGTGTCGTAAAAAAAATATCGCGTTGTAGGCGAAATTTCCGGTCTGACCCTCGTGCTGCAAGCTCGGCTCTTCGAACATTCAAATCTCTACCTCTTTCTCGCGCGCTCTCTCTCTCTCTCGCTCTCTCTCTCTCTCTCTCTCTCTACGTTCAACGATAATTCGTAAGTTTATCGGTTGCAATGGCGGAAAATATCTTCGCGATTAAACGAGGTTGGACTCCCTTTGCCGATGCCTCTTGGAGAAACATCGAGAGCAGTTTCGAAGTACAGGTAAATAAACGATCGACATATTAAGCGCAACATACCTCGTTGAAACATGATACTCGACCTATCGGAGCTTTTCATTTCTCGCGTGTATGCCGTTATACACGTGACGACAACGTCGACGGAGACCTTGAAACTCGAATCAACATCAAATATTGCGCAAGCCACTCGAAAAACAACTCGACTCGTACGTGTTCTCCCTCCGGGTTCTCGTATTTACAAAACACTTCTAACCTTAAATACAATTCTCGCAATGGCAGCAGCAGAAAACGCCCCCAGGGAAAGTCGTGGAGCCTTCGGTGCCGGCGGCTCCGCGGAAGTTGCAGCAAGCATCGGCGCAGATCCGGCGAGAAGGCCTGAAACCGCGTCGTTTGATCCACGACTTATCGTCCCCCGACAGTGGCATCGACGCCGACAAGGAGAACCAGCCGCCAGCAGAAGCGGCGGCGGCGGCGGCGGCGGCGCCGATTCAGGAATCTGGTAAAAGTCGCGTGAAGAGGTGCCAAGTCAAAGCGATAAAGGACCGAAAGACTAAGCCTGCTTCCGAGCTGAGGCTCAGGCTTAGGATATGAAGGCCACCTTTGTTCCCCGAGTTTTTTTCATTGTAAACAACGGTCCGCGCGCTCTGTCATTGTCATTGTGTCTCCGATATATATGTTTTTAGATATATACGTATAGATAGATATACGTGCACGTTGCTTTGCTCCCTTTTTTTCCTTCTTCACATTTGATGTTTAGTTTGTTTAATAAAGTCTTGTCTTCGCTCTTTGAAGCTTTCTCTCTCTTTCTCCACTCATTGTACTACTCGCATGCATGGTATCGCTAATACGCGATCGCACAATCAAATCATCTTTTTTTGTTTTTTTGTTCTAGAAAACACAATACCAAACTCACAAGTAAAAATCATCAGACCGGGAAGTTTACGAGATCGAATTAGTCGTTGGATCGAAATACACTTTAGCTCACAGCAGTCGACCATTTCTCAAACAAATTATCAGATAATGAAAAAGTAGGATGATAGTACGCAAGGGAGAACATCATCTAAGCAACGTTTACTCAATCAATCAGCGGTGACAAATGACGTTGGTCGGCATCGAATGGCCTCTTCAAAATGCAAACGGAGCATGTGCACCGGCTGATTAATTAACTTGTGTCGCAATCGATTAGATGTATCGTGTCCGCGACACAGGACACAATATTCCCTCGCGCGCGTGCGCAAGGAGACTGTCGATTTATTAAAATTCAAATCGAATTGTTCGCCTGTATGCGCTCGATAATCTTCAAAAGCGTCTAGGTGCAAGTAGCAGTAGCAGCAGTAGCAGTAACAGAGCAGAGCAGAGCAGTTCTCTCTCCCTCTCTCTCTTTCTCTCTCTCTCTCTCTCTCTCTCTCTCTCTCGTCGTACATATCGACCACTCGTCTCTACGCGCATGCGGCTGGCTGCTTCTTTCAAAGCGATTCTGCTCTCTCGCGCGCGCCCGCCGAGCTTATTGTATATATACCCTCGTTATTTTTACAGGTATACGGATAAAGAGAGAAAGACGATAAATGGATTGGGTTGGTCGTTGTTTTTATTTTTTTCGAGGGAACAGCACACTCCATTGGGCGCACACGACGATTTAATAACTGGCGGCTATTGGTGCCGACGGGGGATATTGACTCGCTGCCAGATGCGGCTGCAATGTTTTATGCCGGCTTGTGACGGCACCGATTGGAAATGCTGATGGGATATTATTTTTCCTCGGCTCCCGCTCTGTGCAAGCCCGTTCGGCGACAGACTGTCTGTCTACTGGATTTCGTTTTCCATTTGTCCTGCGGTGATAAGCGAATGATATGTCAATAGGAAATGCCGATGTGCTCTTTTCAGTTGCTTCACGATAGAAATTTGGATTATATTTTTCTAATATGTTTTTAATTGCAAAGGAATTTCATGTTATTGTTTTATTGCCAGTGCTATAATGTATTCGCGAATCTGTAACAAAATATGTTTTATTTTTTTAATACGTACTTATCCCGTAATGCACTTGTTAATGTATCCTTTTAGGTAATTCCATAATGTGCTGACATCAAAGCTTTAAATTGCTGAGCAGAGAAATGATTGTAATCACTCAGAATAGTTTTTCTTGCAAAGCTGAATTTTGCGAGCTTATATTTGATTCGCGGCTAATCTGAATTACAATAAAAATGTAGAGAAAAATAAATTTAATTAATCCAAAATTATCTTATAGATTAATTCGTTTGTAAACATTTCAAAGACAAAAATATCATCAAACGAAGAGAAAAAATACAATATGGTTCACTTAATATTTGTTTACTCTACCCTTTTAGTATAAAATGCAATGAAAGAGAACATCGTAGAGGACAGAAAGAAGTTGGGTGACTGATATAGGTTCAGAAAGAAAATCTTACGCAACACAGTTAATTTTTAATCAGATGACATGTATTTTTATCAAATAACGCAATCGTGGAACTTATCGCCACATAACGAACGAAGGCGCAATGTAACAACTGATAATAAAAAAACAAAGAGGAGAAGAATCAACAAAGATACTTTCGCCGACAGCCTCGTGACATCTTTTTTTCGCAGGCGCGCTTGAAAAAAAAAAACAGTCATAAAGGGTCGCGTAACGAACAAACGGCAAGACGATGATTATACGGTTGGTGTCGGGTCGACGCGTATTGTTCATTATTAAAACCGAGCTCATCGCACGTACACACGTCTCTACACGCACCACACTTTCTCTCCTCGCGCTACACTCTATACAGTACACTTACACGAATATTATTTTATTATTATTTTTCTTTCTTTTTTTTTATTCTTCCTCGTCCTCCTCGGATATTATTTACACGACTGAGCGAGGCGAGCGCGCGCGCACGCACGCGACGAAGCGTGTCAGCGCTCAGCCCACCAACGCCGCGTTGCATATATATGTATATATATAAAACGAGCCTTCGACAATATTGGTTTTCGAAGCTTATTTTTATCTCGGACGAGGATCGCCGCGAGCGGCAAGGGTGGGAGATGGGAGCAGATGCTAATGCCGAGAACGCGCGGGCGAGGAATCTATTGAAATCTGATGGGATTCTCTCTGTCGCCGAGGCTACGGCCTATTTATCAGGTTCTTTCCTTCCGCCCGCAGCCGTGCGCGCTACCCGTCAAAAAGTAAAATAAAATAAATAAATAAAATAACACCACGCACCTGATGCTTCGAAGTGCACTTGCCGCGATGCGTCTCGATCGAGGCTTCCGAGCTTACTTCCAAATCCGCGCTTGGCGCGAAAACGCGCGGCTGCGATCTTCGAAATGATTAATCGGCGGAGGATTCACGCACACGGATGGCAATATTTTCAGGTAAGCTTTCTATATCGGTTCGCAGCGGAGAATTCTCATTCGGAAACTTCTCTAATCCCGCAAACTTCCGTAATTCGTAGTCTAATCCATTTCTCTCTCTTGTTATAGTATGAATTTGTATTGCCACGCGCTATTAATAATGACCGCGAGTTTTCAACTAAAAGAAAAAAAACACGCCAAAGTTCTGTCTTCTCGAAATGCGAATCTTGCTCGCGGTCGAAAAGAAAACTTTTTAACTCAATTTTACAGTCGTATAATTCGAAGGTATTGCACACGTCGCCCATTCCAAGGATTTTCATATTGGGGAACTCCGTGTTTCTCTTTACATTGACGGCGCGCGAAACAATCGAAAGCTTTTAAGTCGAATTTGAATAGCGCGACTTGAATATAAAGAGTCGTTAAAATGTTTAGCAGAAATTTTGACTAGGTGGCAGCATAATGTGCGCCGTCACGCGCATGAATAAATTCATATGTACATTTACGCAGTAGGGTTAATGGAAAAGTGCTCTTGGAGGAAATTACGGAGCGTACGTAAAATGTGCCTTTTCTCTCTCTCTCTCTTGCTCTCTCAAATTGCCAACAGCTTTACAGCGTAATTTGGCTGGTATTTTGATAAGACACCCCCTATTGCGACCGTCCGTTGTCGATTGTACATTGATAAAGACGAACCTAGAGTAAGAGACGTACAAGCTCAGAAAAAACAAAAGAAACAAGGAAGCGGCACAATGGCTTATCAAAAGTAATCTAAAATGTATTGCGACGCGCATCTGAATTCCGGGATGAAAATTCGCTGCAGCTTCCGTCACGCGGGCAAGTGTATTTCCGATAGCGAAAAGTGGGCTACGCGCGGGAAGGGGGAGGAACGGACTGGCGAACCATTTTCAAGAGCTGTATTTACTTGCGCGACAGAAGGAACGAAAAATAAGACGAAGGAAGACAATTTTTTTGCCCCCCGACGAACCGTTCGATGTACCAGTCATAAATTTACATCGAAATTTCCGGAGTGTTCCGAGCCGTTTAATTGAAAGTAAATATCCCACGAAGGAAAAACAGAACCTGGAAATTGCTCGCAATTGTTTGCTATGTATTCCAAGACAGCAATTTGGCAATGTACAGAGAGAGAAAGAGAGAGGGAGAGAGAGAGAGAGAGGGAGCGCGCGCGCGCAACATCGGAGTGAACTTGTAGGGCATCGCGTCGAGAGGGGCGTTTAATCGTCGCCGCCGCCGCGTGCGGTTTTCGGCGCACCAATTACCGAGCGATTATCGAAAGCTCCGGGGTTGGCGGATCGAGAGCTCGACTCGCAGCGCCGCACGGCAGAGATGTATTGCTATACTTTGGTAAATCACAACCAATCGAGTGTTTCTTAAATTCTCACCCCGGAGATCGTCAACCAACCGGACACCTCCGTCGTCATCTCTGTTTCGAAAGAGCGATCCGTCGGGCGTTCGCAGCGAGTCGGCCGCGGCGAGTTTACGGCCTCGATTGCTCTCGCACCGCGACGCCAAGCTGACTGTGGCGAGCCGGACTCGTTCGAGCGACCCTACCGCTTCTCTGCCTATATATATTTATATTTACGTGCGTATATTTATTTATTTATATACTCATTCATATATAATTTATAGTTGTGTGTTGTGTTGTGCTGTGTTTGGTGTCTATAGCCGCGTCGATTGGGATTTCTGCCCGAGATTTCGCGCTCCAAAATTCCATTAGCCTCCCGTTCTCGCGGCTGGCGCTGCTGGGGCTTTGGCATGATTCAATTGTCCTCGCGTGTTGTTAGCGTGCATTAAACGCCGTCCGCGAGTGGCTCACCTCGCGTCTTAAAATTTATATACAACCACCGTTACAGCCGCACTTTGTTCCACCCGTGCATCTGTATTTTCGTTTCTTTCCTCATTAATACATGTATTTAAGCACAAATAGGAACAATACAAACAGGAATGTATTATAAAATATGCTAATACTCTCTCTCTCTCTCTCTCTCTCTCGCATTCTCTCTTGCTCGCTCTCGCCTTATGAAAATTTCCATGCTGATTAAAGTCAAAAAGCGTCTCGAAAAACAATGTGAAATTCCCAGTAGCGTGCGCGCGGAACAAAGAACACGTCTCGCGTTTCTTTTTTCCCCTCTTTTCATTTTGATAACAGTATCATAAACTTTATAATAATATATCCCAGGCGCTTGGCGCAACGATTTTACCCCTCTCCCGCTTGATTTATATAAAAAACTGTGCAACATAATTAATGTATATATACTCGTATGTGTGTATATATATATATATATATATATCTATTATGTGAGGATGTGACGATGATCGCGTCGGTATATATTATATAGAATAATAAAATCGAGACTCGGACAGAAAACTCGCTTAATTATTGGATAAAGGCGTCACATATATGATAATAATACGTAGTATATACGTTAATTCTCTCACTCTGTTGTGTCTTCCATCCGAAGCGCGGCTACGAATGTATCTTTTAAATAATGCATAGGGTTTTGGTTTTTGTTCTCTAAATGTGTGTTTTTTATTTTGTTTTGTTTGTCACAACCTTATCACAACCTTATTTAAAGAGTGCTCCGACTACTGTGGTCGAAAATTTGTTTATTTATTTTACTCTTATCATTCTTCCCTCGCTCGTAGATCGCAAATAGTCAAGCATTATTTTGTTTCCTTTGGTTTATATAATCATTTTTATTAAGTATAACGGTACGACGGGTCCTTATGTTTATTAAATTGTTAATTAATAGCGGTAAATTTTTTTAACGCTACTCACAACCGTAAAGTGACAATGGCGAGGGTCGATCGCCGTTTGTATATAATTAATAATGTATATATCCGTAAGAATTATGTATATATAATATACGTCTTAAGTGTATATAATTTTCCAATTCGGTAAAAGGCGCTTCGTCCTTTTGTGTGTGTGTCTTTGCGTAGCCCTTCTCTCGCGGGTGAATCGCGAGGAGCCTCGGCGCAATTGATATACGTCAACAAGTAACCTACTCGCGCAAATTGACTTTCCAAAAGTGGCTTCAACTGTTCGCCCTGGCGCCGTAATTGCTCGGAACGCGCAATTAGGAAAAACCGATACGAGGATTCTTTCGCGCTCAGCGGAGAGCCAAAAATAACGGATAGGCAATTAGCCCTACAAAAGCCATTAGGCGAGCGGGCGACCGCGCGATCTTGGTGTGCTCGATACGCAAAGGAGGAGGTGAGGCGACCGAGCCGAATGCCGCCGCGCGGGGGTCGGGGAGCCCTCCTGGAAAGTCAAGGGGAGCGGGGCCGGCTCAGCGTATGTGCAGCAGCCTGCGAAACGCCCTCCGGTAATCGAGGTTGAAGATGGTGTAGATGAGCGGGTTGAGGGCGCTGTTGATGTAGCCGAGCCAGGTGATGAAGTAGACGAGCCTCTCGCTGGGGCAGCAGCTCATGCAGAACGGCAGGATGACGTACATGAGGAAGAACGGCAGCCAGCAGACCACGAACACGCCCATTATCACTCCCAGCGTCCTCGCGGCGCGGCGCTCCTTCGACAGCGAGATGCGCTGGCGCTCCTCGATGAACTGGTAGACGGTCGCGCTCGCCGGCGTACCGGCACCGCCGCGGCGCTCCGTGCCCACGCCGCCGGCGCCAGCGCCCGTCGCGTTGGTCGCGCTGCTGCTCGCACCTGCAACATCCAAGTCCGACCTGTCCAGTCCCACGGAACACGACGATGAGTCAGCGCCCACGCTGCAGTTCCATTCTCCCTCTTTTTATTTTGCCAATCTCCGCCCACGTGATACGGAGAATTAAATCCGCGCTCTGGTTTTCCGATCGCGGGCGGGGCGAGCCGATTGCCCCCGGCGCAGGCTGAGTCAGCGCTTCTCGCCCCCCTCGGCCGCGCGCTCGACCGAGTCGCGCGTTACACCGCGGCGACGGGCAACTCACCCGATGCGACGGCCTTGGTCGGCGGGGTGGTGCCGGCGTTGGCCTCGGTCGGCTCGTCGTCGACGAGAGACGGCTTGGCCTGGGAGCGCGGCGTCGACTTCTCGTTGTGGTTGGTCTCGGAGCTGAGCGACTCCTCGATGTCGTCCTGGTCGCGGTGGCGCTGGCCCGAGGGCGCCGGCCCCAGGCGGCTCTGCTTGGCGCGCTCGCGCAGCCTGCGCCTCGTCGCCAGGAAGATCTCGAGGTAGACCAGGCTCATGATGAGCAGCGGCACGAAGAAGGAGCCGAGCGCCGAGTAGACGACGTAGCCCTTGCGCCGGGTGAGCTGGCAGGGCGTGCCGGGCTCCAGCTCCTCGGGCCAGTCGTTCCAGCCGGCCAGGGGCGGCGAGCTGATGGCCCCCGAGAGCAGCCAGACGCCGGCGATGGTGGCGAGCACGCGCTTGAGCGTGCGCTTCTGCGCGTAGTTGATGGGGTCGGTGATGGCCCAGAACCGGTCGAGGGCTATCGCGCACAGGTTTAGGATGCTCGCCGTGCAGCACAGCACGTCGCAGGTCAGCCAGAGCTTGCACAGGTGGATGCCGAACACCCACTTGCCGAGGATGAGGTAGGCGACGTTGAAGGGCATCACGAGGATCGCCACCGCCAGGTCCGCCACCGCCAGCGACACGATGAAGAAGTTCTGCACGATGCGCAGCGGTCGGTAGGTGAACACGCTCAGGATCACCAGGCAGTTGCCCAGGATCGTGGCGATTATGAGGAACGACAGCACCAGCGTGGCCAGCGCGGCCTCCCACAGCGGCAGCGTCGGGCCCTGATCCACGTCGCCGGCGCTGCAGCCGTCCTCGCCCAGCGCGCCTGGCTCCTCGTACAGCGTCGTCTGCTGGACCTCCATGCCGACCCGCTCACGAGCCCGCCGCCCGCCGCCTCCTCCTCCTCCTCCTCCTCCTCCGCCTCCTCCGCCGCCGCCGCCTCCTCCTCCTCACTGCGTCCGCGGTCTCCGCCGTCGAGTCATCTGCGTCACCGGGGCCAGAACGAGGAACAAACTATTTCAGTGCTATCCCTTTCATCGGATTTGCCGACGTCCGCCACCCCCAAGTGCGCCGGGCATAACTTAGCAAAGTGCACTGTAATGTCGGGTCGGCTTTGACCCTCAGCTCGCTCGCAGAAACGCGCCAAGCCAAACTTGCAGCTCTAATTATTTCGAGATTACACGCGAGCGCGAAAACACGTAACTGATACACTCTCGTTTTGCGCTCGGCAACTTCCACCAAAGTCGGACTAGCGCTCGTGCCAAAGTCAAGCAATTTTCGAAATAACTAGCCAAGTGTGTGCGTTGAACTTGAAACGCGCTCAGCCATCGCTATAGCGGCGGCCGCGCTGCCTTAGGCTGCTTCGCTGGATCGCGCCGCGTTTTCTCCCTCCCTCTTTCTCGAGACTCCTTCGATACGAGGCGCATTGTGATTTACGGAGCGTCGTCTGGCTACGATCAACGACGATTTATCACGGCTGCAGTGCCGAGTTGCCGCCAGCGTTTGCTCCTGCCTGTCGCTAGACGCTTCTGGACAAGTTATTTCAATTCTCGGCCCAACACTTGTCACCGGACCACCGTAAAGTCTAATCACCGCAATTATTTTCTCGCGTAGCGCAAGCCCCACTGTTCGCGACCGCGGCTAGGCTCTGATGTGTGGGAAAAGAGACCTTTTTCTAATAACGTCACGTTCCCAAAAACATTCGTACGTTGTCCGCGCACGAAAGGCTATCATTGTCGACGAAAATTGCGACCCAATTTTTCTCGACGGATAATAATCCGCGTAATTTTTCTTTTTTTTTTTTATGCTTTACGACGAACATTTCATTCTGCAGAGGCGCAGCTCGCGCACGTCCAAATTTCGTACATCTCGCTCGACATTGTTTTCGACAAGTTCTATCTACTTTGTAGAACTTTTGAAAATTTCTTTAAGCAGTCTGCGCCGTCAATTGAATATGATGTGACGTGCCAAAATGAGATTTTTCTTTCCTTTCTCGGTAAAGTGCATTATTGAAGTCCACGAAGTGCATTATTAAAGTTATTGGCGCTTGGGTAACGAACGTGAGGCGAATTTTTAGTCTAACGAAGATTGTACGTACAACGTTCTGCCCAATTTATCGCAACGATCGTTACTAAAAACCTTAATAATCATTAATTTCAATGTTTATATACGCGAAACTCTCATCAGTAACCGATGTAAGAGTGTCTCAACCCACCCACCAATGCGCAAAATTATGCCAAAGTTGTTCTAATTAATCACGTACGATTTCTCGAATTTCAATTTATAAAAGCTCCACATCCCTTGACGGCGCGTGCGAATCCGCTCGGTACAATTCGCAGAACCCAGCTGAGGCATCGATAAAAATTAAATCGACAGTCATCGTTCAAAGCTGCCCTGGAGATCTCTCTCTCTCTCTCTCTCTCTCTCTCTCTCTCTCTCTCTCTTTCTCTCTCTCGCTGCCTTGGAAAAGAACTCGCGTGCGTGCGCGGGAAGCGCCGTAAACGCGCCGAGTGATTTATCGCCGAATGGCATAAATCAGACGTACGCGTATCCAACGCTAACAGGGGGAGAGGAAGACTTTGCATGCGCGAGGACTGGAATGTAATCGAACGACGTCCATTACGCCACTCGCCAGGCTCGTCCACTCGTCATATGTCCGACAAAGTGGCTTATTAGAATCAATGGACTTCTTTCCTCTTTTATTTTTTTTTCGCGATGGCGTGTAATTAGATACATAATATCCGGAAGAATTTTGTGCGATTCTTAAAAAAAAATTTGAAGTTTTTTTCTTTCTTAGCCGAGCGAATACACAGGACATAATGTAGGTCAAGAAGGTCCTACGGCTTTATTTTTTCGCGTCTTTCTTCTTCCTCCCGCAGCTTCATTTCAGGAGGGGGTGGAGCGTCTAGAGAAAGAGAGAGTGGGAAAACGAAAATTACAGGGTTAGAGCAACGTAAATTAACGTCTATTTACAGTTTCCAAAGATTCTATCCCGAGGAGTGCAGATGGAGGCTTGTGTTCTAATTTCCGAGAGCTTCCAGTTTATGCGCATGTGTGTGCTCATCCTCTCTCTCTCTCTCTCTCTCTCTCTCTCGAAATTTCAAGACGCAGCGTTCCTCTCCTATGCGTTCAATTAAACTCTTTTTTCCTCGACGCTGATGTACCCTCACTTTGATGACTTATACCTTTGAGAAGGTAAAGCGACAAAAAAATCGTCAAAGCTCACGAGAAACAGCTCATTACTCGTTCTTATAAGAGATGTTCGTCACAAAATATCTTTGATGCTTAGGCACATACACAGACACACACACACACACATACACTCAAAGAAGAAGAATATTTCAAATCGAAAAATCCTTTCGTCTGTTTTTTTTTTCTTTAAAAAAAAGGAAAATGAAAGAAGTCTCATGTATGATTCAAAGCGATAGGACGCGTATATCTCTCGGCGATATGAAAACGTGCACGGGTCACCAACGGAGTGTGGCGTATTGAGACATAAATCCGTATAGGCGAGTTCCGAGCGCACGCGGATGGCATTGATTAAATCATAGCGTAAGGCAGAGTCAAGGGAAACGCGATCCGCACGCGAGCGAGCCGTGATAAGCAATCGCGAGAGCCGTAATCCTCGTGGGAATCCACGGAATACAATAACCGCGAAATAATTAAAATTCGACACACGAGGGCGAGAGAAAATGGCGTTCGGGACTGGAAAGTACCCGCGAGCGAGCGAGATTTCCGCTTTGCTGCTTAGCTACACTTGCAGCCCTCCTCCCAACTCGCACCGGACGGACGGCCGTGAATTACGCGTAGGACGCTTGGTCTGTTTTTCGCCGGCGCGCCGTTATTGGCCGTGCTTTGTTCGCGTTACCAGCGAAGATTAGGCGTTCTGCCGATCGCCCGAAACTTTTCGAGAGAGCACAACCGACGACTTTCGTCAGGCCGATTCGTCTTTCCCGTGCAGCTTGGATAAGTTGGCTCTCGGCGAGGCGCAGAGTATAGGCAGCGACCGTGCCCGCAGCAAGAGAAATGGAGCAGAGTCGCGCGATTTTCGACGGAGATTTCGACTTTATTTAAAAACGGATTAGTCGAATGAATGAGCCGTTTCGTGCGACTCGACGGACCATTAGTCGGCGCAAAAAGATTAGCGCGGGGAAAAAACGCGAAGCATTACAAAAATCCTGCAGCCACGCGACGATCATAATTCACCGAGTTGCGCGCCCAGGCAAAAGAGAAAAAAAAAAAAAGATATGCCTTTGTCACCGTTAGCTCGCGTGAAACGCGGCAAGTCTATCAAACGAATAATTCGCGTTGGTCGGGCGTAATTAAACGGGACAAGCTAAAGCATTAAAAATAACGCGGCGATAAATTCTTTGCATAACATGGCGCGACCCCAATTCCACCCTCCTCCCTCCCTACCGAAAAAGCACGAAAATCTCGTCAAAATTTATATTTCAGCCTCCGGAGCGAAGATAAAAGCCTCGCGCTAATCTGCTCGCGCCGCGCACAATGCGAGTCAAATGCACGCAAATGAAATTACGTCAGTGGGCGTTGTCGAGAAGAACGAGAAATTGTATGGCTCCTTATTTACCGAGGAGCATACGCGGGAGCGAATAAACGATGGCTGAGGTTAGGACGAGCTGCAAGTCCATTTGGTGTTGCGCAGCGGAGAATCTAGACGAGGACTTCGCTGACACATCAACTGCCCCGGCTCGGCTGAAAAATTACCGAGGAACACACTTTCGCAGCGAGGAGTCCACTCTCGGCGAGCGTTATTGCTCGTTTAACGGGTCGCGGTCGGTGAATTAAAGCGCCCCGACTGTCGCTCCTGGCCGAGCGTCGCGCGCGACATCCGGGCCTTGGACAAGCAGTGGGAATTCGTCGACGCTCCGCGCTCCCGCGAAATTGAATATCACACAGGCGAGGATTAGGCGCGATGTTTTAATAAAGCCGGCAGTGGCGCGCGATAAAATTTTACAGCTTGTAAACCGTAATAGCCAATTTCGTTTTTTCGTGTTTTTTTTTTCTTTTTTTTTTTTTTTCGGCTCGCGCTCGCTCATCGTCATCGCGCGGTCTACGTACAGCGTACAGCCGGAGAAAGAGAGGGAGCACGGTTATTAAGCGCTTTGTCGAAAAGCTCGTAGTCGTCGTCGGGGTAATCCTTTTTCCCGTTTAATGCGGCGAGCGAGAGAGGGCGTAATTACTCCGCGCGTGCTGTTGCGCGCCGCAAAATTGAGATCGGTACGCCGAAGAATTCGCGATCTGATACTCACGCGACGACGCTCGAGCGAGATTAATTTTTGAAGCGCGGCGCCACCCTCGACACTACAATTTCGTACTTTCTCGCTTTCTCTTTTAATGCTTGGTCGGCTTTGAATCGAGTGCCAGGATTTAATTCATCTCGAGGTCTCTCTCGGCCCTCCGTATTTACATATTTGAAAGAGGTTCTCGAGCGCAGCAGTTTAAGGAAATGGCGAGAGCTTGCAAATTGTAACGAAAATTTCTGCGAGTGTCACGGGCGCGGCTACGAAGTGGTGTCAATAGCCGATTCAGATCTGTACATGAGAGAGACAGCCATTCAAAGCTGCAAAATAAGAAACGGACCCTTTTCAATGGCGCGCCTCTCTCCTTTCGCTACGAATGTTGCTTTGCTGCGAGTTTCAATGGCTGGAGAACTAGAAAAAAAAAAAAAAATTGGCGGGGGGAGGGAAGCTACAGAAAAGTGCAATTTTTCATCTCTGAAGGCTTTTTGCGAAAAAACCGACGCGAGCGTTGACGTCGCCGTCGCTCGGGTTTTTTATTTGGTTTCATTTAGAATCGAAAATTGGATAGATTTTACCGGGCGCAATTATCCGTGATTCCGTTAGTGACGTAATCAGGCAAGTCACAACTGCATCCCTTGTGTTCCTGCGTAAATTACGCTCTTTATTTATTTTGCAAGCACAAACTCGTCCGAACAATCACTGATGCGGCGCAATAATAACTCGGCGCTCGACGTCGCGAATAAAACGTCGGTCGACTGCGTGCGGGTATAAAGATTTAATTACGCGAGAGAGCGAAAAAAAAAACAGATTCGTCGCTACTAAATTCAACTTTCCCAACATGATTTCGTACTTTGCGCGAAAGTCGACTGTAGACAAAAAAAAAAACGCAGCCGCGAGGAACTTTTGCACTCGCCGAAATGCGTAAAAAAAATTCAATTTCGTGAAAAACAATCGTTGGTTCTCACTCGATCGCGTTCATCGACGAGATACCGGAACGGAAAGTGCAAAAGCTCCCGGCAGTGAACGTATTTTTGCCTATTGCAGGCGTGGCAATCGAACGGGCGCGCTCATAATAAAACCGCGGTTAATCGACAAGGACGATCTCTCACGCCTCTCCAAACGACTTGAGCGAGGCGCGTGGAAAAGCGGCGCCCCCGCAAAAAGAAAAACAGAGAAAAAACCGAGCGCGCACGCACAAAGGATGGGGAAAAAAAGGAGTTGGAGGGGGCGGGGGGAGAAAAGCGTAACGAGGGCAAATCAAGCGGAAGAAGTGTGTCGCGCGAAAAGCGGCAAGAGGGCTTATTTATGCCGTTAACCGCGCTCTACGACCGAGCGAGCGCGAAACTCGATTGTCGTTAATGCGGTCGGATTCGGCCGCTCGCGAAGTTCGTTAAGCTGCCGCCCTGCGAATTATATGCCCCCTTTATATCGCCCGCGCAAAGGAATAGCTTCTGCGGGCGAGAACACATCGGGCCGATTTAGTTTCCCCTCGCACCGAAAGGGAACGAGCGCGAACGACGTACGTACGCGCGCACGAGCCCAGCGGATTGCCGATTCGCGACCGCCGAGAGTTTTCTTTCTTTCTTTTTTATTCGCGATTTCGCGCGATAAGACGCCGATTCAGCCGGAACACTCCGCGAGGATCGTGGCGGAGTCGAGGCCTTTTTCTCCTAACACTCCAGCCAACAAAATCCACTAGGCAACTTGACGGGCATTCAACTCGATGCTCGTCATTCGCCTCTTTACGAGGGCACAGCGCACTACTTGAGATCGATGTCGAATGTCTCGGTCACCCGTATCGCATAACTTTTATACGGGAAGCGGCAATCGGAATGGCCGCCTCGCGATCCGATCGACGATCACTTTTCGCGTTCGTCCGGTGGTAAGCGGCCGCGTAAAGCGGTCTTCTGCAAAGAGAGAAAGGAAACGGCGCGCGGCAGTCCCGAAGAGGCGAGCGCGCGCCGAGCGATCAATCAACTACGCGCGGCGGAAACAATCGAGGCGTCGTCTCCTTTTTGCTCTCGCAGCGGCGCGGCGACACTCTCATATTGATTAACAATCTATTTCAAGCCTAGCCGCTCTCGGCGCGAGAGCGCTCGTCTCTCCGGTTTTAATCAAATATTTATTTATCCCGACGCGCGGCCTCTATCAGCCTGGAATCTAATTTTCTTCTCTCTCTCTCTCTCTCTCTCTCTCTCTCTCTCTCTCTCTCTCTCTCTCTTACTCGGCCTTTGCCGTTCCACCGCTTTGCGTTTCTCGATAATCAAATTTTGCACTCCGCCGGAATGACCAAGCCCCCGCTCTCTCTGTCGGCCTGTGCGCTCTTCTTTGACCGCTAATTTCGTCCTCGCCGCGGAATCCCCTTCTCTCTACCTGTCACCGCGAATGCTCGAGGCGACTTGGATACACAATGCGCCGCTAATCGAGGCGCTTTACAACGTCCGACCGACTGCCGGGGAGCGCGCGACGCCACCCGACGCGTGTCTGCTGGCTGCGCACCGTCGCGCGCACACCTCAATGGCGCATATTTCCACTGACGAGGATGCCTTTGATTTGCATCTGATGGGCCGCGATTATCCGAGCGTCTTTGCGAAGACAAACGCACATACGAGTCGTTATAGGCGTAATAGTCTAGTGGAGGAGATAAGCGCTTCCAACGTTTAACCATTGTAATAAATCAACGCGTGGCTAAAACAAATACTCTCGGCAGTCGCCGTTTGACTTCACGTAGAATATTTTGTTTTAGTCGTACTCGATTCTTTTTCGCATCAACGACTGCTACGAAATTCAAAAGCTCGTCGCTATAAGCTATCTAGTGAATTTCGAATTAAACACGAGAGGCTATTTCCGTGCGGTTTTATTGTGTGAATTCTGTAAATCAAAAAAATTTTTCTTAAATTTATTTGTATAATCCACGTAGATAAAATAAGTTTAATAAAAATCAGTTCAGCGGTTTTGTAAAAAAGCACATGCACATTCACGGGCATACAATTGAAAAGCATTGGGCGGTTCTCTCTCTCTCTCTCTCACTTTTTTTTATCGAAGTCGGTCAGAGAAAACAGAACGGTCTATGTGTTTTCTAACAAAACAAGTATACAACGGTGCACTGTGAATTTCGGGGCCAGTGCTTCCCACACACTCCCTATTCCCGAGTGTGTAAAATAAAAAAAAAAAATAAATCAAAAAAAGGCAGTCGGTTTACATTTGTCCGAATCAAAACTTCAGCAGCGGCGATTTTGACTTTTAAATTTTTCGGGACGAGCGAAAAAGAGAGAAAGACGAATTAATGTCTCGTAAGGCAAGCAAACCGACATGCGAATTTTTTAACGCGACTTTCATTCACTCGCGACTCGCTCGTTTTCCCCTTTGTGTGTCAATGTTCTTTTTCGGTCTGCTTTATCTTTAGCAGAGCGGCGGAGGCACCGAACGAAAAAGGTGATAATTAGAGAGACTTATATCGCGTTCGTTTGTCGGGTATTCTTTTAGGATGAGAGAAAAAAATAGCGCTTTCCCGGCTTTGATCGCGCACGCATGCTCGAGTCCGCGCGAGTCCCCGGCAGAGTCGGACAACATTTGCTCGAGGCGATTGACGGCGTCCGCGATGAATATCTTTCTGTGAGTTTCCTTTACCGAGTGGCAGCATTCCTCCTCGACGCGGGCAGTGCCGCGAGGAGACTCGCGCGAAATAATCTCGGACATTTACCATCGAGCGACGTTGGCTTATTGCCTCCGAATCACTCGAACCACGGGCAAAATGGAAGGAAAAGAAGGAGAACCAATGACTAGGAGGGCTTTCCGTGTTCCCAGGGAATGACGCGCAGGAATGAAATAGAGCCCGATGGCAAATCCACTTTGAATGCGCGTCTTTTCTAAGATCTTCGAGGATCAGGAGTGGCAACGGCGCGGCTTGAATGCTCGTCGAATGCCGTCCAAAGCGGCGCAGCGACACGAAAAATGACAAATTAACCCATCCAGTGTGCGGTTTCACAGTCGAATAAACCGTCGCCCCCCCTCCTCGTACCGCAGCCGCATCTTTTATTCATGACATTCAAACTCCTGTCCCGTCGACTTCCTTCTTTTTCTCGCTCGCATCGATTACAGTCACTTGCGGTCTGCGCGAGTCTTTCATCGAATTGGGTCCGCTTGCCTCCTGATTTTGACGAATTTAGTGGCGGAAAGTTCGCGCTCGTCGAGCAAATAGCCTGGCTCCTTCCTTCCCCCACCCGGTTTTTTTTTCGCTCCGTTCGCAAGCCTTCCAAATGAGGTCGGTTTGTTTTAGTTGGGTCAGCGCGGGCAGGACTTAATCAAAGGGCAAACGCGTGGTGGCTGACTAGATGCGACGGCGCAGGGGCGGCGGTGAAAATAGAACAACAGTTCTTTTTTTACAAGCTCCTGGACATGACGTTGACGAGACAGTCAGAGAGGCAGAGGGCGAAAAAAGTGGCTTTTTCCTTCGTTCTTTTCTTTTTCATTCGTCGAAAGTTCGCTTCAACAATTCGCCGGCCTGCACGAGAGTCGGCTTTTCGCAACGTTCGCAGTGGAAAGAGAGGGTGTAGGTTCCCGATTCACGGGACTAAGAAGAGCGCCCAGCCGTAAGTCTATTGTGCGGCACTAAATAACAACTCATAAATTCACGAAAAAGATTGGGATCGCGTCCAACTTTAATAAAAGTATCTTGTTACGACCGCGGCGATCGCGTAGCGTCGTCTCCTCTTGCCGGGTAGATTCGCAAGTTTGGGAATCAACAAAAACTTTGCACGCGCGCACACTCGCAAGTCGCATCTTTCGCGAAGCTCAGCGGCGCGTCTATCGGCAAGCAAGGCAAACTTCATAATGGATTCGGCGCTCGGTCGGCGGTGCGCGGCGTAGAGGCTAATTCGCGCATTTCCTCCGGGCGCCGCGGCGAATTTCAATTGCGAACCAAGATAAAATTTATATAAATCAGCGGAAGTCCCGTGGCCAAGCGATAATAAATTCATCGAGATGTGCGCGAGCGTGCGGCAGTGCAGGTTCTGGTGGGGACGGGCGCGAGGAGGGGGTGGGGGAGGCAGCTTTGAAAAATTCATCGAATCTCGCGCCTCGTTAACCCCCTCATCTAGAGCTTCAGCGTAAACAGAGCGAACGGAGGAAAGAAGGCGGCAGAACAAGAGAGTAACGAACCCCGCAACATTTGCATAATGAATCGTTTCGCAATTGGGAGCCCAACAAAAGGCATAGATGCAAAGGCTCGGCGAGAGTGCTAAGGGGGTTTGACCTAGTATCCCGCTGGAGGAAAGAGAGGGTGGGAGAGCTTTTTCACGAGGGGGATTGTTATGTGAAACGTTGCTCTCTTGAGAGTGACTAGATTTACGGGATCGATTAGGTTTCACCGAGAGAGAGAGAGAGAGAGAGAGAGAGAGAGAGAGAGAGAGAGAGAGAGAGAGAGAGAGAGAGAACTACAGCGTTTTGTTATTTCGTTGCTTTTGCAAAGAAGCAAGCGAGTGCTCACCGAGCTGCGTTCACGCTGGAGGCTGCACTCGCACCACACTCGCACTTGCTCACTCGCGCACACTGGCGCGCGAAGAGTGATATAACGTCGCACTTTTATTCCCGGCGGACAAAGCCAATGTAAAGAGTTTTCGCCCGCGAGATAAAGGGGACCAGAAACAACGTCAAGCTCTCTGTCACTCGCAGCATCCACTACAGAGTCAGCACTGTGTACTTGCAAGCGGATCGCCTCTAACCACCCCGAGTAGAAGAAGAAGAAGAAGAAGAAGAAGAAGAAGAAGAAGAAGAAGAAGAAGAATGGAAAAAGAAGATCGCGAAGAAGAAGGGGAAGGAGAAGAGGAACAATAGTGTGCGCGCGTGTGTGTACCTGGAGAGCAGCAGCGGGGCGCGGCGGCCACCGCCGTCGAGAGCACAACTGCTGGGGAGAAGCCTCTCTCAAGTCCGCGGCTGCTGCTGCTGCTGCCTCCGAGAGACTTGGCTACTGCTGCTGCCTCAGCCTCGCGCTGTGCTGCCCGTGCTCGCGCTGCTCCAACGGAGAGACTGCGCGCGCGCACGCGCAGTTCGATGCCTCCGAGTACGCGCGGCGCCCGATGCACACGCTCGTATGTACACACGCGCACATTCACGAAGGAGAACGCGATTCTTCCTCGCCCTCCCAAAACTCAGCGCAAATTTACGCGCGGACCAAAGCAGACTTGTTGCGGCTGATCCTTGACTTCTCCTCTTGTAACCCTCTCGCGCCTGGCTGATTGATTGGACGCGTGGGAGGACGTACTTTGCGCGCAAGGGTGGAATACTTTTTTAGGGGTCGGGGGGAGTCGCGACTAGAAAAAATCAGCTGAAAAACGCGAAAATTCCGTTTCGGCAAAAGCATAAAGAACGAACAGCTGTCGACTTTCCGATCTCTTTGGCCGATACACAGCGTGCAGAGATTGATCATTCGAGATTAATGATCATGTGGGAAACAGACAAATAGACACAGAAGAGAGAGAGGGAGAGAGAGAGAGAGAGATAAAGTGCTAGCATAACAATGCTTATCGCGTTCCTCGATAGCTTCAAAGAAACACGAACGATACGCGTACAGTCCGGCGAGGATAAAGGGAAAAGCTTCCAAGTTGTTATTCGCGGAGGAGGCAAGAAAATGTAACCAGCCGCGCGCAGCCGACCTCCCGGCGAAAACTCGTCCGCTCGGTGGCGATCGATTTTGACGCGCCTCGGTCTTCTCTGCCGATGAATTCCGAGCGATACGCGAAAACGATACGGTCGATTATGAATTTAAATTGAATCGAGCTCGCAAGTAGCAGCTTGCACGCCGCTCTCTCGAGTGCTTCGGCCTTTTTATCAACTTATCTCGTTTGTGCTCGTTCAATTACGGCGAAACGCGGGCATTTCAAGCGCCGTTTCATTTCATTTGTACCTCATGCCGTGAATCCGCGCGCGAGCAGGTGAATGAATTCCCGTATTGAGTGCGTCGCTCGAGCATTCCTCGTTGCATTGCCCTTACTCAGCGCCGTTCTCGAGAGCGCGAGCGGCGTCCGAGTCACGCTTTGTCAATTGTAAAATCCACGAGAAAGAGAAAGAAAAGCCGAACGGCCGCGGCGGAGAGCCGATCCAGCATCTTCTTTTTGATTTCAATATCTACGTGACGAATCGTCAGACCGCATTTCCCTGTGAAACGATCAGCCGACGTCATCGTTATTTCCAAACTTATCTCGGCATCGAGCGCGCCGAGCGCGAGGTTATTAGTCGATTCGAAAACATCTGGCTCGCGACTCGCGTTTCGCCTGGCCGTCCGTCCCTTATAACGGCGCCCACGCGCCGACGCGCTTATCACAGGCAAAGCCAACTTTTCCGCACGCGTTGAGCTCGGGCCGCGTTGCGCAACGCAATCGTGGCCCTGTCCAAGGCAGACGCGCCAGTGCTGCTCGCGGTTCATTCGCGACGGCGGTACAATCCGGTTATATCCGATCGTTCGCGGGGAAACGACGACGCGTGGACGGACGAGCAGCGCGCCCCATTTATACAGGGCGCGAAGTCGGGCAGGACGAGGGCTGCATCGATTTTGGCGCGCGCTCGCGCGTACCTCCGGTCGACGACGGCGACGACGATTGCGCGCCACCTCGCTCGCGCCTACGGCCCCGTCGCCGGCCGAGTCAGTCAAGGGCATCGCTCGCGGAGATCGGGGCTCGGCGCGCGCCCGACGGAGAAGAGAGTCAGAAATTATGCAGCGAGCATCGGACTTTGCTCCGCTGAGTATAACTTCGATGTAGGAAGCGACACCACCCGTCCGCCCGCGAAACAGCCGACGGACGCACCCGAGATGCTCGCGGAAGTGGCGCTCGCCTCGTGATTCCGAGCGGCTCGCGTCGCGCGTTGGCGAAACGCGTAAATATCGAAATATTTGGCGCGTCTGCTGGTCTCGCGCGCGCGCCGATAAGACGGCATCGTTGGCGCGGTCGCGAACGTCGCCTCCCACGAACGCGCCGCTCTCCCCCCGGCCGCAACGTCGCGCCGAGCCGTCTCTCCCCACTGCAGGCCCGCGCGCGCGAGATAGCCCGAAGCCGGTGCGTCGGCGATGATAAGAAGGCTGGGACTCGTGGGCGCGCGGTCAGTGATCGTTCGGCAGCCGTCGCCAGCCATCCGCAACGCCATGTACGCGAGGTTGCTGCAGCTCGCGCCCAGGCGGGCGTTCTCCGCGTCGCCCGCGCTCACGCTCACCATCCGCACCGTCGGCGTAAGTCACGGCCCCGGCGGCGCTCGCGCCTCCCAACCCAGAGCACACCAGCGCCATCACGAGCTCGCTCCGCAGGGCAAGCGGGTGGACCTGAAGCGGGAGCTGCAGACGGGCGAGCGGCCGCGACGCGCCACCTTCACCGAGCGCAACCAGCTCAAGTACGCGCGCAGGCTGGTGGTGAAGCTGGGCAGCGCGGTGATCACGCGCGAGGACGAGCACGGGCTGGCGCTCGGCCGGCTGGCCAGCATCGTCGAGCAGGTGGCCGAGTGCCAGAACGAGGGCCGCGAGTGCATCATGGTCACCAGCGGCGCCGTCGCCTTCGGCAAGCAGAAGCTCGCGCAGGAGCTGCTCATGTCCATGTCCATGCGCGAGACGCTCAGCCCCATCGACCACACCAGGGAGCAGGCCTGTGAGTACGCGAGTTCCGTCTAGTCGAGTCGAGTCGAGTCGCGCCGCGCGCGTCGGGAGCTCGCGAGCTCGTTGTCCGGAGCGACGATTCACCGAACAATGGAGAAAAACGACAGTCCCGAGGAATGGCGCGTTACGCCGATAACCAAGCATACAATAACGCCGACAAGTGCGACGGAGTGAGTAGTAGCCTGATCTAGAACCAATAGTGATTAATTCGGCCGCAAAGTCAGCAAACTCGGGCATAACATTCAATTGGCAATTAGCCGGCTGACTGTGTCCGCGTCCGCCTGACAAACTTCGGCAAACATGACTCACGCCCGAGTAAAACTCACCGGGGGCGGGCGGGGAGAGAGAGGCACGTGCAAAAGAGTCATAATCCCTGCTACGGCGCTCGTGCGGAGTAACGCTAATGACTAGTGCATCGGCAAGGCCACTCTCTCGCTCGATAATCGATGGTCCTTATCTGTTTTATCCGCGTCGTTAGCCAGGCTCGCCGCTCGGCCCGGACCGCAGCGGCCCATTGCAATTGCAAATTGTTTGCGCCGCAGCTACAGTCGGGCTCGCTTGTGCTCCCTCGGCGCGTCCCTCGAGGCGTTCCGCTGCACGCGGTGCCGTCGGGGGCCGCCTCGTCGCGCTCTTTGCGCTCGGCATACCCGATTCTTCCCCGACGAGACGAAGATGCGCTTCGAGGAGCGCGCGATAATCGCCAGGTTCGCAGCTCGGCCTGTCGATGCATCCGATATTCCGATCGCACTCGCGCGAAGCCCCTCGCGAAGCCCCTCGCGAAGCCGCGAGCGCGCGCCGAATCGGGACGCCGCTCTATTTCTGGCTGGCGTTCTCGAGGCTGATTCGACGATACGACTATCGCGGCTTTTTCGCTAATTTATCGGTGCGATCTACGCATGTCACACTCTGATAATCGGCGGGCGGCGAGCGCCTTTATCGCCTCGCTGCAACGGGAAAGGAAAGCGACCGTAAATCGTGCACGTCGCGGCGCGGGCTCGTGCCGGATGAAACTGGTAAGAACGGCGCCCTCCCCCCGTCCCGGCGTGCCAACGCAACGCGGTCGCGCTGAGCGAGCGGCACGCACAGGTGCCAACGTCCGTCTCGCGCGGAGCCATTAATCAGCAGGGCCGTTCTGGCGATTCCCCGCAGCCACGATGCTGGAGCCGAGAGCCGCGGCGGCGGTGGGCCAGTCGGGGCTGATGTCGCTGTACGACGCGATGTTCGCGCAGTACGGAGTGAAGCTCGCCCAGGTGCTGGTGACCAAGCCGGACTTCCTCAACGACGAGACGCGGAAGAATCTGTTTAGCACGCTCAGCGAGCTGATCAGCCTGAACGTCGTGCCGATCATCAACACCAACGACGCGGTCTCGCCGCCGCTGCAGTTCGACGACGAGGTCGTCGAGGGTCACAGCGGTCGGCGCGGCATCCCCATCAAGGACAACGACTCGCTGGCCGCCATGCTGGCCGCCGAGGTGCAGGCCGACCTGCTGATCCTGATGAGCGACGTCGACGGGATTTACAATCTGCCGCCCTGGCAGGACGGCGCCAAGCTCCTGCACACCTTCAGCTCCGACCAGCGCGGATCCATAACCTTCGGCGAGAAGTCCAAGGTCGGCACTGGCGGCATGGACTCCAAGGTGAACGCCGCGCTCTGGGCCCTCGACCGCGGCGTGTCCGTGGTCATTTGCAACGGGATGCAGGAGAAGGCCATCAGCAGCATCATGGGCGGACGAAAGATCGGCACCTTCTTCACCGAGACGACGAGCAGCTCGGCGCCGGTCGAGGTCATCGCCGAGAACGGTGAGCCTGCGCGATTCGGTGTCTACGACCGATTCGGATAAGGAAAAAGACGATCCGAGATTGGACTCTCGTTCTTTATCGAGACGTCGCGGCGACGAGCCGTGATCGCGCGTTCGTTTCATCGACGTCGTCGCCGAGCAGCTCCGCGACGAATTCGCAGCGGCCGCTGCGATCGGAAAGATACGCGCGCGTGCAGTAAATGCGCCAATAAAATGTCGGCGATGAAATTACGCGAGCACTCGACGACAAAAGAAGTAGTTTATCGTTGCGCGCTTTGCATGAACTTTGAATTGCACCGCGTTATCGGCGCATTGCGCAACGTCTTCGCTTCGAGTCTCATGTTCCCCGACGTCCTTGTCTTCCGCATGCAGCGCGCGTCGGCAGCCGAGTGCTGCAGTCCTTGGCGCCGGAGGAGCGCGCCGGCTGCATAAACACGCTGGCGGGCCTGCTGGAGACGCGCCAGAGCGAGATCCTCGACGCCAACGGCAAGGACCTCGACGAGGCTCGCAAGTCGGGCCTGGCCAAGCCCCTGCTCTCGAGGCTGTCCCTCACGCCGTCCAAGCTCAAGTCGCTGCGCGACGGCCTCAAGCAGATCGCCGACTCGTCGCTGACCAACGTCGGCAGGGTGCTCAGGAGGACCAAGCTGGCCGACGGCCTGGAGCTCAAGCAGATAACCGTGCCGATCGGCGTCCTGCTCGTCATCTTCGAGTCGCGGCCCGACAGTCTGCCACAGGTGAGCGCCTCTCGGCGGCGACGCCGCGGCCGGGATCACGAGCGCGGCGCGTTCCGCAAAGTTTCCGGTCGCGACGCCCTTATCTCGTGGATATAATTAATCGAGAGGCAGCCGCGCGATAAGCGCGCGCAGACCCACGCAACGAGCACGGCTACTCCGTGTAGGCAGCGGTGATCCCGCCTGACGCGACTGCCGTGTGCTCGCAGGTGGCGGCCCTGGCCATGTCCTCGGCAAACGGCCTGCTGCTCAAAGGCGGCAAGGAGGCGGCCCACAGCAACCGCTGCCTGATGGACCTGGTAAAGGAGTCGCTGAGCTCGGTGGGCGCGGTGAACGCCATCTCGCTCGTGTCGACGCGCGAGGAGATCGGCGACCTGCTCTCGATGGAGAAGCACATCGACCTGATCATACCGCGCGGCAGCAGCGAGCTCGTGCGCAGCATCCAGCTGCAGTCCAAGCACATACCCGTGCTCGGCCACGCGGAGGGCATTTGCCACGTGTACGTCGACAGGGAGGCCGACCTGGACAAGGCCGTGAGGATCGTCCGCGACTCCAAGTGCGACTACCCGGCCGCGTGCAATGCCATGGAGACACTGCTCGTTCACGAGTCGCACATGGCTAGCGGCTTCTTCAACGACATCTGCGCCGTGCTGCAGAAGGAGGGGGTAAGAGATCGGCGCTGCTCGACTCGGCCTCGCAGTCAGTGACCGCGTTGTTCCGCCCGCGCGCAGGTGAAAATCAACGCGGGCCCGAAGCTGCGCAAGCTGCTGACGTTCGGGCCGCCGATGGCGCCCAGCATGAAGATCGAGTACGGCGCGCTGGAGTGCACGATCGAGGTGGCGGCGTCGGTGGAGGACGCGGTCGGCCACATACACAAGTACGGCAGCGGCCATACGGACGCGATCGTCACCGAGGACCAGCGCAACGCCACCTACTTTCAGCGCGAGGTCGACAGCGCCTGCGTCTTCCACAACGCCAGCACGAGGTTCGCCGATGGCTATCGCTTTGGCCTTGGCGCCGAGGTAAGCCTCTCCGCGACCCTTCCTCACCGTTTCGCTTTGGCGCGGATCGGATCGGCAGAAACAAACTCGCGGTTATCGTTGACCTTCCCGTCGCTCACCGACGGGTCAATGGTCTGCATTACAAGCGCGAGCGAACCGAGTGAAACTTATCTCTTTTCGCGACGTTCCTTTTGCATTTCGGTTGCTTTGCCTCCGGACAAGTTGCATCGAGAAAATACATGCTTACGTTGCGCCGTCGTATCGTAGCAGATAAATAACTCGCAGTGACGTTTCGCTACCCGTGCTGCGTTTGCGCGAACGATCGTCGCGCGAGCGGTTGTTTTCGTACAAAACGAGGCGGATCCTTTGAATTTGGAAAAATCGGAAACGAGTCGTTTGTCAGACGGCTAAATCGTTTAACCGATCAATTTTCTTCGACAAAGAATGCCAGTCTCGCCTCTAATTGAAAGCGAACGAATGTCTGTTGGCGCACAAAGACCGGCGATTAATTCGCCACGAATGGAAATTGCAATCGGTCCGTTGCACGTGCCGAGGTGGTGACACTGACGTCCTATTTCCCGCCTGTCCTTATCGCGAGAGAAACGACAATTAAGAATCTCGACACAAATCAATTAGGTTATCAGCGTAGTCGAGCGCGGCGAACGAAAGCGAGACAGACGTGCTACTACGAGCCGCGGGCCGCCGACACGTGTCACATCTGCCTTGCCGTCTTCTGTTCGCAGGTGGGCATCTCGACGGCGCGGATACACGCGCGAGGACCCGTCGGAGTAGACGGGCTGCTCACCACCAAGTGGGTGCTCAACGGCGACGGCCACGCGGCCGCTGACTTCGCCGACGGCGGATCCCGCAGCTTCGTCCATCAGTCACTGCCCGTCGACGAGGCGTGACGATGCCCGCTCGAACGAGCCCCGCTTATTTATTTAGCCAATTGTGTATATTCATCGACGCGACCGCGCGCGGCCGGCAGAGCTCGTCGTCGGCCCCGTCGCTCGCCGGCGATCGTCCGAGCGACGCACGGCCGACGAGGGGCGTCGCGAGTGCTCGCGCGCGACGCGAGTTTCTTATTATTAATAAATCCGCGCGGCGAGGGATCGCGTCACCGCGATCTCTGGCTGCGCCGCGTGAACGGCCGCTTGTCGCGCGCGTCGATTTCCGTCTTCGCGCGACGATCGAGAGCCGCAGAGAGCTTCGGGGACCGACGGCGAAGCAGCCTCTCGTACGCGTCGGCGATCAAAAATCCAAGAGCGCAACAGCGCTCGCGAGTCAGCTGGGCCGCGCGAGGCGAGCGAGAAAAACGACTTGGAAATTCGTCGTGCTCGCCGGCTCGAAGACTGCGACGTATAAGCTCGGTTTACCACTGCCTTTTGTCTTCTTTCTTCGTGCCTCTGCGTGCCTTGCCGCGAACAATGCTCGTTCACACAAAAATGTAAGTGCATGTATATACGGACGCCTCTGCTCGGATAGTATTAAAAGCTCGGCCTTCCTCGAAAGTGCCTTTGTTTGTAAACCATGCCTAAGACTTCATTTACTCCACGATACCCTTTGCGCCTCGCGAGCTCGCGCGCGAGAACCCAAACGACGACGAGACCGTACGCCGCACGTCGCTGCAATTAAGCGCCCATTTCGCGGTCCTTGAGAAAATGTGGGTCGCGAGCGACGTATCTCGCGCGGGGCGAGGAGGGCAAGGATCAAGCGATATCAAGATAAGCCTAATCGCTCTTTCATTTTGGCATGCTACCGCGCCCCTCATCCTCCTCCCCCTCCCCCTTCTCCTCGTTTTTCTTTTTTGGAGTGGAAGCCTCGTTGCGCGCGACTTTTTTTTTCTGATCCATCTCTGATGCTTTCTCGCGATAAGCTAGACGATGTAAATGCATATTGATTCTTCTTTTATTTTTGTTTTGTTGCTGCCATTCGGTTCGATCCGCGAGAAAAATGGTCGCTTCGGATTTCATCTCGAGCGGATGGATGAAATTTCAAGGATTTGTTAATCAACGGAGATGCCCGCGTGCATTACATTCCTGTAAAAAACGTTGAAATTTATAAAAGTGCTTCATTTCTTCGTCGTTCGCTTGCATTTCGTTCGGACTTGAAATGTCGATCTTAGCGCACTTCGTTACTTGCAACACTCGGTGCGCTACGCGATTCGGACAATCCCTTTCTCAAAATAAAAAAAGATTTACGCAGGAGCCTTGCAGTCTCGTTTTCAAGCTCCGACGCGAGTCTAATCAGCGGCAACGAAAATAAGCGCATGCTTGGCGGGAGTTGCGTCCGAGTGCGAGCTCATTAATATTGCGCCGCCGCTCCGGTGCGGAACTCAAGCATCGACTCGGCGACCCATCGAGTCGTCGCTGTCGCGCGGCCCTCTCGTCTCGGGCGAGCAATGGCTTATCGCTCAGATGCGGCAATCAAACGGACAACTGACCGCGGCCAAAACATTCGTCGTCTGGCGCGAGCCGCTCGTTACGTAAAAGCTGAGATTACGCACTCTGCGGAATATTTTGACGCCCGACTGCCTGTAAGGTCGGCTTATCGTCCCGAGCCTGTACCCCGATGTTTGCGATTGGTTTCTTGCAAAATTTACCATTTATCCCCGTGGACGAAGGCGTCGATCGCTACGAACGACAGTACGATCCTTATCGCTGATTTTGATTATAATCGGCTGGAAAAGTTTCGCGCGCGAATTTACCCGGAGAGATGTAATCGCGGTCTGAAACTTGAACGCCAGCGAAGGAATATTTTCGTGTAGCCGACAGCTAAGCCGACAGATAACCCTGAGCGTAATATCATCAGTTTGTTTGAAAACAAACTGGAAATGAGGCGGGAATTCTATGTTATGCTTGCAGTGCAGAATTGCAGATTATGATGCGACTCGTTCGGCAAGGATGTGCGTTTGATTTGGCGTCGTGCAAAGTTCAATCGTTTGATTAATTTTTTCTTTTCATCATTGCGGAAATCGGAGCTTATCAATATTGCGAAGTCGACTTTTTTTGCTAAACAATAACACAACTAATCTTATTTTCGATAGTCTGAAGCTTTGAAATAGCTTTATTTTTTTGAAACAATTCTCAGCTCATTATCTAATCGTTGGCATTTCAAAATCGTCTAGAGATAATAAAAATAGAAAGACGATCGTGCGGATTTTTCCTAGTAAAACTGCATTATATTAATCACAGTTGTGGATAATAAAGTCCAATTCTTGTCAATAAAAGAATAATAATATGGCACATCTACAGGCTGACGTCGATCACTTATTAAAATTCCATTGAAATGGTATCTACGTTCCGTCAGCCAAATACGAAAATTTCAATAGACCCCAAAGTCCATCGGAATAAAGTCCAACTCTCCCCGTTTGAAAAATAAAATGCACAAGAATGCAATAGACGTTGCGAGCGCGCGCTCATTTTTCGCGAGCATTGACGTCATTCGATTTGATAAAGTCACGAGAAGAGAGTAATGATAAGAAGACACGCGCCCGGCGTGCGAGCGGACGAACAAAGATGCAACTCTCATCGATCTTCGTCTGAGACAGCACTGGGTCGCTGACTGACCTCCACCATATACACGCTCGATCAAGTTAATGAGCCGAAAATCGGCACGGCTTGTGCGTACGCGTTACAGGTGATTAAGCGTAGACTCTGATTTACATGACTATTTACACATTTATTATTATTATTTTTCATTCAATAGAATCAACATTTTATTCATTCAATCTGGTCGAATAATTAACTGAGAAATATGTCAATAAGTTAAGTTTTGTTGCGTGTCTGTTTATAAAATCAATCTACTTTTTCAGTCAATAATTGCAAAATACATTATCACTCAATGATAGTCTTCAGGATTGGTATAAAGAATAGTCCAAAGAATAGTCAAAGCTACAGAAAACACTTAAAAAATGACCTATTTACAGTTATGTACGTTAACTTAACGAATCTGGAGCCCATAATTTGAAAGTCCGATCGTACGAAGTTGTGGCGATATATTTGTCATCTGAAGAGATGTCAACTGACATTACCTTGTTGTCATGACCTGATAATGTTTTCAGTGGCTGCCAAGTATTTTGTGACCATATACTCGCAGTATGATCATACGAAGCAGCCACTAGATATTGACCATGCTCTTTTTGGTATTTCACGTCTGAGATAAGGTTCACGTGTGCTGGAATGGTATATATGTGTGCCCTTTTGCGAAGATCCCAAATTTTAACTGAATTATCCTCCGAGCCCGTTGCTATATGATAGCCATTAGGAGCAAAGTCTATGCCAAATATGGACTTGAGATGGCCTTCCATAAACATAATACACCTGCCAGTCCTCAAGTCCCACACTCTTCCAAATGAATCTTGACCTCCTGTAGCAGCCACTGAACCATCAACTTGGAAACTGAAAAAATTTATAAATAATTTACTCACTTAAATCATAATATTATTAGGGAACATGAAAATATCTAAACAATCAAGAGAAATAAAAAGAATAAATCTATGTATTTTATGAAAATGTATTAAATACATTTTTTAGCTGATTTTATTTCCATATATCTATTTTTCAAAATAATTGAGTAATTTTACCTAATACAGTGAACTGGCTTGGTATGACCTTCCTGATGCAACACCTCTACTTTTTGTTGCAAATCCCATAGCCGCCAAGAATAATCATGTACACATGTTCCTAAGAACATTCCAGATGGATGAAAAGCAAGGCGTGAAACTCTGTATGGCTTGTGTCCTTCTACCTCAGCTAAGGGTTTATCACCTTTTCCACCTCCCCATAACTTGACACTACCTACAGATGAAAAAGATGTTCAGAGTTTTACTCAAATCACTAAATTTTCATAACTAGCAAGTGAAAAATTATAAAAATTTTATTTACCATCTGCTGCTGCACTGGCCATCACAACTTTTCTAGCTGCATGATCATCAAAAATATCTCCTTCAAGGGTTGCTCTTGGATGAAAAACAATACAACCCGCATTGCATTCATGGCCTTTTAGTGTTCTCAATAAAGTACAGTCAGGAACTGACCACAATTTACATAAACCAGACCAGGAAGCTGTGGCTAGTATTTTAGAGTTTGGACTGAATTGGCAATAAGAGATTGGACGCGTGTCACCAATTTGAGAACATTCTATATTTAATCCATGCAATTTTTTGATTAATTCTTGACGTTTTGCTGTCTTAGTAGCAGAAGGTAATTCCAATTCTTTTTTCGCTCGTGCAAGTCTCTCTCTGGCTCGAGCAAGTGAATAAACTGTAAAAAATCAAAGTTCAGTGAAAATATACATAATTATGTAGATAATTATATAAATATTTTCTCATTTTTACATTTTGATAATATGTATATTATTCATTACCTGCAATCCATTTACGAGAAAGAAGAAGGGATTTTGGTCCTTCATGAAACCAAGTTGTTTCCGGATCTTTTTGAGGAGCAGTATCGTCATCCTCTTTTTTCTTGATAGCATCCTCTCCTAAACTTGCCAAAAGTTCCTTAAGACGATTCCGTCTGTCAGCTGGACCTTCCCCAAATAAGCAAACTGGTTCTCCCAGATGTCTTAAATCTTTCTTGACCTGAGAATCATCGGTTGATACATTGATTTGCCTTGCTTTTTTCCTCCTTTCAAACTCTTCCAATAACTGTTGACGATCTTTGGACATTTCATCTTCAAGATCCATATATTCATTTGAAATATGAACATTTGCAAGTAATTGCTTAGGGTCACCATCTTTTCCATCTCTAATTGAATCTGAGATAAGAGAATCTTCCAATGTACCATAATGTATGGTCCTTGGCTTCTTAACATATTGGGGCTCATCTTCATCAGACATTTTGGTATCTGATAAGATGTAATTTTCCTTTAAATGATATTCAAGATTATTTAAATGATATAAAAGCATTAAGTAAAGCATTTATTGAAAGATTAAACTAAAATCTTCAGTTAGAGTACCTACTTGTTTAACAAATAATATGCTCCAAATTAAAAAATAAATAAATAACTAAACTATCTGAAGAGAATTATTAGACACTATTTATACACAAATTGAGGTTTTAAACATTTATAGAACTCGTATTAGACGACCTAAAGTATTTAATTGATATACCGATTTGTCTTGATTTGTCTTAACCTCGCAGCTCGTAGTACTTTGTCACGCACGTAAACACAACTACTGCGCAGGTGCATTTTTTAGTACACAATTTAGCCGCTAATAAATTTCGAGTGTTGTGTTTGAAAATAAAAAGATGAGATTCAGAAAAATATGTGGCTAGCTGCTATAGTGTTACAATTGCAAGTAAATTTTTAGTTATTTACGTATTTCTGATACCTCGTATATATGTCATGTGGACAAAGATCATTCATATAAATTATTATTTGGTTGTTAGCGGTCTAAGGGTATCATAATTTAGTCATTAGTTATTTTTGGATAATATTTGGATGCTGTTGTGAATTTATATGTTGGAAGGAATAAAGAATTTAAGTATATAAGATGGTCTTCGTGAATCTTGAAGAAAATAATAATTTTGTTATCAAGCATCTTTACTTCCTTGAGAATTAAACTTTCAAGTTTGAAGATTGGGAACGAAAACTTCAAAAGGAAATTGAGTGTGTTATTAAAGTATGTTACTTTTTATGTATAATATGTGATGAACAATTAGTTCTTGTTTATGTATATGAAATAAGTTTTAGTTAATATTACAATTATTACTAGAGCAATTTACATACTTACATAATTTTATTTAAGTACACATGAAATTTTATTCATATTTGCAGCATTTATTTAATTCATGTCTTATATTTTTTAGTTTGGAAGGAATAGTAGCTGATGATGCTACGTATGTATTTACCGAACATGTATATTCCAAAAAGAGGAGAGAAATTGTTATTATTCTATAAACTATTTTACATAATCTTTTGCAAAAGAAATGCCTTTGAATTTAGATCATTGGAGGTATTTAGTGTCTTAATGTAGTTTTTAATTTGAGATTGATTGTCTAGAAATAAATTTAGATAATAAACTTATTTAATCTCTATGAAGGTTCATTAATCTTGAGTTAAAAGAAAATTCAGTTGGACTAGGATGCTGTTGTCATGATGTGAGAACTATCTTAAAAGTCAAAGCTTATCGTAGGTTGGTATATACTCTAATTCATAAATCATAGAAACAGAGCTATGGAGTTAATATTAAAAGTAAATGATTGGCTCAGAGTTCTTTGATATTTTTAATATGGTTTTAACTAATAAGTCTGTAATTTTTATTTAATAAAATAGTTGTTTAATGATGATTTTAACAACATTGTTTGTACTCAATGTTTAGAAAATCCAATGCCCTGTCACCATACATTTAATGGAGAGAATGTCTCGGAAGAATCCTGTGATGATTTACAAATTGATCAAAACCGTCATTCTACAATATTAATGTTAAGTGAAAAATATGAAGCTGATATTAGCTTTGAACACTGGAAAAGGAAAGAACCAATTAGCATCAGCAACTTTAATTTAAACTTTGAAAATTTTAGAGATAAATTTTCAAATGATAAACATATTCTTGTTAATAATATATCAAAAATATCAAACTGTAAAAAATTTGGATTTGATATTATTAGCATAAATCAGTGGAAAAGAAAAGAACCGATAAACTTTATAGATTTAGATACAAGTTCTGGAAACTTTAGTTAAGAATCCCATGCTAATAAACAGATTATCAATATAATTGAATTATCTAAATATAAAAAAACTGAACTCCACATTGGCAGCACTACCAGTGTAAAAGAGGAAAAGCCATAAACAGTAACAATTTAAACATAAATTTGAAAAATTTTAGTCATGAATCTTCTAATGATGAAAAGATATGATAACAATGTATCTAAAATATAAAAATATAAAAATCTAAAGTGACATTAGTAAGTGGAAAAGAAAATAGTCCAAAAGTTTTAGAGACACAGATTCTTAAAGTTCTAGCAAAAAGTCAAAAAGTATAGCAAGATAAAATAACTAGCTTATGTAATACATCTTACAGGAGACTAATAAAAAGAAATTTAGTAATTGGTATGGAATCGTTTTAACTTGTAATGAATTTCATAACAATTATTCAGAAAAAAGCTAACATTGAAAAATATTCTTAATTAAATAGGTTTTATTTATTTCAGGATATTTGACTCGTCGTCCCATTCTACGCCACGAAAAAAACAGGAGATCAGAATAAATCAACAAATAAAATAACTTCAAAGTTTGACAAAATTATATGAACAATAAAAAAGCTTTAGAAATTGAAAAGATGAAATTAAGAAAGAAAAAAATTTTAGAAGTTATGAGAAAATTACTTTAACAAAATAGAAATCTCCAAAAATTACTGTATTGATATTTGATAAATCTCCAGAGATTGAAGTGATTACTCTTGATGCTGAAGAATCATGATTTTCTGAAATGCAAAGGTGTTTTCCTGGAAAGCTTTTTACTTCTTTTACAAATAATATCATTATTCGTTTCGTACCGTTTCAGTTCTTAATAATTTCCCTAGAGAAGAATAGTGGTTAAACTTATCTTCAGGCTACAATCCTGATCCCAATTATAAAGAGAGTCCAAACTTCCTTTTTCAGAGTAAGTATATACTTTTTATCATTTGCCATAAATTAAACAAATAATTCAATTTATTTGATTTTGTCAATCACGGGAAACGAAAATATGTTGACAATGAACAAAGAATAATGATTGTTTACTTCGTGAAAAGTGAATTTAAAAGTAAAATTGAAAATTTGCATTTTCTTTTGTGATTTTTTAATGTATTTAAATCGATTGTTCAATTTTGTAACATTAAATTTTTATCGATAGTTTATTAAAACCTTGGACCCGGATGTATAATTACCTATATTTTTATTCAAATTACCAGTGTAGTTTCGATAAAGTCAGAAGTTTCTTAAACAGAATTAAAATCGATTGAAGCCAAATATTACTTATCCATCGGAAAAAAATCAGAATGAAATAAAAATTATTGATTTTTCAATCACACCACAGTTTTGGCTAGAAGAATAGCTTTTGGTAGTAAAATAAAAATTGTAAGCATCTTCAAATTCGAATGTAGCTAAAGTAAGCGTCTGTGTAACATTTGCTCTGCGATTATCTACTGCCAGTAGCCCTCTAGAGTTTATCCAAGGAGTCGTTTGATATCCCGATGGTCGGTCTGCACATTTAATGGGATTACACATGCTCGATTGCCTCTCGAATCAAATTCAAATTCTCACTTTTTACAACATTTTATTATCAAATGTAGCTTAAGAATTCGCCAAGCTAGCTGTTAAAAAATACAAAGTCTAAGTAAAACAAATGACTTTCATTTGTAGCTGATCCCCGTAACTTTTTTAATCCAGATGTGATAAGCAGACACACGAGTGAACACCGAGGGCCTTGAACTGGGACACTGACCGTCGCTGTAACTGACAATTCCAACTTGAACGGGTTCATCGTCGCTCTCGAGCACAACCAAAGGGGCGCCGCTATCTCCCTAAAAACGGAAATTGAAGTATCGATCAGAGAGAGAAATTCTCGTGTGGCAATCATTTGTCAGCTGCTATGCAGCCGCAAGCGTATACGCTTACACGACAGACGTCGTTCTCGGTTGACGAGTCCGTGCAGATGTGCGTTCCGTCGATGGTCCACCACACGTGGCATTTAGCATTTGATATAATCTTCACACTTCCGTATTTCAGCTTTTTTATCGCATGGCCGTTCTGCCTGGCCTGACCCCATCCGTAAATGTGACCCGTCTGGCCCACAAAAGACTTCCGGGTGTAGGATGCACCGGCCAAGCGGATCGGTTGAATATTATCTGTATAACAAGAGAAAAGAGATATTCTTTAATGTCCTTTCAATTAGCTGCTTGGCGTTCGGCGAATAAAAAAAAAATCTCACCATCAAAAGGAATATCCTTGGGCATATATAAAAGAGCAATGTCGTATTGGTCGAATTTATATCTCAATCTAGGATAGATTGCCCTTTGATTAACTATCATCGTCACACCTTTCTTGCCGATGTAATCGTAACTGATATCCAAGGACGAAGTGCAAAGAAATGTATAAGGATGTTACAGGGTTCGAATTGATCTGCGTAGGTCAAGTCAAATTGCTTTCTAGCTCTCACCGGAACGCGGATTTGTCGACTACTCCGAAGGCAACCAGAAATATATGAGACTTGTAGACGCAATGGGCTGCCGTAAGTACCCAACGCTTCGATAGAATCGTCCCACCGCAGGACATGTAACTGCGGTCTTGGTTTAATTGATGTACGACAGCCATGAAAGGGAATTGGCCGACTGCAGCGTAAGAACCTCCGTAGATTTTGTCTATATTGTGTTCTGCGAGCGATACGTTTGCACGTGTTAAGGAAAAACAAAAAAATATAATTTAATATCGAAAAAATAAATTTCTTGTTGCTTTACCATCGAATTCCGAACTGTCCAGAGAGTATTCACGGTCTGTTCTATTGCCAGTAGAGGTATCGACGGGACTGTCGCTGAAGGTGAAATTAACAAACATCCTCGGCAGTGCAACCGTTGTTTTCGTAGCTATCGAAGCGTAAAGTAAAAACAAGAAAAATCTAACGAACATCTTGAAAACTATGTAGAGCGAGGGACAAAGAGTAAGAAAAAAAAGATAACGGAATAAGAGTATAAAGGAGGAAGAGATAGAGAAAATCCTCTTCCGCAACCCGAGAGAAATAGCGAAGTTGCCTCGCTGACTGTCCACATTAGTCTGTCGGCTTGCCGATGCGTCGACCCGTCTCTAAGCGTCTGCCGCGTCCTTGGTTGCACCCCCAAAATCGACCTGGTGTTTTATTGTTGTTGTGTTATTTTATTATTTTTCTTTTTTCGAGGGACTCTCCTGCGCTTTCTACTCATCTCAAAAGAGAAATGCACTATGGGGACGGGGAAAAGTCGAAATTTCGTGCTGACCGTGGCGAAAAAAGGACCGTGGCGTGTCAAGGACATCGAGATGCCCTTTTCTTTGCTGCTTTTCTCGCCAAAAGATTCCATTCTTCCCTTTTTTTTCTTTTTGGTGCGCGTACGTGTACACAAAGTCAAAGAGTCTAATCGACTTTAAAATAGACTTTTATCGATTGACAGCGAATAAACAGGTCAATACATTCGCAAGCACGCGCTAAATGCGTCCATCATCTTGACCGCCTCAAAGAGAGCGCCGCGGCAGCGACGTCACAAAAGCAATCAACCCGCATAATAGCGCCTCTCCACGCGGAGAAGCAGCGGGAAAAAGGCAAAGGGCTGCAGGGAATCCGGAAAGTACACAATACAGACACCTCTTTTTTTCTTTTAAAGTCATTAAGCGATAATAAATTTATTAACCGACAATAAATCTTATTGACAGTAAACAAAGTTGATGTATCGTACAAATAATCGAATAAACAATTGTTTTTTCTTCCTTTGTTATTTGTTTGTTTGTTTTTTTTTTCTTTATTTGTTTTCTCCCAAAAAATGGTGCCCCTCCCAATATTTATTCGTCGCAAGATGCGGTTTTTTATTTATATCGTTATTCACACGTTTACTTTAGTCAGTCACACACACGCGCGCGCGAACTTCGTTTTCGCTACGATCGAGTTTTTCTTATTTTTTTTTGTTATCTTTCTTGTTAAAGATTAATCATTATTTAAAAACGCTTCTGTATACATCTATTAAATGTTTCAACAATATTGGCGCCTTGGGCAGAACCCGCTGCTAACTATTTTTTTTAACCGTCGTCCATTTTCCTCTCTCTTTCTCTCTTCAGATCATACCAATTATTAAAGGCCATTCACTGCAATATCGCACTATTTTAAAAGTATTTCCATTTTGTTTTCTGTTTACCAAATTATTATCTCCAAGATGTCGACGCTGGACCGGACGTTCTTTGCTCTTTTTGCCGCTGCCGTTCTTTACAAAAATTGTGGTGACTCGTATTATTTACAAAATAAATACTGATTCGAAAATGTATGCGGTATTTGATGGTGTGATTGAGAAAACGACACTGCTTGTATTTTTATCACTTTTGCGAGACAGCCTTCAATATCGATTAGTATGTCCTCTATAGATGTATGGCGTTAAACTTTTACGTCTTTTTTTTTTTCGCTCACATTCAAACTATTACACATTGCATTATGAATATCATAATTTGTAATATACAATTTTTCAATACCTACGCGTTAAGACTCGTCATTACTTTGGTGGTTCATAAAGATTACCCAAAATCACGTCCAAGATCGCGACGATCGTTGATTAGTTATCTATGTCGAGAGGAAATTATTGCAGTCGTGAAACAATCGACTAATCGTAGCGTGCGTGGTCAATCGCAACGAAAGCCATTTGCGTACAATATTGTCCCTCGAACGGAAAGCGGATTGCCGTCTCGCAATCGCCGAACAAGTCACATACTCAACGACGCGCTCTCTCTCTCTCTCTCTCTTTCTCTCGGTCTACAAGGTAAATATCTCTGTCTCACATGCACACGTCGCACTTGTCCATTCGTTAGATACTTTTTTTACGTTACCTTTTACTTTTCTCGTATTTATTTTTATTTCGCAAATTATCTAACTAACTACGTTTGAGTAGTCCATAGTCGATAGCGAGACTGTACGACAGGTATAATTTATTATAAACAGTTCTTGAGTCGGGAAGTTGCTCTCCTTTTGATCTCCTTTGTCTCTCCCTGTGGCGTTGAAGGATCAAATCCATTTACGAGGATCAAGATACGCAATTTATATTCTTACGAGAAAGCTTGAGAGTGAACTTCTTTGTTCTCTGATATCGCACAAACAAACTCGACTCGTTCTCACTTCGAAGCTCACTATTCGTTCAATCATGTTTACATCGAGTACCTGAGATTGAGGATTTTTTATTTCATAGTTTGGTATAATGAGGCAATTGTAGAACGAGCGAGACTTCAAAGGAGACGGAAAAAAACGAGATTAGTAAGAAATGCGAAGTAAACTTTAGAATGAAAATTCGTTGATTTACTGTACAAGATGAAAATTGAACACATTCCCTTTAATGTAAAATTTCGATTCCATCGACATAATTAGATTCTGTACAATTTACATACGGAACAAGTATATGCTTATATGTAACATTACTGACTTAGCACAATATCCTCTTCTCTATATTACAAAAAATTAAAGCACTTCAAACATTCACTCTCTTGCTCTTTCTCGCACATAACATAATGAACTTCTAGTTTTTCATCAACAGATTCCTTAAAATATCACCTACTTTTTTATACACATAATTAACAGTCAAAATCAATCGATAATATAATCCTTTTTCAAATGATTCAGCAACAATATTTTGTACTAGAATATATACCAATGCATATTTTTCTTAACATTACAACTTAACGTTACATCGGTGTGTGAGTGTGCGTTCATAACTCATTGCGCCTCTCAACTTGGACTTAAAACACGCACACACACGAACACACCAGTGAGGAATAATTGACACATTAAAACGTTTTATTTTTCGAGAGAAAAAAGTCTTTTCCGTTTTCAATGATTTTCTTGGTATTTTACGTTGTCGTAATCAATGACGGCGATTTTGGCGTAGGCCCAAAAAACAGAGTTCACTTTAGTGTACATCGTTTCCATTAACCTCATAACTTCGATAAATAAAACTCTTATCCTCGTAAGTCGCATAAAATCCTCTTTTTCATGTAAACGTCGTCCATTGTCATACATTATAATTATAAAACCGATCACTTGTAATTACCTGTGTGTGTAAGTTATCTTTTATTATCTTTAATATTATCTTTAAATATATATATATATATATATATATATATATATATATATATATACACATATATATATATATATATATATATATATATATATATATATATATATACACACACGTCGACGCGCGCGCACTCGTCGTTTTTTACTCCCTCGTCGATCGAGCTACTACTACTCCGAATTATCATACAAAATTCTTCTAAACGTACAGACGCTGTGTTTGTTCTAGTTCTCTCTCTTTCTCTCTCTCTCTCTCTCTCTCTCTCTCTCTCTCTCTCTCTGTCTTTCTCGGTGATTTGGTATCTCATTACAATTTCGTTATAGAAAAACAGAAGGGATAGTCGTTCGCCTTCGCTGAAGATTATTCTGTACACTAAATTGACTCTAATCCTGACGGCGAAAGCATTTTCGAAGCGTTCTGCCGGGCGTACATCCGACGCGCGCCGCGTCCGCAGCTGTAGTTTCGCTCTCGTTACCAAACGTTCATCAAATAATGGGGCAGTTAAGCATATCGTCGTGTGCACGATTACTTTCGATTAGTTTGCGACGCGGTCGACGTTGATGCTACTGCCTGCGCGTGCTTGCGAACCTTTCGAAAATGTTGGTTCGTCGTCGTCAAAGAGACCCAACGCGATCGCGCCGCGAAAATACGATTGCTACGGATCGAAGACTGTACGTATACGCAACTGCCACAGTGCGTGTTTTTTTTGTTTTTTTATTTTTTTGTTTTTTCATACAATTCAGAGAGCGTGGCCATCGTAAAGGTAAAGAAGGTTGTGGGGGTGGAAGGGGGGGCAGGGTGCAATCGTCTAAGTTTGTTAGACACGCATCATCGACGCGAAGAGCTAAAGGTATTCGACGATGTCGCACTTGATGGAGAGGTTGGGACAGCTGGCGATGCTGGCTCCGTAGCGGCTCGCGGTGCCTTTGTGCCTCTCGGTGAGCAGTTTCTGAAAGATCGGCAGTATGTTGACGTCGAGCAGCTCGCCGATGGACACGGCGCTCTGCATCTGCGAGGAGCTGGAGCCGCCGCCGACGCCGTGGCCGGCGGCCCCAGCGCCGCTGCCGCGGGCGCGGAACTTGGACGCCACGTCCGGCGTGCTCTGGGCGTAAGACTGGGACTGCTGGCGCAACCGCGACTCCATGTGGCGGTGGCACGAGCGCCGGCGGTGCGGGCACTCCGAGGCCGGGTGCGTGTGGCGCGTCGCCGACTTGCCGGCCGTGCCTGACGCCGGTTTGTCGCGCGAGCGCTCCGACACCGAGCGTTGGATCATCGACTCCTCGTGCTTGCCTGCAACAATCCGACCAGAGCGCACGCTATTGCGGGATCGAGCACTCGAGTGTAGGCGTGGCGCGCGCCAAATTTCAAATTAACAAAAGAGTGTCCGAGTTCTTTCGAGGCCCGTCTCATAAATGCGAATGCATCCCCCCTTTCCGCCTGTCTGCGAGAGAGACCTGAATCAAGGCTTTTCCCCTCCGCACCGACTTTCGTGATAAATCAGACGTAGATATCGCCAGCGAACTGCTGGATTGTTCACGCTCACCATTGTCCGAGTAGCTGGCGCTGACGACAGCCGGCACACTTGGCGAGCTGGCGTTGTGCGAGTCGTAATGCGCGCGATGTCGCCTGGACACGTCGCCGCCGCCGTTGAGCATCGCGTGGCTGGTCTTGCCGCCGCCGCCGCCGCCGCCGCCGCCGTGCTTCTCGCAGCGGAATCCCGTGGTGGCGCCGGTCAGCGCCCGCCTGTGCCCACACTCGCCGATGACGAAGCCGCCGCCCAGCGACTCCTCGGCGCGCGTCGCCACGTCCTCCGTCGATATATAGCTGATAGAGTTGGCCGACGGCACCGACGTGCGCCGCTTCTCGGGCAGCTCGTGCTGCGAGTAGCCGAGCTCGGTCGCCTTCGCCGACGACGAGCGGCGCTTCAGCGAGGACTGGTGCGCCGGCGTGCCCGTCGGCCCTGCGCGCACCGCGTCGTCGGTCATCCCGGGATCGCTCGTCTCTCGGCCGGGGGCAGCCCAAGGGTCGTACGTACCGGTGTGCCTGTGCTTGGGTATGTACTGCACGCTGGTGATGATCGTCTGTTGCTCGAGGTAGTCCTTCTCGTTGAGCTCGCCGAAGCTGACGTTCTTCGGCGGTGGCGGCGTCGGCAGGCGACCGCGCGAGCCCCGGTGGCCACTGCACACCTCTCGAGCCGTCACCGGCTCCTCGTCCGAGTGCGACTCCTCCACGTGCTCGACCGCCGCCGCCGCCACGCGACGGCGACGGTCCTCCGAGGTCGAGTGCTTGAGCGCCGACGGGAGCGCGCCGCCGGTCGGCGCCGTGGCCGCGTGCGTCGCCCGATCCACGCCGCCGTCCGTGGTGGTCACGATGCTCGTCGAGAACGTCGTCTTCTTCCTGCACACGAGAGCCGCGCGTCTCCATGTAGTCGCCGAGCTGCTTTTCCAAAGGTCGATCTCGCGCGCGTTCTCTCTAGCTCGCGGACTATTTTCGCCGGATATATTGCCTCGCCCGCCGGGCGTCGCATCAGACTTTCATACTTCCTCGAATGTCATTCGGTTTTCATGCTTGCGCACGCATTCTCTTTTATGAGCTCTCTCTCTTTCTTTGCGCGGCTCGTTTTCCAGCGCCATACGTCCTTTATGCCGTCAATGGAGCTCTTGGAAGAGGCGCATTATTTCGCGTCTTCCCAAGATTATTCATCCTCGAAACGAGATCTGCCCGCGTTTTGTCGGAAGTTGTAAATCAATTAAAAACGAAAAGGCCCAAGCTCGAAAAATGCGCGCGCAACGAAACGTAATAACGAACTTTCGGAAAGTTGCAGCGTGTCACGTTCTCTTCTTTACGTCAATTAAAAATCCAACAAACGAAGTTGCAGCTCGGCTCTTGTGCTTTGAAAGTTTCGCATAACCTTACGGATAATTCGATTATTCCATGGCTGAATAATAGGCCAGCTTCTCAACGAGCAAACATCCAACTTTTTTCCCTTTCATCAAAATTCAGCACAATGAACGCTCGTTAAAAAACAACAAAAAAACAGAAAAAAAAAAGAAAAGTTGAACGCGTTGCCCTTCGGGGCGTAACTTTGATAATTAAGCCGAGAGCGACGTAATGTCCCTCTTAATCTATCAAATTTTCTATCTTTGAAGTGAAAGCAAAATAAAAATGACCCGAACGTTCAACCTGTCAGAAGCAGTTTGAAAACTCAACGAATCTACGTACTTGGCAACCTGTTGATCTAACGAGCTCACGTTGACGTAATCGCCCTCGAGTTGAGAGACATTCGCCGCCGAGCTCAAGCTGTTCATGGACATGGAGATGTCAGTCGTTTCCGTGGTGATGGACGGACCTGAAACACACGCAGCCGTGCAGCTCATTAACGTTCCTCTCCTCAATGATGCTCGAGTGGTATTTTTGCTCGCCTGCAAGACAAATACCCATGCGTCTTTTATTTTGCCTCGCGAGCGCTGATCCAATTTTTCGTGCACTGGCTCTATCGCTGATTAAGCGGCTTTCTTGATCTGTGTGTGTGCGCGCGTGTGTGTGTGTGTGTGTGTGTGTAGTGTGCGCGCACGTTCGTGTCTCGACTTTTTGCGAAACAATTTGACAGGTGCTTCTAGAGAAACGTCGGGAATGCTATTGCAACGAAACATCTACAAAAACTACGAGGCGTTGACTACGGGCATGAACATTGTTATCATCTTCCGTCTGACCATTTTGTTACGCAACGATAGGAAAAAATCTACAGAACGAAAAAGAAAAAAAAAGAAATACAAATAGCCATTGTTTAGCAGACACTCCATTCGAAACATCGGAATTGTGTGTAAAAGCAATTACTACATTCGCTTGTCGCACATAACACGCGTGTCATGCAATTCAAAGTAGGCATTACAGAGGTCGATAAAAAAAAAAAAAAAACAAGAAAATGGTAAACTTTGTAAAAGAATTAGCTTTTTCGCTCGATGCTCGTGAACTGACCTTTCAAGTTTTGAGTGCTTTGCCGCTGGACAGTGGGTTCTAATACACAGATTTCGTGGATATAAACAGATTGTATTCAGAATATCATTCGTGAGATAATATATTTACATTTTATACAGAAATGTTAAACAGCTCGAGGTTGAGAAGGTTAATGTCGAGGGAGAAGTAAAATAAAAATTATGCATAAAGGCACTTCCACACACGCAAATAAGTGAAAAGTAAATGGTGCGACGATACAATCGCGCGGCGAGAAAAATGCAGGAAGCAGCAGTTAGGTATATATCCGAGAAAAAGTTCGGACAAATTGCAAAAAGAACCGCAAGAGCGGGGAATAAAAAGCGCGCAGACTGCTCGTTGAAATTTAAAAGTATCCTCGAGTCCTCCGGTTCATTACAGCTTTCGCTAGATTCCTCTCTCGACTGCTGCTCGTTACATTTCCTCGCTCGGAGACGTCGCTCGGCGTCACATCCGCGCGCGCGCTGCGGGGCAGGGGAGGGCCGGAGCGAAAATGAAAGGAGCTTTACCTTCTCTTTTGATAGTGGTCTCCCGTCTGGGCACGGTAAGCCTATCCATCGCGGCCTGAGTATCCGCCAAGCCGTCGTCGCCGAGTCTCCTTAAATACATCTGCAACGGCGACGCAGCTCATTAGCGGGGCATAATTGAATGGGCAAGCGGCGGGGAAGAAAGAAAGGTAGCGCGCTCTACCTGCAGCTCGGACTCCTTCTCGTGGAGGAGCTTTCTAAATTTTTGATTGGCAGTCGTCACGTCCTTCATTCGCTCCTCGAGCTCGCTGATGCTCGAGCCACGTCGCGTCTTCGGCATCGGCCTCAGCGTCGGCCGGAATCTCTTGTCGATCTGTCCCTGGGGATTTCTCTTCAGCTCGATGATCTGCAATGAGCAGCGACGAGCGCGTCTTTGCTGATTGCCTGCTCGTGCGGCAAGCCCGTACTTTGCCAGCGCAAGCTGAACGGACTTGGCAGGGCCACGCGGCTTACCTTGGGCACGAAAACGAGGCAGAGCGTGGCGGTGCTGCAGAATATGATGAAGACCGCGAGCATTATGAACATGGCGTCCTGTTTGTCGGCCAGCACGAAGCTGATGGCCGCCCCGGTCACGCACATTATCACCACGTTGTACACCGACATCCCCACGTACTTGCTGTCGTTCAGCGCCGGTATGCTCACGTGCCTCGTCTCCCAGGCGAGGAAGGCGCCGAATATCTGCCCGCCAGACGAAAGTTATGCTTATCCCGTTCGCCACTGGGAACAACTCGCGCTCCTACACTCACCATTAATAGACCTTTGTAGGCGTATATGCTGCCCAAGTACACCGTCATCCTGTTGCTCTGGCAATACTCGTTCTGCGGCAGGATTATTATGTCCTCACTGGATGGATGTGGCTGAAAATCCCAGCCGAGATGGCGCCATTGTATTTGCATACTCTTTTCTTGCCTTTTTTATTTTTATTTATTTGTTTATTGTTTATTTCGTGCTCTTTTTTCATTTTTTTTTTCGGACGCAGCTGAAAGAACGGAGAACGGAGGAAAAGCTCACGTGGGGAGAGAGAGAGAATGAGAGTGATTGCATCTTACGCGTGATCACTTCACATTTGCTAAAGTTTATTCGCGTCCTCCCTTGCGACGGCCACTGGAGGTGAGATAATAAAAGTGGAGATAGCGCGGCAAGGAGAATCTCTTTGAATAATCGCTCGAGACGGGTAACTTGGCTTTTCTCGTTTCCGCGCGCACGATCGATTGTATTTTTAGCCGCTAGTCGACGTTTGCGCGATTATTTTCTTTTTGCGAGCAAACACGGGCGACAGAGACGCGTCTTTGGTGAAAAATAAAAGCTCCGATTCGTAATTCGATAAAAATCTCGCTCGAGCGAAGAGTGAAAAATGATAAAATCATTCTCTAAGTGATTGCAAAGTTCTTATAAAGATCTTGAAGGAAAAATTTAGTGCGAGAGGGATTCATTAGAAAAGTTCCGGGGAAAAGAAAAATTAAAAAAGCAAACGAACTCGGCGAGACTTTGGTATCCGCGCGAATTGCCCGGGTTATTAAAAAGTAATCGCACATCTTGGAAAGGAGAAAACTATCGGCGGTAAAAGCACATTCAGCGTCGACATTCTTTTCTCTGCTCTGCCGCGGCATCACATATTCATGCGTTCAAAAGTCCGTGTATCGCGGTGGAAAAATGTCCAACACAAGAGAGGGAGAGAATGCCGCTGGCCCTTTTTTTCCGCATGCATGATTTATGCGTTCGCGACGTCGGTCGTTATGGCGCGCAGTAAAACTCACATAGGGTTCCATTTCCTTGGTCTCCCGGTAGAAAGGATCGGCGACCTGCCAAGTCGTCATTATCGCCAGATCGATAAACAGCAGCACGCCGACGACCATAAATAGTTGATAGTCCTTTATGACCTGGCGAGGATGAGCAGTCGGTAAGAGTGGAGAGGCCGTCGCGGCGGACAACTCACCTTCTTGTTGAGCTTGACGTCGGTGAAGATGGAGTGCACGCGCCAGGTCTTGGAGAACATGGCGCCGAAGGCGAGCGAGAAGCCGGCCATCAGCAGCCAAGCCCGCGCGGTACAGATGTAGGCGAAGGAATTGACCGAGGCGAGCGTCGAGTCCAAGCCCAGGAATATCACGCTGCTGTAGGTCAGCATGCAGCCGATTATTATCAGGTTGTTCAGGTGCGGCGACGACATCTTTATGTATCTGCAAATAACAGGCCGACCACTCGTGCAGTATTCGCGCAGGGACGCGCCGCACAGCCGAGTAAACGCTTGAGTCGCGCGCCTCGTGAAATTGAGGCTGCGCCAAATATTGATTCAAGTTTCCCATCTCCACTCGGCGCATTATCCTCGTTACGCGCCCGGGCTAATTACACGAGTAATTTTGTTATCGCGTCCATGCGCTCGCTGCAGTCGTTAAACGCGCTGCGAATGAAAAGCTGCCGGCGCGGATTCGCACAATTGGAAAGCGATGGATTGCCGGACGATCGAGGATTGATTTTACGAGCGCCGCGCAGTTTTGGCCCGAGCGCCAGTGAAAGGCTCGCGATGACTGGCGTTACGGGGCTTCGCGATCGTGACGGTGCAATTGTCGCGTCTGTCCCGCGATTAAAGCTCGGCTTATCGTCGTGGCCGTTGCCAATCGCAAGGGCGAGCTCTTACCTCTGATTTCTGTACTTGATGTTGATGGCGAGGAAGATGACGGACATGACGATGCCGCAGCTGGACGCCGAGGCGAGGACCGCGTAGATGGTAATGTTGACGGTCGAGTGCTCGATGATGCGCAGCGTCCTGTCCTTGGGCGGCGACTTGCCGCGCCAGACCAGCGGCTGCCCGCTGCTCGGCGACAGGTCCAGCTCGCTGTTCACCGCGTCGTACTCGCCCACCTTCACCTCGCTGCCACCTGCGACCGACGCGCACGCGTCAATGGCCGAATCGATTGCACCACCGCGGAAGATTTTTTCCCTGCCTCGTCGCGCGTTATCCGCGGAGCCGCGAGCGAAGCTCGAACAGAGCGAGGCATTTCCGGGCAGAGGCCGGCTAGCAGCCAGGCTCGCGCGATTTCGGACGCCGATTTTCACGCTGTTCTTTGGCTATTTTTTGCTTTTTTTTTTTTTTTTCCTTGTTGTTCGCTTTTCTTTCTCCGCTTCGATTCTCTTTTCCTCTCTGCGTTGCGCGGCGCCCGGTGCATTTGTTGTTTTGCTTCTAGTTGGGAGAACACGCGATGGAATGAAAAGATGTGCGAAAAAGCGGCGTGCACTTCCAATATTGCAACGGCATAAGCCTTCGTCGGCTAATCCCGCTGCGAAAATTAATCGGGCGTGAGATAAAACAAGTTGTTCAATTGCAAATATTTAACATTATAATTGGAAACGAAGAACTTGGATACTAGTTCTCAATGAATGGTACAAATAACAGAGCCCAAAAGAAACTTAGCGGAGCATTTAACCGTTTACATGAGAAAACACGTGCAAAGAAGTAGAATGGAAAAACCGAACAATAGAACAATTCTTTTCCTCTTCTTAGCGGCGCGGAAAAAGGGGAAAGCTCTCGAAAGACTCCGTCGGACGTAGCTCCATCCTTTTTCCTTTTTCCTCGCCTTCGGGGAGGCAAAGTGAAAACAAAATCAGTATGCCGGGCAGTTTTGTGAATAGCCGTAAATTTCGTTTCTCACTTGGAAATTTTGCCCCCCTCCCCCCTTCTCTCTCTCTCTCTCTCTCTCTCTTTCTCTCTCTCTTTCGAAATGTTTCTGTGCATCGAACTCGATTTGGCATCAAAACTTATCTTTTTGTTTTCCATTCCTCGTCAATTCGTGCTCGGCCGAACTTCGTCACAAAAATATATAAGCTCTTCGGAGCTTTTTCTTGCTCGTCTTCCGAGTAAAAAAGAAGAGTAAGGGGGAGAGAAAGAGAGAGAGAGAGAGAGAGAGAGAGAGAGAGAGAGAGAGAGAGAGAGACGGAAAGACGAGCGATTCGCTTGTGGAGTCGCGCTGGCGAGGAGCTTACTTAAGGATATGAAAAGGGGAAGCGCGCAAGCCGAGCACTCGGGGCTTTGAAATAAAACAGTATTACACCTCCGTGAGAAAGGGAGGCAGAGAGGGCTGACCTTTTACAGGCTCACTCGTCGAATTTATTGCGCGCCCTCACGAACGAAAGCCAGATATTACAGCCGGCGGGCCGGGGTATTTAATCGTCCTTGGTCATTTGCCGCGACGCGCCAAAAGTCCCGGAGCCTCGTGCGAGTACGCACGCGCCGAGCCAAGCACTCGAACGAGGATACAGCCCCTCTCGCGACTCGCGATAATCGGCCCGTCGACCGAGAGACATCGGTCAATTTGATGATTATCCGCTGGCTTGCGCTTGCCTCGACCCTCGTCCCGTTCCTAAATCTACTTACCCTGGAATTGCTTTAGCATTATGTATGCCTTTCTTTCGTTATCGTAGAAACGCACTGGACCCTGAAAATACAAAGGATTTCCACTGTAGATAGAGCTTTAGTCAAATGAAACGAAATAGAGTTGCATTGTGCTTCATAATTTGCGAGATGCTTTCAGGGCGTTATTACTCTTTGGGGATTCGCCCCGGACTTGATATCGCATGTAGATGCATTCCGCAAAGTTGAGTGGTTTTTAATCAAGGGACGCCGCTCCTTGAGGGCACAAATAAACCACGCTAACTCATGTTTAGTAGAGCTTTCGAAAGGTTTCATTTAAACAATTTAAAATACATTGGTTGTTTTCCAAGTTGCAAATTACTTCGTCTCTCCTGCTCAACGTCAAAAGAATCAAAAGCGAATTGCGAGAAATTCATTTCCGAAATACACGACATGCTTAAAATTACCAGCGTTCCCATAATAATTTTTCTGAAATATCGCCGTCATGTTTACGTTTAATTAAAAGAGCTCAAGATGAACGATCCTAACTAGAGTTAGAAAGGTTACTTCGAAGTTGAAGCTTCAAAGCTCGAAACACGCAAAGTTTACAAGTAGCAAGCGAAGAAATGTACTTGCCCATCGGAAGGTCTTTTAAATGAGCCCTGGGTCTTTTTAGCCCTGATTGTCATTTTCCCGATTCTTGCAGAGAGCCAGCCGTTGCACTTTGCAACCGTCATTCAGATAGGCAGCGAGCCGTGGTTTGCCGAACGCGCGAAATTCAAGTGCGCGCACGGCGGAGTCGTCAATTACGCCTCTCTCTCTCTCTCTCTCTCTCTCTCGCGTAAGGCGCGATAAAGACTCAAAGGCGAGACGAGCTCTTTTCGTCGCTGCCGTCGCGGCATTCGAGAGGCCCGGCGTGGTGGCGGACTATGAGGGCGCGCGAGAAGAATGACCAGGTGCTCTCGATTCCCATATGGGGACGGGCTCCACCCAACGTTAATTATTGTCGTTCCGCGAGTGTGTCGCGCTTTCCTCCCACCGCAGCGAAAGCTTCACTTAACGCTCGCTCGATCACATTTTTACGCGCTACACGTGGCTGTTCGTGGGGAAAATATTTTTTCTGCTAAATTAAACAAAAATCTAATAAAAAAAAAAAGGAATTGCAATCATTGAAATTTGTTTTTCTTTCTGTTTTCATTAGCGGAACGAGAGCAACAAAAACAAAGAAAATAACGAAAGAAAAATATTTTTATTATCGAACTCGGGAAACATCGTCCAATCGTCGGAAATTGCAAGTTTTTACAGCTCCACAATGAATGTTTGATCCAGTAGCTTTCGGTATATGTACCGTTGATACTTGCCATTTGAGCGATGCGCGCGTGCAAAAGGCTTTTCACATTGCAGAGACATCAAAGGGACGGTATATGTATATATACATTTTTTTTTTTTAATGTAGTTCATACCCTCGCGCGCCCGAGCTCGTCCTTTCTCGCAGCACGCGGCAGCTTGCAAAAACGATCCGTGATTGAATATCTTTTTTTTTCATTATGTTTCGCGCAAACTTTTATCCACCACGAAATAACTGCGTTGTACACTCTCTTTGAGTAATCTTTTTTTTCGCTAGTCGTTCGCGATAAACTAGCGTACGAATAAAAAAAACACACACACACGCACAACGGTACTTTTTTTAATTTCTTTTCGGGAACGTCAACAAAGTACTTATTCGTAAAGGATAGACGCGCAGTAAAAGCAATCTAGTCGCTAACACCGCCAGGCGAAAAATTGTTTGACGTCCGCTCTCGAGATGGCGAAACGTTATTTTCCCAAAAAAAAAAAAAAGTGGGGGGAAGGGATTAGTCTTTTCACGGGAAATGTACGCTAAAGCATTCGTGGAAAGCTGCTGACTTAATAAAAACGTCAAAAAAACAAGAGGGTGAAATTCCACTCAAGCTCGAAGCAGAGCAGTGCAGAGCATTTCATTGAGCCGAGAGAGAGAGTGAGAAGGGATAAGCTCCCTTTCGTTGGTAACACAGCGCTAATAACGCTTAAACTTTAATTAAAAGGCTTCCGGTACTGGCTTGAATGGCATAACTAGTTTTAATAACCGCAAATGATCCTCTCTCGCTTTCGCTCGCGGCGTGCGCCTAAAGTCAAGCTCACAGTGACTCCTTCAAAGCTGGTGTTGCGCAGCGCCTCGAGGAACAGCCGCTCCCACAGCTCGTCTCGGTACCGGAAGTCGGTGATGGTCTGGTTGCGACGGAAGTGCCGAATCCTCCGTGCCACGTGTTGGATCGCCAGGGCCACCGTCCAGATGCCGTCGTAGGCGTAGCCATGGAACCGAGAGTACTCCAAGCCGCGCCGATTGTCGTACTCCTTCAGGTACTCGTCCGGGGTCTGAAAACAAGTAAACGCGCGATCTCCGATGTAATACGTCGCCAATAAAACAAAAAATACACCCGCTACTGCGGTCGTCGTGTCGCCGCCTGAAAACGCCGAGTGGGCCTTCGGCAGTATAAGCGTTATTTTGGGTTTTTTTTTTCCCGTGAAATGTGCGACGTTTTCTCCACTCGAGCACATTGCAATCTGAAATATCGCATTGATTGCACGCGCGCGCGCGCGCGCGGGAACTTTGGATTATTTGCGAATTACGTGTCCCTATAGTTGTATAATATCTGATAATATTTCGCGAGAGTTCTGCCAGCGAAACAACAACAATATATGATACTCGCTATTGTTGGAAAGTTACATATCTCGTTACGAGAGTACGTGCAGCTCTCAAATTTCCGGGGACACGATGAAGAGCCAAATATTCATGGAATTTCTGAGCGAAACTTGCCGGCAAAAGGGTAATTCTTTGAGCTTCAACGACAAAAGAAAGCGAGAGGATAAGGGTCAGTGTTGAAAATCGAGGGAATTTCCCGATCGAGAGAATCGAGGAAAAAAAAAATTGGAATTGAAAGGAGAGAGACGCCGTCGTCTTTGCAATCTCTTTCTCATAATCACATTAACCCGACAGAGATAGGGGGATCCTCTGAGTTGATTGCGTTTGCCGAGAAATTCCATAATTTATGACATTACACTTCCCTCCTTCCCCCTGCCGACGAGCCAATTCTCCGAGTCGCGAGCTTTGAACAGTCAAAGCTTTGATCGGATCAGCGCCGATGTCGGCATTTCGAATTTTTCGTCCGCACCCTCGCCAAGCGGAATGTGCGCGCGCGCGCGAGACTTTGGGATCGCGAGGCTAAAAGGCGCCTTTTTCACTTCGCCGCTTTTCAACTTGTTTTCTCGTTCGTTAGGTGTCTCCCCTCTTCCCCCTTCCCGCCCATCGCCTAGCCGAGAGATCCAATCTAAGTTTCACGACGAATGCGTGCGCCGAAAAAAGTTCCGCATGAAAATTCTCAGACGGCGATATCCGAGGCACTGAGCGATTTCACTACTGCCTCGCTTCTATTATCCGGAGCGCGATGTCTGCGGGATATACGTGGGACAGCCGGGATCGTGGTCCCTCGTTACCGTGCCCCCCCCCTTCTCTTTCTTTCTTGCCGAAGATACGAGTGCGACGTTCCAATAAAACTTTACGTGCGCGGAATCCGCGCTTTAAATAACAAGGCGCTTGGCGTCGCATCTTTTCCCCCTTTCGCGAGCATTGCCTATAATCGACGCACTTTTTCCATTTACGATCGCGCGTACGCCGCGACGCGCCAATGCGAAATCGAGCAGCCCGCCGTCATTCGTGCAATTACGGCGTTCCGACAATCGCGCGCGATCATATGCGAGCCGCTTGTATAAATCATCAGACTCGCGACGCAAGGGAGAGAGAGAGAGAGAGAGTCAAACACAATCTTGTTAATAGACGGATTAATTACTGGAAATCCATATTCACGATCGCCTAGGATCTCCAGGCCGCTGTATAAACAAACAAGGGGGGAGGCAGGAGTGTCTTTCTCTCTCCGGTGAAAAGGTCGTGGCGATTGGTCGTGAATCGTCAATTAGTCGAGCGTCAACGAGCGGAAAGAAAGGACTGTGCTGGGCCGCTCGTCGGAATAAACGAGTTGCGGATCGATGCGCCCGGGCCCCCCCCGGGGGGGGGGGGGGGCGGCGAAAAGGAGCGGAGGAGAGGCAGCACTCACGATGCCTGAAACGGTGATCTGCTGCTGGGTCGACAGCGGCAGCAGATCCGTGAGTATGGTGCCGTGGAGCGCCTCGGCCAGCTCGGCCGGCGCGCACTGCACGTCCGCCTTGAGCCACCACTCGTACGTGTACATGCCCATTATCACCCACTGGTACTTGCGCCCGTACATGTTCAGCCTGCAACAGCGGCGGCGATTGTCAACTTCTCGCCCGGACGACTTTCTCTATCTCGAGTCTGCCGAGAGCCAGAGAGGAAGAGAATCGTCGGTCTTACTTGTAAGCCTGGCAGAAGATCTCGCGCGCCCACAGCTCGTCGAAGTTGCCCAGGATTATTCGCACGTCCTTGTCTTTGAGCTTCTCCAGTGCGCTGGTCACCTCGGTCGCGAAGCTCTGGCTCTCCACCACCTCGATGTCGTTCAGATCGAGGTCCGACACCAGCCTATTGTGAGCCTGAAACAGCGGAAAATTCGTCTCGAAAGAGGCCCACGCTGAGATATCGCTCGAGGAGCATGAATGAACAAGCGGAAAACCGCGCGATGCCCCGAACAAACAAGATAGCGATTTTTCTTCGGCGGCAGAGCAGCTTCTATTGAAACTTACTGCGACCGCGATAAATTTAAATGTATCCCGCCCCTCAGGGGGGTATTTAAGCGTGTTATATATACGTCGCTCCAACGGACAAAAAGAATTCTCTCTCCCGCTTCTCTTGTAAAGCGGGCGGCGGTATTTTGTGGAAAAAGATGAAATTACAGCAGCGGCAGCGTCGTCGTCGTCGTCGTCGTCGTCGGACGTTTAATAAAATCTCGGTCGCTCTCTCCGCCGCGAACGGTTCTCTGACCTACATCGGGAGGCCAAAGCGCCAGTAGGTATACGTGCGCGCATAATATCTCCCCGAGCATTCCTTCGCGACGCAAGCGCTATCGCGACTGCAGTGCCGAGCGGGGCATTAATTGCGCGTACCCAACGAGACGACGCGCGCGCGCGCGCGCGCGCCTTGCGGGAAACGTTCTAATTGGATTCGCGCGGCGGTGTTCTTTCTCTCTTTTTCAACGCGGCCCGCGGCCGGTCGGGATAAGCGACGGGAGCTCCGTCGACCGCGACTGACGCGATTTCGTTGGTCTTTCCGGGACTCCTACGTCGAGGCTGTCGTTCGATCGCTTGCCGCCCTTTGTTCGCTCGCGCGCGTCGCAACTTTCGCTGTCGATAAACCGAAAATCACGACAAGACAGCATTAGCGACAGCTTGCAACATAATCAGCCAAGATCGACTGTGTATTCGGCCACCCCTCGTGTAGTAAAATAGGGCCGGGGCTCATCGTAATAGCGGATTGATGACGAGCCTGGCGAGGGATCGATTCGTCAAGCCGACGACGCTCTAGTCCGTAAAATCGGGCCGCCAAGGCTCGTGGCGAGAAAAAGAAGAGCGAGCCGCACGAGTCAAATTGAAAGCACGCGGTTGTCAAATAAAACTAATCTCCGGCGATCGCTCGGCCGAGCTCTGTCTTACGGCGTGGCTTCGCCGTTAAGCCGCGTTTGCCCGGCAAGAAGCTTTTAATGAGACATTAAACTTAAATAAGACCTCGCCGTCGCTGACCCCTCCGCGTGTGTCCGCCCGGCTAATCCCCCCGCAAACACCCGAACCACGCGCGCGCGGGTATGCCTCGTTTTTGCAAGGAAAAAGGGGTACGACAGCCACCGAAGACGCTATGTACGGCGGCATGTGCAGCCGGCGAGCTGAACGGATATCGGCATGAAATATCGGGGGAGGGTGAGGGGGGTTAGCTTATACAGCAGCGGAGAAATGCAAAGCAGCGCGCATGTACGCGACGTCAGACCGCTGATTGACTTTGCCGACGACGTCGTCGGTCGGATTGACAATTTGATTAACGCAGCTATTTGTCAGGATGTGCGGATGCTACTGCTGCTGCGAGCTTGGATTTCTACACGTACATTCAAGTGGGTTTTTCCGCGTTCGTAATTCGACGGGCATCGCCAAGCCAAAATGCCCGTTAAATTTGGATATCAAATTTGTCTGCGTACCCTTTTTTTTCTGGCCAATCTGATATCTGGCCTGCAGGACGTGTATTTCTATGTCAGGGCAAATGAAGTGATATTGGGCTTTCCAATCGAATACTCGCTCGTATTGCAGAAATTTAATTGAAGTGATAAAGTTTTCAGCGGAAATGAGATTTCCTATTGCCGTTGAAATGACGCACGCGCGCGTCTTTCAAAAGGTGCGTTATTAAACTCGAGCAATTTTGGTAGGATCGATTTTTTCTTCTTCTCAGAGATACAGAAAGAGAGAGAAAGATAGCGAATTGTTAGTGTTTTTATCGCCGAAGTAACAATAACTCGGACGGAAAGCCCTCGGAGGCAATCGGCTGCTTTTATTATTTTTTCTTGCGACTTGCGCTCGTTTGCCCCCCGGCAAATTACGATAACGCTTTTTGTCTCGAAACTTCGGGGAGAGAGCGGGAGAGAAAACAGTTTGCGCAAACAAACGTCGAAGAAGAAAAAAAGAAACAGAATCACGGCTTCTTTCCGGCTACAAGGGAGATAAGAAAGCAACAAAAACGACCGAGGGACAATGATCCGCCATGAATTTTTTTGTTTGTTTTTTCGTTTCGCCCAGCCCAAGAGAGCCGCGATCGGAAAATCTGGAGCAGCGCGTCGCTTCATCGCCATTCATTTATTCACGAGAGAGACAATTATTCCACCCCGTACCCGAGAGCGCAGTCATCTCGGCCAAGAGAAGGATCCTTTATCTCAAAGAAGAAAAATCCTCGTCCTTCCGGTTACACGTGCTCCGGCCCGAAAATCAATCGCGGGATTTTAATTATCTCGGCGGGAGCGCGCGCCAACTTGTAATTGCTTCAGACGATGTCTACAGCCTCCCTCGCGACTGCTCCGACAATCGAACCTCGTCTGGGACGCCCGTAACCACGAGGAGGAGGCGCGAATCGCGAGGACTTGCCGGCTCCGTGCCCGAACGCTTCGAGCCCCGGCGAACGCGACGTCGACGCGCGGAAATGGAGTTGCGAAAGGCCGACCGGCTCTCGCGGCCGCGAATATCGCGCGGCGGCTCTCGGGCTCGGAGGCCCCGAACTCGCTCGATTCCGTTTGAGCCGAGCGACAGACGCGGGCTGACGCACCGATTGCCGAGTCTGCGCTCGCATAGTATGTCGTCGCGCGTATACGTGCGCCGACTGACGACGCAGCGCAATCAATTTAGGCCCTCCGCCCCCTTGCTCCTCTTTGTTACCGCCGAAGACGAATGTGTGCCTCCGAAAAAATTGTCGTTGTTTTTTTGCCGTGCTTACGTGCGCCACACTGGCCAGGACCACTAATATGTGGCGCGTCGTCTTTGCGTCACCACAGCTGGAGGGCGGGGGGGGGGGGGGGGGGGACGTCGAATCATTGGCGTTGTCGTCGCAGAGTCGCCGAGGATTAGCGATCGAGTGGACTTTGATTTTTCGACGAAATGCTGGGATGTTTGGCGTCGATCGAGCAAACCAAAGCGAACGGACAGAGGCGGCGCGCGACAATTCAGCCGGGCCTCGGCATCGAGATCAAGTGCATTGGGCTCCGGGGTAATCCGGCGCCAGATAAATCACCATTCCACTCGCGCTCGCTCCGAGCTGCGCGTCGCTCGGCCATGTGTAAGCGACGAGGACGCGACTGCAGCCCGGGGGCAGCGGCGGTCGAGGATCGGACGCGCGTGGCTGGATCGCCGATGGGCGACGAGGAATTTTCATTGCGACTCACCAGTGCGTATCTGGGCTCGTTCTGGTAGATGGTCCCGACGCGCGTCCAGTTGAATTCCCTCAGCAGGCTGACTCGTGGCGCGTTGAAGGCGTTCTCCGACGGTACGATCCTGAAGAAGTTGGGGAAGCTCTCGCTCGTGAACATCGGGTGCGTGTCCGCGTAGCTCAGCTGCAACACACGCGTGCACAGAGAATTTTATATTCGTCGGCAAGAGCGGCACAATGGGGCAGACGAGGTAAGGAACTCGCTCCGGCGCGCCGGATTATTTTCTTCCGGCGATGAATGCACTCGCCGAACAATGCGACTGTAAATCTCCCGGCTTCGCTTGCGCGCGCTAAATTGCCGGGAAAACCAGAGGAGAACGAGTTTTCCTTTTTCTTGCTTTAGCCTTTCCGCTTTTCTTCTGGCGAGCTTTCTTTCGGCTAATTAATTTCGCGGGTGCGCGCGCGTGTGTGCTCGTCGGAATTTTGAGGGATGAGCAGGCAAGGTTAGCTTTCTCCATTTCGCTGAAAGGAGAGAAAGATGCCCTCCCCACGGCTCCTTGCTGAGCGAACGTGCAAGCTGAGCTGAGTTTGTTTTGCGCTTAATGACCATTGTATTCGGTACAATGCTATTTTCATTACTTGGAAAAATTCTTCTCGTCGAAAATTCAACTGCGATTCGCGTAGGCGCTTTGTTCCTGCGACGCGCATGCCGTAAGCGCGACCAACGCGAAATTCCCGTGGCGAGGATCTTCCGACGACTGCTCAAACCAAACATGCAAATGATCGGAGCGAAATAAAGCTAGAATTACGATTTTCGGACGGGAATTGCTTCAAACGACCCTCATACCTGTCAAAAATGCTTCCTGACACGAGCGACATTTCAATTTACAGCGCGATCCGCAAGTCACCTTTTCGCTTGATTGGCACGTTTTTTTTCATTCATCCATCTCGCACGTCCCCCCATCAAAAAAATAAATAAATAAATAAAAATCAGCCATCGCGCGGCTAAGCTCTGGGTAGGAGCAACGAGCAAAAAAAAAAGAAAGAAAAGAGGGGAGTCGTTAATTGCCCCAGTGGCGCAAAAAACGAACGTAGTCTACAGATATCCGCACACAGTGCATAAACCTCGGTGGGAGTATAGGCGTAACGGCGTGCAAACAGAGTTATCGCGGGTCGATGCATCTAATCAGTCTTGGCTCTTGATAACGAGCCCCACGACTGCTGCGTCGGCGCTGACCTCCGTGCGTACATGCGAGCGCACACTTTACACGCCGACGGGGCCTCCTGCAAAGAGCGATCGTTAAAAGTATCACGAGCGCAGCGGGAGGATCGGCTGAATTAACAGCAGCTCCACTGTAGTTGCATCGTGTATCGGATTAGTCGCCGTACAACTAATCCCACGGCCGAGCGCACACCGCATTCGCGATACACGGAGTGCTTCGCTTTCTCTATCCTTCCTTACTTGTATTCTTTTTCTTTCTTTTCCTCTCCGAGGGATTACGCGTGGAGGATGCGAGACAGGGATCTCGCATGCGTACTCGTTGAGCACTCGGATCTCCAAACCGAAACGTTTGCGCTATATCGTTCATTTTCATATTTTTTTCTTGTATTTTTTTGGTAATCCTTGCAGTCGCGATGGAACTCAGCGTTGGAAAAAGATATCGACTGTTTTAACAAATTTACGCTTCTTCGGAAAGCTTCAATTTGGAAAGCAAACTTGATAAAAGTTCAGTCTCATGAAGCAGTCCAGGCAATTCGGGGAGAGAAAGAGGAGTTAAAATAAAAAGAATCGAATTTTGTCGCTCTACGCGCAGACTCGCGACGACGATCCGTCGAATGATTCGACGATTCCCGCTGCAAACTGTTATTTGCTCGACGAAGAAAGAGAAAAAAGAGTCCTGCTCTGTCGATTTACCACTCCCATAATATTTCTTTCCCCCGTGCTGTTTGTCAATGCCGCGCCGTTTGCCGCCCTCAAAGCGATCAATTCGGAATTAGAGTAGTGCGCGCTGATTTGAATTCCCGCGCGCGCGCTGCAGCGATCGACGAATTTATCTCCCTTTGGCGCGAACGCGGACCGACTGCAATTTCGCAGGCGTCAAAGCGGCACGCACGCGCTGCCGTTGTCGTCTCGCGGCGTCGATTAATCATTTCCTCGCGGGACCCGGCGCTTTCTTGTGTCGCGCGATCGCGACGGACGCATTTCCGGAGGCGCGACTCGAATTCCGCGGAGAAGCTGCGAGAATTAATTGGCTTCGCGCCGAATCGGGCGTCGCTCAGCGGGAGGGAAAGGGCACGAAATAAAATGAAATAATGAGAAAGGCAAACAGCAATCGCGAGCCCGGTAAATCGAGAATCGCGTGGTTCAGCAACAAGCCTCGCTTTCGCTTCCTATATGGTAGCTAATTAATTAACGAAGGATTAATTAGCGTAGTCTTGCGTGCCGGCTGGTCTTTTTCTTTTGCCGCCTGGAGACTGCCATTAGTCTCTCTCTCTCTCTCTCACTCCTGTAGCCTTTTGCGTTTGCATTATGCAAGCATACTGAGCAAATTACGAGGCAGCTTGGCATTACTGTACTTTGTAGTAATCAGCAAAGCAAATGTGCATGCTTGTTCTTTCGTTATAATCATCGCCTTTTTCTACCCCTCCTTTTCTCGAGTTTATGTAGCGCGAGAACGAAGTTTACTTGGCGAGAGAAACTCGAACCTTTATGAGCAATGCCTTACAAAGCCGACGATGAAATGTTGCTAATTGCCTTTGTACGTGGAAATGAATAGGCACCAAGGGAATTTTCACAAATGAAATACTTTGGGATTTTTAGCCGAGCGAGGGCCGAGGTATTCGCGTGCTCAAAGTTAGCCAAGATAAAATCCGTGTTACACATCTAGAGACCGCACTGCCTAAAGTTACTCGGTACAATCGAATCTGCAGAAGGAAAGGAAGAGCAAGAAGCATCTCCGCGATACGTGGTACCCGCGCGGACTTTTTTCATTTTAAAACATTTCCTTTGTCCCTCTGAATAAATGCACGACGCGACCATAGACTGCAATTGCCAGACGGGGAAGTTTTCTTCTGCCTCTCGCTCTGTGGAAATATTGCATTACTCGGCTGAAAGGTATGCGCGCGGCGAGAGAGAAAAATACCAAAGTCAAACAAGGCAAAGGTAAATATTGGCCCATGAAACCTTGCGCTCGCGAGCAAGTCAGCCGCTCCGTAACAATGTCACAGAAATTTCTCGGCGACGAATTATCGCGGTTATTTATCGGCGGCGGCTTTATTGCAGCTAGAAATAACAAGCCACGTGGACCGATAAATTTAAATGGCTCTGCGGAGACGTTCAGCCCGACAGAGAAAGGGAGAGACGTCACAGGCACACGCGAGGATCGTTTGTCAGCCTAGATATTGCGCCCTCTCTGCCGCTTTCCTCCCGTCGTCTAGCTGCTATGGCCGCTGCGAGAGAGGATATTAACTGCTATGGCATTATTGCGCGCGGTTTCGTTTTTACTGCCTCGAAAAGTCGCCGCCGCGCACGCGCGCAGCGGAGCTAGGCTTCGCCCGGCAGTGGCGCAGCTCAGCGCTATGGTCAGCCCGAGCGCATTTTTTCTTTTTTCTTTCTTTTCTTCAACGACGGCTTTTCGCCCGTGGCGCCTTCGATATACGCGCGACTCTCTTTCACGGCCACGCGGGCGTTTTTAGAAACACAGCGAGACTCAATTGCCACGCATTTATGATAAAACACGCGACGAAGGGCGAACAAAAAGGGAAATCCGAAACAAACTGCAGTTTGAAGAGCTAACGCAAATACGATGAACCACGGTGGCAGCGGCGGCACGAACGAACGCAAAAAAAAAAAAGAAAAAAAAAATACATAAAAGAAGAAGTCAAGCTAGAGCTAGACACAATCAACGAGCGAGCAGATCGTTTTCCGCTTTGGAGCCGCCGCGGGGAGTGCGCAGCAAGAGCGAACGGGAGAAACAGAGAGCGATTAATCGAGAATAACCGTCACGGATATCGAGTGTCCAATCGGCACCGAATATTTATTTCGGCGATCGATCGCTCGCGCGCAAAATCCAAAGAGAATATTATTTTAGCCGGTCGCCGCATGTAGGTCGGATCGGCGCATAAATAAAGTGGCACGAGGGTGGGGAGGGGCGACTATTTTGCGCGCGCGAATCGGAGCATTATGCGCGCGGCGAAGATATTTCTGGCGGTCGGGCGTTGCGGTTCGCAGACCAAGACGGCTCTCTTCGCGAATTAACGTCGTTTCCCTCGTTGCGTTCTCACCGCGACGACCTCGCGCGAGATCGCCGCTATTTACGCCTCGACGAGCGGAGTTTCGGAGTAATAATTGCACACCTATGCGATTGCCCCCCGCGGTGAGCTCTTTTTTCTCTTTTGTTTTACTACTCGGCGGCGGAGAATGCTACCGCGTTGAGAGCAAACGTATCGAGTTTCGATATTATTAATCTACTAAATTCTCACGCTCGAGACTTATGCCTTCATAAAGGGCGGTCCTTTGATAATTCCGCGAGTATTATCAACTCAATTACGGGAATCTGGGGCGGAAGGGCCATCAAATCAAATGACGTGAATAAACATCAGGATTTATTTTAACTGAATTGGATAGTATAAGTCGTGGCGCCTGGTGTAAAATCATTAATTTCCAAGGGAGTTACCAAGGCTATTTGCGGATCCGCTGACCTGGAATTAATCTTTGAAGCCAGGCGAAATTCCAAATTTTTGACGTTTGCACAAAGCGAACGCCAAGCCCGGTGCTCAAAATTGCTCTCGCGCGGGAGATACGAACATTTTTTCCTGGAATATTTATTTCGTGCTGTCCGCTGCCGCGTGAAACAGCTGCCAGCTGTGATTTTTCGTCCTTCCCTCCCCACCCCCTCCCGCCCCCCGGCAAAACAACCGCGAGCGGATGGTTAGTTCGTTTTAATTAAAGTCTCGCGATGCCTCGCGTACGCCGATCTCTTGATTTGTTGCTATAACCGGGGTGCATGCATAATCTCGTAATTATAGCGCGAGTTTGAAGCAAATTATTAAACTTGATAATGTAGTTATAATATTGCGGTACGTATACGTGTGCGTGCGCACTCCAGTTCGTACTGCTGAATTTAATACGCATATGAATATTGCAAATCGAACGTGTATAAGTATATATTACAGGAATCAGGTCAAGCATGCCTTTTATTTTCTCTAAATGCGTGTTCGCAGTCGTATAACTGTCAAGAAGGAAAAAAGTGATAAAAATATTTTCCCTTCATTCCTGAGAATCTGGAAGGCCTATTCTTATACATTACGTAAGGATTCCATGTAAATCACGATGAATAATTTGTTTCAATAACCTCCGATGGTGAAAAAAACAAGAAGAGGAAGCGAGGAAAAATTTCCGAACTAAAAAGCTCTCAAGTTGATTGAATATAAAATGCAAGAAAACACTGAACTTCCACGTACTCCCTCTCCCTCCCAACTCGCTTACTCACTCTCTCTCTCTCTCTCTCTCTCTCTCTCTCTCGAAAAAGAAGGTCAAAAACAAGTAAGCAAGCAGTTATTCATAAAAGATTAATCAATGCAGCTCTCGTGACATTTCTCCCTCGTGTTCGGGCGTACGGCAGAAGACAAAGTTGCAGCGGCAGCAGCAGCACGACAAAGCAGAAGCGAGAAGGGAGCAAGATAAACGCTCGATCAAGCTTTACTCAGTGGAACTTGAGCGTCCCCTCCCCCCCGTGCCACGTCGGCCGCAAATTATTTATAGTCCTTTCCTTGCCTATATGCTTCTCACTTGCGCTCCCTTTAGCGTCCGTCGCACGCTGTGTTTATTCTCCATCTATATGTAAATGCGAAAAGAGGTTGGGCGCAGAGGGGGGGGGGGGGGGGGGAGGGGTCAGTTTAGCTGCGCCGCTCGACTGTTTAATTGCGCGCGCGATAATGCCGCCGCCGCGTCGCTTCTCCCTTTTTTTTCGCATTTGGAAAATTAGTATCCAGCCGCAGAAATTATCGTAATTGAAGGACGCCGCCATCGCCCCGTACTTCTTTCTCCCGCACGCCAATTATTCAATTTTATTACGCGCTGCGTGACCTTCCTTTTACGCAACTCGGTCACTCACTTGTTCGGCGAACGAGCTGCCGTAATCGTTAGCCAAAGTGTTATTTTAAAAACTATTGCGATTAATCGCAGCTCGTTGTCGTTAGGCCACTCTCGAGTACTCCATTTTTCAAGCTACGTACACGTGGCTCTTTTTCACCGCCGTTGAGTTTGGCTTGCGCGCTAACGATAGCCACGAGCGCTTGACCATATAATGAACTGAGTTTTCGCGGAATAATGTACCGTGAAAGTTTGACGCGGTTGGTATCGCTAAATTCGTCGCGAATGCTTATGAATTTCCATGTGATCGAATTCAAAGAAGCAAATTAATTTAAGCTGGTTTGAGTGCCGCGGCGCCGTTCAAAGAAAATGTCTAGTAATTAAATTTTTTTGCTCACTTGCTATAAGCGTCAATGATTAAATTTCCGAGAGTTAGTCGTAAAAGACCTTTCCAGAATGCCATGAAATATCCCTCTGAGCTTAGCTGAGAACGGAGTCAGAAAAAAAACGCGACAAATTCAACAAAGGCTCGTGCGCATGAAAAATTTGATTAAAAACGGAAAATGCGCACGAGCTCGTGGTATTCAATGTAACCCCGCGAAAGGTCCACGTCGCAGGCATAATTACGACGGAGTTCGTTGAACCAAGATCGCAAACCAACCTGCGTGAGTCGCCAGTGCTTGGACGCCTTGGCGATGGGATCGGTGACGAGGGTGCACGCCGAGCCAAAGAGCATGAGCTTGTGGGGTCCGCTGTGCATCATGTCGAAGAAGGCCTTCATTCCCACTGCCGCGTTGCACTGCAAAAACACAACACGATCATTAGACTACGCCGGACACACCGAGCCACGCGTGTCTACCATCCAAGGGGCAGAAGCGCGAGAATTTGCAGCCATATACGTCGAGCAATTTGATGAGCTTTCAGAATCGTAGGGGGAGGGGGGCGAAGAGAGAGCACACATCAATTCCCCCAGACCCTCCGATACAACATTCCTCTCTCCCATCTCTCGCTCCCATTTTTGCTTCATTATCAGGCAATATCAATTTGTCGGCGGCCTTATGCGCGGTTATTCGATATAATAGCTCGAGAAAATATGTATTCGGTTTATTGATTCGCGCTGCCGATACGTCCAACTTTATTGATGTGCGTATCGGTGTGCGCGCATACATCGCAAAATCGATGGCATAGTTTTCCCCACGCCGTCACATTAATGGTTCGGTTAATTTGATTTTTGATAGCGCCGCTGCGTATCGCGATTCATCACCGCGGGCCACGCGGGCGCTTCGCCTCTCGAGAGATAGTCGTGACCTGGATACGCAGTTATAGATTTGTATAAACATACGGGAAATTCGGGCCGCCCTCGCGGTGGCATTTAAAAGTTTGGAAGCACGGCTACAACTCCGTGAGGCGCGCTTGAGATCGTGCTCCAGAAAAGACGAGCCTATCTCCAGCGTCGATCGTCATGGCTCATCGGATGAGCGGCAGTTGGGATCCCCCACCTCAGACGCAATTTACAATTCGTTAAGAGCAACGAGTTGAACGACAGCGGAATGTATAATAATGAATCCGCAAGTTCGTGCCACCCCGGGAGCGAGGTAAGAGTTGGCAAAGTCTCTGAGCACACAACGACGCGTTAATCGCGAGAGCAAATAGACCGGGGACGAGTTACAGTTGGCTAAGCGCTCGCGGAAACGCGCGCGAGAGGCATGCGAGGACGTTGGAAAATTCGTGCCCTTCTTCCTTGCGCAGTGATAAATTGGCGCTCGATGACTGCGCGGCAGCCAGGAGCACGGGGAAGAAGGAGCGCGGCACGGCATCGCTTTTATTTTTTTTCTTCTCTTCTTCTTCTTCATAATGATGTACGCGCAGAGGCCATTCTCTCTTCGGGCCGCTTTTTCTCGAGAAACTAGGTCTCATTAGCGGAATTTCCTTGCAAGTGTCTAGAAAAGCCGCGCCACTCGGAAAAGCGGCGGCGCCTACGTCGGCGACGCGCGCAAAGCGAAACAATCGCTTTTGAGAGTCGTCGCGCGCGTCTACGGCCGGGCCGAGTAGTCCGCGAGAGCCAGCGACGATCGCGATTAATGAACGGCAAATCGGATTTCAGCGGCGGCACGGGGGAGCAGGGCGCGTATACGCCCGCGATATCATTTGAAATGCAAATGTGTGCTCGGCGGCCATCGACGCGCGCCGACGATTAGTTTGCTGCATTATGCCGCTTTTCGCCAGCGGAGCTTTTGCGCCCACGGCAAACACGCGCGTCTCGCTCGCCCGTTCGTTCCCCGTGATTCCCGCGCTGCCCGTCTCGCGCGCGAGCCTCGCTTGCTCGACCGTCGCATTTTAATTCCGACGCTCGCGTAATGAGCGCATCGATCTGTCGTTCTCGTTCGCGCCGAGGCTCAATTTTACCTCGCGCGAGAAAATAAAAATCAGCCGCGTTGCGCGTATTTTTATTCTATTCTCCACGCGAGTTGTCTTGATTAACAGGGCAAGGGCGAGAACAGAAAGAGGACTGCTGCTAATTACCCGAGTGTCCAGTGTGGAGTTAACGCGGTCTCGAATTTCTTTCTTTATGAACTCCTCGTCCCGGATAACTTGTTTCGTCTTGCCATTACGCGACGCCACAAGCGCGAGAACTATCCGGTAACTGTGCAGCGAACTTGAGCGAGGCGACGTTAATTGTTTTGATCGGGCCGAAACTCGCGGAGGCCGCTGGAATCAGTGCGCAAAGAGAAGGCAAATAGCGAGCAAGAGATGAAAAGTGCGCCCCATTGTCCTCCTTCCCCCGCCCCCTGCTCTCGATCGCGATTGCAATTTCTGCAAGATTTCCTCGGAGACGTGGTCCTTTTTATTTATTTAGTCTCTCGGCGCGTCAAAGGTGGGTCAGGAAAAGAAAAGAGGGAGAGAGCCGAGTAGAAGAATCGAGGCCTTTCTCTCTCGCGAACTGAAAGCAATATGCTTTTCTTCGAGGACTTCGTCATTTCCTTTTGTTTATCCGGCGACTGCTGGCGCGGCACAGTGGCAGACAGCCTCCCTAATGAAAGAACGACTCACTTAAACGAGATTTACTCTCGCTCTCGTGGCCGCGGTTTATCTGGGTTGCCCGTCTCCTCCTCGCCGCGCCTCGGCTCAATTAAGAAAACGCGTGCGATTGCCGCACGCTCGCGCGCTCTTTGTTATCTCGCCGCTTTCTTTCGTTCTTCCCGCCGGCTCTGCTTTCGGCGCGCGGATAAACTGCATTAGGCTAATTGCGCTTTCGAGAGCGCGCAAATATCCCGGGCTCCCGCGCGCGCTCGTCCCGGGATCTTATTACCCGGGTTTGTCACGGCTGGTCCCGTGACCAACAACTTTTTTTCCAAAGCCCCACCCCCTCCCGCTTCTTGTTTCGCGAAAGTTCTTAGCGTCGACGAAGAAAAGAAAGAAAATTTGAGCTGGTACAATCACGGAGGCGGGCCGGGCAAATGCTCACAATGTACTTGTTGTCGTGGCACTTTGAGCTGCGCTGATCGGAGGGCCAATGCAGCATCGATTCCCAGTTATTACGGATATACGGCCGATGTGTGCGCGGGCGAGCTTCGAGCTAGCTCGCGATGAAAGGGAACGGACGCTCGTCGGATTATTTTTCCCGGGGATCGAATCAGTTATGCCCGTGTAACACGGCGACGAACGAGAGAAGAAACTCTCGACGAATCTACTCCACGGCTGTCTTTCTGCACCCTCCGCGCTGCAGCTGGCTCCGAGACGTAATTTTGCAGCCCGAGATTCTCTCGGTTTCGCCATGCGCGCTGCGAGAGGTGACGCCTTGCCGTTCCTCGCCGCTCTCAATTGGCAGCAATTTGCCCTTTGAAAAATGTAGGGCAGAGACAGGCGCGTCACGCCGCGGATATGCGCGTCGCCTCTCGTTCGGCTCGGGGATAAAGAAAAAGAAAAAGTCGGAGTCCCTGAAAATCCCTCTCGGCGAGCCAGCAGCGACGACTCGGCTTCGGAGGAGGGCTGCACAATTGAAAAATCAATGAAGGACCGGATAGACGAGTGCAACGAGCTAGCTCCGCGCGTCCCAAGTGGCTTGGCCGCGCGCATCGATCCCAAAGAGGGAAACATTAGCATGTGCGATACCGCGCGACGTCTTTATTTTCCGGTCGGCTGTGCCGTCCGCTCGGCCGACCCCTTCGCACGATTCCCCGCGTCTCGAGAAATTATCCGGCGTCGCGCGCGCGGAAATTGCCCTCCCGCGGGACGCCAGCGGGCGCGACACTTTTACTCGTCGTCCGCCGCGGCGGACGGCGCTCCATTGACACAGATGCCGCCAGTTTTCTATTCTCCGGCCGCGCCGGCGCGTTATTTATTTAGCCGCGCGAGCGACAATGTGGAAAACAAGTTACTCGTCCGGCGAGCGTGCCAACTGGGATTTGTCCTCGGGACAGAATTCTGACGTCCGACTTGTCTTTTCCTCCTTCCTCCTCTTCGTACTCGTCCCTTACTCCCTCTGCAAACGCGATTTTGGCCACAACGCGAGTTGGAAAGTAGTCGAAGGGTAATCGCGAATGGGCGGGAGTCCACTATCGTAGATTCTTGTTATCCCATGGCCCCTGCCTCCCTCCTTTCCAAGTAGGTCATAATGATCCCAATGCGCAACGAAACGTTACGCGCTATAATCTCGTTTCCAAGCTCGCAAAAACTTCTTGGAGAGCGAGACTTCCGGTCAAGTTTAATTCACGGTATAATTATCCGCTTGCTCGCCCACGGTGTCTCGTTGTTGTGCGACCTTTTAATATTCATTATGCAACATTTTCAACTTTGTTGCGACGATGAACTTTTGGCTAACTCGCAAAGTCCGCGAACAATACGCCGCGGCGGCAAGCCGATGTAGGACGAGTGTAAAATTTCTATTAAAAATCGAATGAATCAGTCGCCCCGCGTGTCTCGGCGAACGTCAGCGTCAGGCAGAGAAAATTAGTTCGCTCGTAATCGAGGTCGTCGAATAGAAATAAAACGGGAAAAAAAAATAAAAAATAAAAAATAAAAAATACAAGGACAATTTTCGAGAAAGCGAAAGAATGAAGAATTTCATTTAATTAGCCGGTGCACAAAAGGCACATAGCCCACCATTACAAGCTGGTAAACAATCCGCCGCCCAAAAACCCACTTGACCCGCGGCGGCGGCTCTTTTTAAAAATTTTTTTTTTTTTTCACGCGCACAAAGCTCGCTGCCTTCCTTTTAATTACCGGCGAGGCATTCGTTCCTCGAAGGCATAATGGAACGCGCGCCGACGGAGTTTCGCGCAAGTCGAGCAGCAGCAGCATCCGATAATTATCGGTAGGCGGGCGTAAGTTAACTGCGGCTAGCCGCAATCGCCGCTCGAGACATTAGCCTAATGAGCTCTCGGCCGCTCTCGCCGCCTACGTTTACCGAGTTATGTGCGTCTGCTCTATCGGCCGAGCGCCTCGCTAAGCAAACTTGATGGATGGCTGATATTGCCGCAGTGGCTTTGATAAGCAGCGCGCCTGATTCTGAAACCTGTCTTGATTGGCCAGACCGCGCTATACCTGCCCGTCTCTGCCCGATGCCTATACGTATGTGCACGCGGCGCTCGGGTATTATACCTTGTAATTACCCGATGTCGCTTTGAATATGCATTCAGCTGTCTAACGAGGCTGGCGGCGAATAATTTTGCGAAAAAAAGTCAAGGGATGAAACGGTGTCAAGGTTCAAGTCGACACGCCGTTGACGGTTCTCTCTTTCTCTCTCGCGCGCGTTCCTCGGCCTCCATTTCAAATTTTCATCTGAATTTGTTCGTTAGT